CTCTTTGCATTTATTATTTCTTTTTAATTTTTTTATTAGGTATAAATATAACATAAAATTTACCATCTTAGCCATTTTAAAGTGTACAATTCAGTGGCATTAAGTACCTTCACATTGTTGGCCAACCATTAGTATGATCTAGTTCCAGAACTTTCCATCACTCCAAGATGAAATCCTGTACCCATTAAGCACGCATGTACTACTTTTGCTTTGAGGAGAGAGTGTGGTTGTCATAGGAGCATGCTGCCTGCTGCCATGGTGAAGAAACTGGCCTCTGCTGAGAGCTAACAGCTGCCACCAGTGTGGTGACAAAGACACTGATTGGAGCTGTATTAATTTCCTAGGACTGCTGTAACAAAGTACCATGAACTGGGTGGTTTAAACAACAGAAATTTATTCTGTCACAGTTCTGGAGTTTATAAGTCTGAAATCAAGGTGTTGGCAGGGTTGGTTCCTTCTGGGGTCTCTGAGGGAGAATCTGTTCCACGCTTCTCTCCTAGCTTCTAGTGGTTGCTGGCAATCCTTGGCATTCCTTGGCTTGTGGTAGCATAACTCCAATTTCTGCCTGTGTCTTCACATGGTCATCTTCCCCGTGTATGCGTCTCTGTTTTCTCTTCTTGTAAGGATGTGAGTCTTTGGAGTAGGGCCTACCCTTATCTAGCAGGGCTTCATTTTACTAATTACATCTGCAAAGATCCTATTTCCAAATAAGGTCTCATTCACAGATATTGGAGGTTATGACTAGAACATATCTTTTCGGGGAGACACAATTCAACCCACAACAGAAGCCATCGCCAATGTGGTGGCAAAGAAACTGGCGTTGAACGGAGAACCTTGCACCTTGATCTGTTTACTTCAAGAAAAAAATGTTTCTTTTTCCTTTTCCAGCCTTGCAGTGTGCCTCAAGCACCCTCTATTGGCAGAGTTTAACATCCAGCCAGCTGGCAATGGGGAAATGCAGTCTGCAGATTGCAGTTCCCCGGGGCAAGAAATGGTGGGTTTGCAGCCCAGAGGCAACAAATTAATAATAGCCTCAGACCAAAGTTCTGTTTGCTTTGAAGTAAGTCTTTTCTTTGCTAGTTTGATGTTGACTTCTAGGCTCTAAATCAGCTGTGGGACTACGACCTGGGAAGGGAAGAGTCCAAGGAGAGGAGACACCTAGGCTAAGTCCTGCAGGATATAGGGGGTTGGTGGATGCCACTGTGCGGGACGGATGATGTGTTAGGCAGAGGGACCAGTATGAGTAACAGCAGACCATGTGAGACCCTAGATTGTCACAGAGTCCTGAAAGCCATCCTAAGGCATTTGAACTCTAATCTGAGGGTGAAGTTGAGTAAGCATAACATGACCAAATTTGTAATGTAGGAAATTTCCTTGATCTCAAGGCAGCATGGGAATTTCTTCTATTTGGGAAGGAGAGCCCCAAATAGGTAGAAAAGAACTTCTATAAGAGGAGCTTGCATGGAGGAGGTGAACTGGGAAACCTGCATATCTGAAGAGCCTTATGGGAAGCAGCGTTCGATGAAAATCATCAAATGTTTCAAACATGGAAATGACATGATCTGTTCTGGAAATGGCTGGCATCTCAAACATTACATGTCTCAAATGAACGTGTCACCCTTGACCATAAGTCTACTTTCTTTCTGTTTTTCTTATTTCAGAGATGGCACCCGGTTGCCCAATCCAGAAACCTGAGCATTAACCCAACTCATTCCTCTCCTTCATTCCTCCAGAACCAATGACTAAATACTGCCCATTTTGCTTCATAAATGTGTCTCAACTTTTCTCCATTCTCAGGGCTACTACCTTGAAACAGGCCTGTAGCATCTCTTACTTGAACTCTTATAACTGTCTTATAATGGTCTTCCTGACATCTCCCAACTCATTTCCTCAGGCAGAGCAATTGTTCTGAAGATGTCACTCTACTACTGACAAGAAACTTTCAGATATTGAGGTATATGGGGGAGCTATTCTGGCCTGAACTAAAAAGAGCCTGACTTATAGCCTATCAAACATACATTGTACATCTGCTTTAACCATTAAGGTAAAAAAAAATGCATTAATCAGTATCTCAAAGTAAAAGAATGCACTCTTTGAAGATAAGGATGCATACTTCCTCTCCTACCACGCCAGCTAGTATCTGGAAAGCCAGTATCAGTACTCTTGAAGATAAGCTTCCTTCCTACCCACTCGCCCCATATCAGGGTCATGTTGACCTGGAATCTGCAACTGAATATCTCTTTGAAACTTTGATGAATATGTATGCTAGGAGTGTTTTATGTATATTCTTTATTCTAAAAAGGTATAAAACTGGACTGAAAACCATGCTTCTCCAGAATGCTTTCATCCTTTGTGAACGTTGCCCTGCTGGGTTATAATCCTCAGCTTGACTCAAGTAAAATTCACCCTATCTCTCTTGTTTGTAGACTGGTTGTTGGTTATTTGCATTGACGCTACGTAAAAATTCCACACTGGCTCTCCATTGCTCTTAGGAGAAAGAACAACTTCTTCAACGTGGAATAAAATGACCCCTCCCAATCTGGCTTTTTCCACTTTCATCCCCTCTACTCCTCATGACCATCCCCAGTCCTATGGACTGTTTTTCATTTCTTTAAAAGTTTCATGTTTTTTTTCTTGGCCATGTCTCTTTTCTCTTCTTGGTACTTACTTCACAACTTCCTTATCCCAAAACTCCTCCCTCCCTCCCACCCCTCAAGTCATCCTCTATTTGTTCTTCAAAATCAGTCTAGATGTTAATTCCTTCTGGAATTGACCTAACAACTGACCCTGACTCTAATAATTTCAGGTTAGGTGACTCTTCGATATGTTTCCATTAATTCTATATCTCTCTCTTTCATGTGTATATGTATTACATATAGTGCTATATATATCTTTACCTTGTTTCATTTTCTTAAAAGAATTTATTACAGCTTCAAGCTATTTATTTGCTTGTTTATTGTCTGTCATCCTCCACCAGAATATGTATGCTCCCTGAGATCAAGAACCTTGTCTGCCTTGCTCACCACTGTGTCCCCAGTGCCTACAACATAGCAAAGACTCAATAAATACCTACTGAGAGAATTACAGATACATTTTTTTATTGAGTTCATAATAGTTTACATCATTGTGAAATTTCAGCTGTACATTATTTCTTGTCTATCACCACAGAAGTGCTCCCCTTCACCCCTGGTGCCCACCTCCCACCCCACTTGCCCTGGTAACCACTGAACTGTTTTCTTTGTCCATGTGTTTGTTTATATTCCACAAATGAGTGAAATCATATGGTGTTTGTCTTTCTCAGTCTGGCTTATTTCGCTTAGCATAATTCCCTCCAGGTCCATCCATGTTGTTGCAAATGGGATGAATTTTGTCTTTTTTTATGGCTGAGTAGTATTCCATTGTGTGTGTGTGTGTGTGTGTATATATATATATATATATATATATATATATATATATACACCACGTCTTCTTTATCCAGTCATCAGTCCATGGGCACTTGGATTGTTTCCATGTCTTGGCTATTATCAGCAGTGCTGCAATGAACATATGGGTGCATGTGTTACTTTGGATTGTTGATTTCAAACTGTTTGGGTAGATACCCACTAGTGGGATGGGTGGGTCATATGCTATTTCTATTTTTGGTTTTTTGAGGAATCTCCATGCTGTTTTCCATAGTGGCTGCACCAGTTTACCTTCCCACCAGCAGTGTATGAGGGTTCCCTCTTCTCCACACCCTCTCCAACATTTGTTATTTTTAGTCTTAGAGATCATAGCCATTTTAATGGGTGTAAGGTGTCATCTTAGTGTAGTTTTTATTTGCATTTCCCTGATAATTAGTGATGTTGAACATCTTTTCATGTGTTTATTGGCCATGTGTATATCTTCTTTGGAAAAATGTCTGTTCATCTCCTCTGCCCATTTTTTGATCGGTCTTTTTGTTTTTTTGTTGTTGAATTGTGTGAGTTCCTTATATGTTACAGAGATTAACCCCTTGTCAGATATATGATTTGCAAATATTTTCTCCCAGTTGGTGGGTTGTCTTTTTGTTTTGATCCTAGTTTCCTTTGCCTTGCAGAAGCTCTTTAGTCTGATGAAGTCCCACTTATTTTTTTCTTTTGTAGCCCTTCTCTGAGAAGACACAGTGTTCGAAAAGATAAGTTCCATGTCAAGAAGTGTACTACCTATATTATCTTCCAGGAGTTTTATGGTTTCAGGACTTATCTTTAAGTATTTGATCCATTTTGAGTTTATTTTCATATATGGCGTGAGATAATGGTCTACTTTCATTCTTTCGCAAGTGCTTGTCCAGATTTCCCAACACCATTTATTGAAGAGACTGTCTTTTCTCCACTGTATACCCGTGGCACCTTTGTTGAAGATTAGCTGTCCATAGAGGTGCAGTTTTATTTCTGGGCTTTCAGTTCTGTTCTATACAGATACAATTCTTTTTGAGGGAAAGTTCTCCATGTTGCTGTATAGTCTCGTGGAATATTTCGGACATAATTACACTAAAAAATTATTTTTTGTTTACTGAAATTCAAATTTAACTGAGCGATCTGTATTTTTTCTGGCAATCCTACCCCCAGAACACATTTGACAATATCTAGAGACATTTTTGACTGTCACGACTAGGACTGTGGTACGCCTGGGCACACATCTTCTTGACGCTGGTAACCAAACGGCAAGAAAGCCAGACTACCAACTGCAGTAGGTGAAGTCATGATGTCAAAAAGCTCGTGTGTAAAGCGCACTGTAGACGGTAACGCGCTCTGCACACACTGGTTCAGTGCGCCTCTGACATAGAGACATCTTTTAAGCCCGACTAAGCACAGATCCTCCCGCCGCAGGGACTAGGAAGCCGTTCAGCGACAAACCGGAAGCGGCCGCGTGGCTGAGGCGTCCTTCCGCCCTAGCAACAGTCGTGAAGGAAGTGGCTGTCGCAGCCGCTCCCTGTGCGCATGCGCGCCGGCGCCGCCTGCTGACGTGGAGCTGGGCCCCGGCGGCCGATCCGGCGCGCCGCCGAGTGCGGGAGAGCGGCTGGGCTAGCGGAGCGGCGGCCGAGGCCGGGATGGCGGCGCCGCTAGCTTCGCGCCGGGGAGCCGGGGCTGCGGGCCGGCGCTGGGTGGGGCTGCTGCCGCCCGTGCTGCTGGCGCTGCTGCTGGCGCGGCCGGCGGGCGCTCTGGTGGAGGGGCTCTACTGCGGCGCGCGGGACTGCTACGAGGTGCTGGGCGTGAGCCGCGCGGCGGGCAAGGCGGAGATCGCGCGGGCCTACCGCCAGCTGGCCCGGCGCTACCACCCCGACCGCTACCGGCCCGAGCCTGGCGACGAGGGCCCCGGACGGACGCCGCAGAGCGCCGAGGAGGCCTTCCTGCTGGTGGCGACCGCCTACGAGACTCTCAAGGTGAGGCCTGGGGGGGCGGCTGGGCCGAGGGCCCCGTGGGGAGGCACGCGGCGCGGCAGCGTCGGTTCCCCGCCGGGGGAGCGAGGTTCTCTGCGAGCCTGGCGTCCGCGCGGCCACCGGCACGACCCTGAAGAAGCTCACACCTTCCCACGTGGCCCCGGGAAAGAGCCCACACGGCCCATTGACAACCATGGGAAACCCCCTCGGGCCGTGGGGGGACAACCAGCCCCCTCGTTTTTGTGACAGTCTTTTTTACGCAAAGCCGTGGGCATCTTAGGATTTAGTGAAAGGCATTTTAATAACGGGCAACTCACACTCGGAAAGCAGGGTGATTGTTATTGCCAAGATCGGTGATGGAACCCAGGAAAGGTCTCTAATATTGAGTGACTGTGCTCCTGCCAATTTGAGATGACAGAAACTTGGTTTCTGGGGATAGTATTAATTGTGACATTTAGCTCGGGTTTAAGGATCTAGAAAAATACTGAAAAGAACAATGAACAACCAGTCAGAATACTGGATGTTTGACTTTTGGCTCTGACACCCCGGTATGACCTTGGATAGTGACTTCATATGTTGAAATAGCTGTTTCTTCATATGCAAAATTGAGGCCAACCTCACAGGGTTATTATGAGGATTGAATGATAAGGGAGAGAAATCCCTATGTAGGACCTGAAAATAGGTGCTCAATGACTTGGGTTCAAGACTCTGAGAATTTGTAATAGGCAATATTTTGTGACTATGTGTGTAGTCGTTTGACAAAAGTTTTATTGAGTCCTGTGGGGAGGTCTAGCATGATCTGTTTTCTTCTCCTATTCAAAAATCAAAACATATAAGTAATCACAAAGTGTAAATCATCTTTGATGGAAGTGTCACTGCTTCAAGGCCCCCATCATGCTAATGTAACAGCAATTGTAGTTTGAAGATTTTTCTTTCTAGCTTTTTTTTTTTTGGAGGCAGAGTTTCCCATGTTGCTATATAGTCTGCTTTTAATAACTACTTTGAGTGAGTATGCTATAATTTAACCATGGATTATTTTTTCAGAGCTGAAAATACAGAGTCAAGGAGTTAACGGCTTTTCGTTCATGCTTTCCAGAGCAGCTTGGATAATATGGAAACATAAAATGAGCATGCCTAGTTCACTAAATTCTCACTAGCGTTGGTGAGATTGTAATTTTTATTGGCAGTTAGCTGAGGAATGGGTGGGAGGCTGGGAAGGTGCTGAGGCCAGAGGCTTTGGTTACCTATTTAGGATGCAGAGTGATTGAGGAAGGACTTCGGAAAAATGGGAAAGAATTCTCCTTCCAGGGCAGCCCAGCATCTGCAGCCTCAATCTGTGTTTTTCTGCAGTGAGCAAAGAAAGTGGTCCAGACAAACAGCCAGAAAGCCTGGCACATAAGGAAGCGCTGGGCAGAGGGAGGATTCCAGAAGAGAGGGCAGCAATAACACTGGCAAAGGTTGCCTTCTGCTGGGTTTGGAGATGGGTAGGTTTGGCATAAGAATGGTGAGCATGTTAGTAAAACAGGTGCCAAGAAATAGAGACAGTAGAGAAATTCTTGCTGGTGGGCCCCCAGGACAAAATAGTCTTGCCTCTTCTTAAAGAGACAAATTCGGAGGCTGATCTGGTGGATCTGTAAGGGTTGCATCTAAAGGTTTCTACCCCTGAAGTTTAGCACTGATTTGTCAGCCAATAAAAAGCTCAATAAAATAATTCGTCCACTCAAGAACGAGGAACTTTTGGGCAGTTAAAAACGAGTATGTCTGGAGAAAGTAACGCCTTTACTCTTGATTCCAACAGGAGGTGTGTGGTAGCCTGGAGATGCCTCCAAACAGGAAACGAGAATTGGAGTCGCACTGATGAGGAGGGAGTGAGGGAGCGTTCTGTAGTTGCCCAGCCGCACTCAGTGTTACTGCAAGAGAATGGAAATTATCTGTGAGAGAAGAGGGAAGGCTGGGGATGCTTTGGACCTAGGAAAATCAGGACCTAGCTGAGCATTATGAAAACTCCTATTTTAAATTTATAGAAATGGACAGGGATTCCACTTCCAAGTGGAAATACTACAGAAATTTTTTTTTTTAAAACTGCATTGCAGATGCCCTCTCCTGGAGTAAGGAAACAGACTTTGACTTGCTGTGTGTGGAAAAAGTTACTAAAAATAAACAGGGTGGTCTGATTTTGTTTCTGTCATAATGGAAAATTGTGAGAAAGTTGCCAGAGAATATCATCTCTGGGTAATGCAAAGATCTCATGAACTGGGGTCATCCAATTTAGACAGCCTCGGCCTTCCAAATTATCGCTTTGAGGCAGTGGGGATATAACCACTGTTTTGGTTGGATTACAACCACAGGTTGGAAAGAGGGTGTGTGAGGCATAAGAGGTCCATGTGGCTTTTGCTAAGAGCAGGTCAGATAGAACAGTGGGAGAAGTTGATGAGTTCTGGTGACTCCGGAGTAAAGACGAGAGGCAGAAGCCTATCTAGAATTCCACATACCATCTGGTGGAGGCAGCAACTGTAGACCTGGGACCACGTTTCATTTCTATTTGCTGTTTTTGTTATATGCTGTATCTTTCTCCAGAAAGAATATTGGTAAACCCTGTAGGAGGAATACTTATTTGTGGAGCCAGCCAGAAAGGAGGGAGGGAGTTGGGAAGACTATGTCCTCCTTGACAGCCATGTTCAGTTATTCCTGCCGTATGGAAGGAAAAGTTGACTTTATATTTGCTTTGTAGAATGCACAGGTAGATTCCATCACTGGAACAGTATATCTAACAGAAGTTGATTCTTTCTTGAAATCTGAAATAATGTAGTTGTAAATTCATTGGAGCCAGGAGCCTTTTTTCTTCCCCCATAATTTTTTGATAACCTTCTTAATTTCTCTTATTGTTGGTCTGTTCAAGTCTCTTAATATTTTTAATGTATGATATAAGTAGCTGTATTTTGTCCTTATAGTGGTGTTCCACCAAAACTTCTAATAACCAAGGATCTCTGAATATTGATAAATACGTTACCAAAATGGGAAGTATATTCGTGTAAGATACAGTGGATTTATGACTCTGAGGTTGTCTTGGTCAGTGCCTCTTTGAGAGAGACAGATTTTTTAGATGGAGGTTGTTAAAATATACGTACACTAATGTGATTTAAATATAGTTGGTAAGGCAAGGAGATATTATCACACTTGGTCATTGTCATTTTAGCAACAGAAATTCTACCTGTGCATAGAGAGATTGAGGAAAATCAGAAAAAGAAGGATGGATTATAATGGAAGGAGAGGCACTCAGCGGTCAGATGCTTTCACCACATCATGCTTAGTTCATATTCTCAAATAACTTAAAATTCCAGATCTCAGCAGGACTTGGAACCATTTTGATTTCACACACTGCCTTATATTTGCTTCATAGTGTAAGTTAAGACAGTGAATCGTATTTGGCGTATGTGACTAAAGGGGGTTCAGGGGATTCGTGGACTTTGGAAGTTAAGTAAACAGACTGTCACTGGCTGTGTCAACACTGGGTCTTTTTATGTGGATATAGCACTTATCACACTGCACTGTCAATATTGAGTGGTCCTTCTCCCCTCTGCCTTAAACCATGCCCCTCAGTTTTTGTATATATGTCCGTGGCACCTAGCACAATGTCTGGCACATCAGATAATGAATGTTTGTTAAATAAAAACTCATATCTGGAGATAGATTCAGATAGAATGAAAGTCGAAAGTGGATTTCTGGCATTTTGACATTGTTATATGAAGCCTACTTTGGCATTTTACCCCAAATTAATTGTAATTTTAAGGAGTGGTACAGATAAAGTAGATTGGATGGGTATGAAGGAAAAATTCCTACATGAGAGAAAAATTGCACTTCTATTTTTAAGGAGAAATTATGTTCTGAGGGTTTTTAAGCAAGAACATTAATCATTTTTGAATACAGAATAGAATTGGATGAAATAGTTGAAATAAGCATGGCAGAGAAATAAGCAGATGAAGGCACAGGTGGAAAGGATGCACTTAGAAAAACTATGATTGGTAGAAAATGGGAAAATAGAATTTGACAGCATTTGCGAGATCACAAGAGAAGAACACAGCAAAGGTCTTGGAAGTATTACTGGCATGGAGGTTATCTGCTAAGGGATGTGTCCAGAGAACCATCCACTGCTCCAGCCCTGTCTTGGCAGGGCAGTCGCAAGAACACTTTAGTGTCTTTGTGTCAGTCTTATTGATGGCGCAGGGCTTTAAGCACTTAGGAGGAATTTGGCAAAAAGGGGGATTCTGGACTCCCTGCCTTGTTATATTACTGTTGGTTGTTCTCCCTTCGTATTTTCTCTTACTGAGCCCTTTCTCTGACCAGTACTGACGTAGGTGCTGTGGGAGGAGACCATAACAGTGAAAAAGGCACAGTTCCTGCCTTTAAGCTTTTAATATAACAAGGAGACAGATACTTATTGTTTGGTTATTATTTGTTTAAGTTATATAATAAAAACACGTGTAGATTCTATCGCAGCACTGAGAGGAACAATTATTTTTTCCTGGGGGATTTGAGAAGAATGTACTCTTTGATCTGGATCTAGAAGTCACCAGGGTTGACGGTGAAGGGACGTTTCTGGTAGAGGGAAAAGCTGATTAACAAAACCATGGAGTCGTGAGTGTGCAAGGCTTGTCCAGGAATGAGATGTAGTTTGGTGAGGTATTGTAGTAGTGAGTATTCTCTCCACCAAGGATCACTTTTATTGTATTTCTCCCAGGGACTCTTTGTTTTGGGGGAAAAAATTAACTGCACTTGTTAGTATTACTATTTTTCTTTTGCAGCATTGATCCATATTTTAATCAGTTCATAATAATTTGGTATCCATAAAAATAGTAGAAATGATGTAAATTTCTATTATTGTTGTGATGCTGATAGACAGCCAAATTAAGTAAGCTTGGTGGCAGATCGTTTTCATTTCACATGCCAACTCTGCTCATGACTCCCTGCAACATTTGTCAAGGTTTTGAGGCCTGTTCTGGGTTTTCAGGCCTTGTCTGGGTTTTGTGGGAAAGATGGCATGTTTGAGAGTGATTTCTCCTATGGGCCCAGAAGAAGGGTGTGGTGCCTTATGTGCTGCCTTTGCTATTTCTGCTATAAACCCATAAGTGGTGTTTATTTTTTACTGAGCCCTTAATTCCAGTTGTTATTCCCTACTTATGACCAAAGTTGATGATCCACCAGATGTGTTTAATTCTAGTGCTGTGACTGCGTGACACTTGATGTTATCAACAACCAATCAGAGCTTTTGATTAACACAAAAACTACCGAGTTGATATAATTCTAGCCAGAAACCGTACACTTGACGTGTTCGTTTAGCTGGTGCAGATTTGTCATGGGTCAGTGGAACATTTGAGATACTCACATCACCAAGACCCATAGTACATTTTTCGTAGACTTTAGGGGGTCTACTGCTTCTTGGTTAGAAGCCTGTCAGGTGCATGGTAGGGAGAATGTTTCAGGAGACTGGAACATAGTTTGGGATCAGATGATGAACAACCCTTTAGAGGTTTTAAAGTGGAGAAGGAACGCAGTGTGATGTTTGTTTCAGAAAGAAAATTCTGGGGACAATATTGAGGATGGGTTGGGGAAGGCACGAAGGTATTCTTGACTGAATTCATTTTATTTCCACTGTCATCTTCTGGAATCTCATCATTCCTTTTTGGTAACTGGAGAATCTCTCAGTTGGTTCATTTCTCATTCCTTTCACTGAGGTTTGCTTCTTTTAAAGCTACAGTCACATTTTTCTTCTCTCTTCGGTGTTGGCTCTCTTTATTTCTGCATCTCCCTTCCATCCAAGCTGTCGTAGACTAACATGGGCTTCAGCACACGCACTGGAACTGTTCTTATTGAGGTGAACAATGACGCTCTAAGCGTCAGATCTGGGGGCTGCTCTGTATTTCTTCCTCCTGGAAGTCTTTGTGGCATTCGATGGTGTTGACCATGTGGTTCTTTGACCTGTTCTCCCTTGATGTAATTCTCTCCCGTTTCTGCTATCTTTCTAGCCGTTTCTTTTCAGTCTTCTTTTCCTCTGCTTTCACCTTAAACATTGCTTTTCCTTAGCGTTCTGTCCTTTGGGTACTCTTTTCTTTTTATTTTCGAAGCTCTTCCTGATGAAACTCAGCTACATCTTTGACAACTTTAAAATGTGTGTGGTCTCTAGGTTCATATTTTCAATTGTCTCTCATCTGAGGCACAGGTACCCAAAATTAAACATGTCTGAAATCAATCTTTGTTAAAGCATAAATTTTAAAAGAGGATATAATCATGACTCTCATACCTTACATACCTTACAAAATGTGTCAGAGGTCTTTATTTGGCTCATTAATTCATGAGGGAACCAATAAGATATTAAGACTTGTTCAAAAGAGAAAAAAATACCACAGGTTTATAGTCAGACAAGGAATGCTGAAATGCCTGTGAAACTGGCCAATGTGACAAGGCGGTAATCAGTTGCATTTCACTGGACACACTTTGTCTTTCTGTGAAAAAGCATTATTTGCATTACTTCCAGTTTTCTGCAAGTTACTTCTGTCTCTACGAAGTGAAAATAGACTTTCCAAAGATAAGCAAAGGTGCGCTCCTCATACAGGTAGAGAGAATCCAGGGAGTGAAAAGATACCCAGTAATTTTTTTTCTCCCCATTTCAAAATCTTCCGCAGTTTTCCCCTGCATCTTCTCCAAACTTGCTGTCCTCTCCCTCTGTTCGTTATCTTAGAGTAACATGTCCCCACAGTAACTATAGTTAGAAACGTCACTAATCATGCTTGACGTGGTCGATTCTTAGACTCCTGTCAACACTAAGTTTTATTGATTCTGCTTGTTGGTCTCTAAAATTTCTTTGTCCCTCATTCCATTCTCTACGATACTATCAGTTATTTTTCAAAAATACATATTTCTACTCAATGCTGTTGTTCTCATACTTTAAAACGTTTCATTTTTGAATAGCACAGACAATAACACCCTGACACTTCGGCTTGGCATATAAGATCCTCTGCAGTTCTTATCCAAACCTTTCTTCCTGGCCACATTTACTGCTCCTTTCTTCCTCAATTTCCCAGTGCTCAAGCCTCGCTGAATCCTTTATATTCACTGATGCTTCTGTACTTTGACTTCTGCTGTTCCCTTTGCCTGGAAGACGTTTTCCCACATCTTTCTTGCTTTTCAAAATCCAGCACTCACTTCGTCTCTTCTGTGAATCCCATTACGGTGGTCTCAGGCAGTTAGTTAGTCCTCTAGTCCTTAGCACGTCAAATTGTGCTTTTCTTGCCAGCTAGGTTCTCCTAGATCGGAGAGTTCTTGAGGGCAGGACCTTATCTTGTCTTTTTATCCTTCTTTGAGTACAACACAAGGCTTAATGCCCTGCATAATTATTTGCTGAATCAAAAATAACTAAAGTTTCTAAAAGCTCCTATAACCAAGTAGATAGTAATACTGTACTATTAGCTGATACACAGAGGAACAGATTTGGGTTTTGAGCATGTTGAATTTGAGATATTTTATTACATTTCAGAAGTGTTCAGGAGGTACACTATTTGAAAATAGGAGGATGCAGGAAAAGCAGACCTGAGTGTCCGTAGTGTGTAGGTGATACTGCACGTCACGTCAGTTGTTGGGATCCCATGTAGTCTGAGAAGAGGAGCCATATGAGAAGATAGTTGCACTAGTGGCTGGGGGGCGGGGAACAAGAAAAAAATGACACTGATAGCAGTTCATTTCCTTCCTCTTCAGTAGGATGTAACGGCCTGGAAAAAATTGAGGGGAACAGATGCTGTTTTTTTTAAAGAATCATTTGTGTGTGTGTATTGCTTTTAAAAATAGGATTAATATATATTTTTAAGAATGAACAAAATAGGAATTTTCATATATTATTGATTCCTGGCCTTTACTATCCTAAAATGGTTTCTACTATCTGTGTACTAGAAAAATTTTAATGTAAAACTGGCTGCAATATCACATTATTGCAATTTATGTTTATTGAGATGAAACAATTCATTGTTTCTGTCAAGGGCAAGAACATAATATATTTTTGCCTCTGGGGAGGGGGGAATAAATACTTTCATAAGAGAAGGAAGGACTCAGTGCTTTCTTTGCTTGTGGGTTTCCTCTTGTTCACTTTTGATCTAGATATTGGTGGTTCTGTTCCAGTCCTCCTGCATATAACCAAGAGGATTGGGAGTGGAGTGGACACCAGCAGAAGCACCATTTTTGCCTGTAGAGATTAGAAACAAGGAGCTTATTGCCCTGCTTGTCAAGGCTCAGGACAGAGAGGAGGAAGAAACAAGTATAAAGGTTTTGGTTTTGGAAAGAAGTTGGAATCTCCTGACCCTGGGACCTTAAGATCCACAAAATTGCTGAAAGAAAAAGTACTACCTTATGGAAAGGTAAGCTATTAAACTGTTTTAAGGTTTAAGCTATTTTAGCCAAAGTAGTGTATTTTCATAAGCTATGAAATCAAGCAATCATTTCTGCAAAGCCTAAGTTTTTGTGACATAATCACCCATCCAGCCTTCCTGCTGAGGTGGAAACCTCGGTGGCGGGAGATATGTTTATAGTGAGGGAGAGCCTTCCCAAAATTCCACTCATTTTAAAACGACATTTACTGAATGCCAGGCACTGTGCTAGGCCTTGGATATACAGAGATTAATGAGTCACCCTACCTATCTAGAAGTTCTCGTTCAAGGAAAAGAAAAAAACAATGATTACAATGTGATAAGTGCTATAATAAATAGGAAATATGTGCAATGAGAGTGGTCCAACTCTGTCTGAGGCAGTGACGTTTGTGTCCTACAGGATTAGTAGGAGCTCATGAGGCTGCAAGAAAGGGCTGGGCATTTGAGTTAGAATTATGTGTTTAAAGACATAGGTATGAAAGAGTATCCTGTACTGGAGGAACACACCAAATTCCAGAAATTACTATCTGAATGTTTGCTATGGGCAAAAGAGGGGAGAGTGATGAGATGTTTCTAGGTAAGATTGGGCCAGTTATGGAGGCTTTGTTGCATGCCAAGGAAATTTTAATTTACCTTATTAGCCACGGGGAAGCATCAGAGATAAAAAACAAAAAATTGCGGGACTACTTGAGTTGCAAGATGGGTAGGAGAAAAAATAAATATATGGTGTTAAAATAAGAATGTACCTGTAGCTCTCTAATTGGGTCCCAGTCTCTCTCTTTTCTTTTTTGCTAATATTCCTGGTATCCTTATGTTCTTACTAGATTGATTCTAAACTTTGTGGGTTACTAAAGAGTAGGATTTTGTCTTAGAGTGTTGAGAACTCTCTCTCCAATTTGTGCCCACCTTGAAAACCTTCTAAAGTGTGTATTGTGCGTGCCTCAGCCTAAAATCATTTTCTTCATTCTGAAGAGAAAGCCATACACCAAAGAGTAAAGTTTCTAGCTGCTTAAATGCTACAAGTAACTGGCCAAACTTCTTGTCTCTAATCATGACCAAAATAAGGTTATAAATTTGTGGTGACCTCAAGGAAAGAAAACCATCCTAAGAGAAGTCAGACTTGACCCTGAAACGTTTTGCAAGAATTAAGTAGTTTGAGGACTCATTTGAGGGCCCAGAATCGACCCCACAGGCTCTGGTTACAGTAGAGGGGCCTGACACAAGGTAGAGATTTTAGAGTCGTTGGTTGCTGGAGCATCAGTTGACCGACCTGTTAGATGTGCTCAGAACTTGATGATGTCTCAACTCTAGGGACTAATGAGAAGATGGTGACCCTGGGGGAAGGTTTGGGTGAAATGCTTGAAGAGGGATATCTACATTATATGGATTATGACCTTTACTAAGATAAGAGAACAAAGAAGAGAAGATAGCCACTGGAGCGGGACATTCACAAAGCAGATTTCAGTGAGGCTCAAAGCTCTTGCTGTGTCTTTCCCCAGGAGCAGTACAGACAGACTGGGGAAAGGGCTCTGCGTAGATTGTGATGCTGGAGGACTACAGGAAGCTGATCTGTACAGTTTCAAAACTACATGTAATCTAGGAGGAGCAAGGAGAAGAATCATGTTTGAAGACATAACGTTTCAAAAGGCATCTACCAAGATTGGGAGGCTAAAAGTCAAGGATGTCAGGCCAAAAGTGGAGCATTTCTATGAAATAAGCCCAAAAAGCAAAAAATGGAGGGAGAATGGGAAAATTCTCAAAGGATATCTTGAAGTACTCAAAATGAGATACATCAAGAGACCTGGGCTTTAGTCTTCAGAGCTATTTTTATGACCTATAAAGTTTTACCCTCTTTCTGTTAGAAGCTCTGAAATATGATGATGACTTGTAGAAGGAATAATGGATTGACAGTTGAAAGTGTGGCCATTGCCACCAGAAAATCTTTCTTCTATGGAAACGAATATACAAGGATCGAATCTGAAAATAACATCAGCCAGAGCTCAGTTCTCCTTATGTAACAGACAATTCTCCCACTGGCCCTCTATATAGTGCCATGGAATAGGCTTTACATATGTTTATATCTAGTTATACTAGATACTAGTTTATCTAGTTTCAAATTCTAATCAAAGGTGAAAATATTTTGAATATAATGAATTTAAGAAAATTGTCACTGAGAATACGCTCACGCAAATTCGGAATTCTTAATAGAAAATATATAATGATTTGAATGGGTACAGGGAAGTTTTTGTCATTAGCAAACTTCTTGTTTAAATCTAAGAAACTGCACATTGGAGGACTCAGGAGGGGCTCTGAACAGACCCAGGGCCTCTGTCTGTGGTAGCAAAGCCCTGGGTGCAGATTTTGAAATGCCTTCAGGTAAGAATGTTGAATAATTCATCCTAGAAAGAAATTCTCTAGGTTAAAAAATATTTTTGTTTTCCTAATGGTTTCTGTTGTACTTACAGAGAGTAAAGAATTTGTTGTGGTTTTAGTCTTTGACATTCTTGGACAGGACAAAATAAGTTTCCTGTGCAATAAAAAGCAAATCATAACCTAGTTAAGCAGCTCTTCAATCTTTGTAGCTCAGTACAAGATTGGCATTTACCCCTGTTAGAGATTGGTTACAATTAGAGAAGGTTTTAAGAAATGTTTTATTTGTGAACTTTCAGAGCAGCATTTCAAAGTGCTCTGATTTTTTCAACATGTTTGTGTGATTAAGAAAGATCTATATGTTACCTTATTTATGAACTGGGCTGTGACAATGTTATAGTAGTAAGGTACTATTTATTTGTAACATGTTTTTATATAATATATGTCATTTGATATTCAAAACAACCCTGCAAAATTAGTAGGGTAGGTATTATTATCTCCATTTTACAAATGAAGAAGAGTGAGTGTCAGAGAGGCTGAAAATTTCACCCCAAGTCACAAAGCTAGACTTGGACCATTTCCTGCATCATTGTTTCTTCAGATGAGCGCAACTCAGTTTTGTAGGCACAGACTGGCTTCGTCTGCTTTTTGTTGTCTTAATCGTTGCTTTCAATGGGAAACTTTCTACACAAGGCTGGAAAATGATTGTGAACATATACAACGGAGATAAACATTTTTTTCTATCAACAGTTACAGAGAATAGGTGTCAACATGCTCTTAGGTTTTAAGAACATGATGACGTCCTTATTAGCACCACAACACCGGCTGTAAAGGCATGGTTAATTGTTATGAAAGTGTTCTTATTTTTCCAGGAAGACTCAGGAATTTGGGGAAATAAAGTTCTGGGAACAAATTTACATGTACCTTTGAAGAGTGATGGAAATTTTTTTGATTTTTGACAGTTTCAGTTCTTTTATGCAGATTGATCTTACATAATGATAAAATTCTAGATTTGACTTATCAAGATTATAAACTAAGGCCATTTTATGAAATGTCCTATGAAATTGGATATCTTGCTATTTTGCAGGATGAAGAAACACGCAAAGACTACGACTACATGCTGGATCACCCGGAAGAGTACTACAGCCATTATTACCACTACTACAGCAGGCGCTTAGCCCCTAAAGTGGATGTGAGGGTTGTGATCTTGGTCAGTGTGTGTGCTATTTCAGTGTTTCAGGTGTGTATTGATGGAAAGGTGTGTCTACGTGTTCCTTTTTGTAAAATTTTACTTCCAGTTGTGATTGTTTTAACATTAGAAAAATATTCATTTATTCAACCAGTTGATAATATTGGAATCTTTGTCAGTGGGAAGTCCAAGAAATTGAGGATGAATGTCATTATATGACTACAAAAAAACCCAACAGCAGATCTTTTTTTCATTGCCCCCTTTAGAGTATTTTCCACATAACAGCCAGAGTGATTGTCAACCTGATCATATCATTTACTTTTGTAGAACTTTTCAGTGATTTTCCATTAAACTTGGGAAAAATCTGAACTTCTTAATATGACCTCACATATGACCCCTCATATTTGGCACCTATCCATCCACCAAATGCTAGTAGTGCTTGCCATCATTGTAATAACTGAAAATGTCCCACACATTTCTACGTGCCTGCTAAGGGTGGCTTTTGCTGGAGTTGAACACTACTAAAATAGATTAAAAGAGCTACAGTAACTTTTTATGTTGTTTTAAAATATCACAAAAATTTAACTTTGGCCTGAAATGAGTGTTTCCTACTATTATTCTTTTTTTTTTTTTCCTGAGGAAGATTAGCCCTGAGCTAACATCTGCCAATCCTCCTCTTTTTGCTGAGGAAGACTGGCCCTGAGCTAACATCCGTGCCCATCTTCCTCTACTTTATATGTGGGATGCCTACCACAGCATGGCGTTGGCTAAGCGGTGCCATGTCTGTACCTGGGATCCGAACCGGTGAGCCCCGGGCCACCGAAGCAGAACATGTGCACTTAACCGCTGCGCCACTGGGCCGGCCCCCCTACTATTATTCTTAAACTAACCACATCTATCATGAATTCCTTTAGAGGAAAAGACCATGTCAAGTGACTAGACTGAAGTAATTTGCTAGTTTGAAAATTGTTTCTCCAGTTTAATTCCCAGAAATGAGATTAAATTTATTTGATAAAAAGAATTCCTAAGCTAAGGTTGTATATTTTAAATGCATCCGCTTTTGTAGAGGTGTTGTCTACAGGGGAAAGCAGGGATAATTTTACTTTTCTGTTTTAGATAACGTAATATCCTAGTGACATTTTTTTTTTTTTTTGCTGTTCCTAATAGATCGCTACTAAAATATTTCAGGATATTATTGGTGTAACCACTATATTCACTCAGTAAAAGAGCAAGTCAAGTTTGAAAAGTAGGACTTTTTTTGACAATTAATAAAACCAATTGTGGTTGCTTATATTTATGAAATAAGTTGTTTCCTGTCCAAGTAAGGAAAGAGTTCAAACATATTTGAATCTTTCAGTTCAGAAGCTGATTAGCATTACTATAGTATAGGTAGATGGTTTAGGAAAGAGGCAGGAATGAGTATAGTTGCCTGAGTCTATATCCTGTGATTTTTTTTAAACCAGTTCCTCACCAGCTAGTTTTGCCATTTAACTCCTCCTCCAGTACGTAGATTGCAGTCTTAACACAGAGATTTCTTGACAGTGATCGTAGGGAAGAGCCAAATGGTAAAGATGTGAAATCACAGGTGTGGTGTGATTCCATCGGTCTATCCTCTGACCTTGGGTATCCCTTGTCTGAATTAATGGCTTTTTGGCTCAGCTCAGGGCTTGCCTGACTTACCCAGTGTTGAGACCCCATGCACACATGGGTATTATTCGGTTGTATCTTGTAATTACAGACTTAAGATGATTGAGGTCCCTATTTTTATTCAGAATGGGTTTCTCAGGGGATGGTGTTCACCAAGATGAATTTTGGTAGTAAAAATGACCCATTTTTCTTTGTTAAATGTTCTAGTTTTTCAGCTGGTGGAATAGCTACGACAAGGCAATCAGCTACCTAGCCACAGTGCCCAAGTACCGCATCCAGGCCATGGAGATTGCCAAGCAGCAGGGCTTGCTCAGAAAAGCCAAAGAGAAGGGCAGAAACAAGAAGTCCAAAGAGGAAATTCGTGATGAGGAGGAGAACATCATAAAGAACATTATAAAAAGTAAAATAGATATTAAGGGAGGCTATCAGAAACCCCAGATACGTGATCTTCTCCTGTTTCAAATTCTCTTAGCTCCTTTTCACCTGTGTTCGTATATAGTGTGGTATTGCCGGTGGATCTATAATTTTAACATCAAGGGCAAAGAATATGGCGAAGAAGAAAGACTGTATATCATACGTAAATCTATGAAGATGTCAAAGTCTCAGTTTGATAGTCTGGAAGATCATCAGAAAGAAACTTTTCTTAAACGGGAGCTCTGGATCAAGGAGAACTATGAGGTGGGTAATCCCTCTGCTGTGATTTCAGTGTTGCTCCTCTGCCACGCTAAAGTGAGGCTGGGCCCCAGGAGCACACTCATTCCTCAAATCCCAGAGTCACGTAATGAACAAAGATCTTTCACTGAAAGTAGGACCGTATTTGGTAGTGGGACAGTGGGTTTTTAACCTGTAATTTGTCTTTTTTTTTTAAGATTTTATTTTTTCTTTTTCTCCCCAAAGCCCCCCAGTACATAGTTGTGGGGTTTTTTCCCTATGTAGACCACCGATTTTTTCTTCTCTTTTTCTTTTTGAGTTAATTTTTATTGAGTTAATGATAGTTTACAATCTTGTGAAATTTCAGTTGTACATTATTGTTTGTCAATCGTGTTGTAGGTGCACCCCTTCACTCTTTGTGCCCACCCCTGCAACCCCCCTTTCCCCTGGTAGCCACTAATCTGTTCTCTTTGTCCACATATTTAAATTCCTCATATGAGTGGAGTCATACAGCGATTGTCCTTCTCTGTCTGGCTTATTTCACTTAACATAATTCCCTCAAGGTCCATCCATGTTGTTGCAAATGGGACGATTTTGTTCTTTTTTATGGCTGAGTAGTATTCCATTGTATATATACCACATCTTCTTTATCCAATCATCAGTTGATGGGCACTTAGGTTGCTTCCATGTCTTGGCTATTGTGAATAATGCTGCAATGAACATTGGGGTGCATGGGACTTTTGAAATTGCTGACTTCAAGCTCTTTGGATAGATACCCAGTAGTGGGATAGCTGGATCGTATAGTAGTTCTATTTTTAATTTTTGAGAAATCTCCATACTGTTTTCCATAGTGGCTGCACCAGTTTGTATTCCCACCAGCAGTGTTTGAGGGTTCCTTTTTCTCCACAACCTCTCCAACATTTGTTACCATTTGTTTTGGTGATTTTTGTCATTCTAATGGGTGTAAGGTGATCTCTTAGTGTAGTTTTGATTTGCATTTCCATAGTTGTATATTTTTAGTTGTGGGTGCTTCTAGTCGTGGCATGGCCTGATGAGTGGTGCTATGTCGGCGCCCAGGATTTGAACTGGGGAAACCCTGGGCCGCCAAAGCAGAGTGCGCGAACTTAACCACTCAGCCATGGGGCCGGTCCCCCATTTTTTTGTAAAGTAACTTGTCTTTTTAAAAGATGAACTTCAAATACTTGAATTGACCGATGCTGAAAATTTTAAGAATGGTCTAATTGGTTGTGTTAAACTGCAGTGGGATGATGTATACGTTTGCGTGGATTTCACAACTTTTTAATTTTGCTTTTAAATTAAATTGACTTACTATATTGCCGCTAAACTTTGGGCATTTTAATAAATACTATATTCTACAATCGTCATCTATAACAATTGCTTTGAGGTGATCAGCTGCTCAGCTGAAGTCCTAAAGAAACTAGTAATCTCATCCTAATAATATTTTGGGTTTTGAATAAAATTAATTGGTTAAGGTATTAAAATAAGAATAAAGCACAGGGAAACCTTAAGAAATCTGAGATATATTTGGTTTTTTAGTTTCATACACATTCCTTTTTATATGTGGTGCCCTAAATATTAGATTTTACTGACAGTTTCATTCTGAATTAAATAAGTAACTTACTATGAATTGCCAGAATGTTTTGGCAAGTAGACATATTCAGCCTGCTTATAAATAACATAAAAATGGAAGGTAACATACAATTTTGCTCCTAAATTATTTGGAAGATTTTCTCTTTTTAGTAGGTTAAGCAGCCCAATCCACAAAACTGTCTTTCATAGCGTACCATCCTGGGCTGAATTATCGTAGGTTGTTATATGAGATTATCTTAGTTATTACTTCCTAAAATTTGGAAAAGGATCATTTCTTTCTGAAATCTGATGTGGCTGTAGAACTGCATTTGACGCCTTGTCCGTTTAGCTTTAACTGAAATCCACTAAAAGTTACAGAAATGCAGATGGTCTTTGTTCGTAATCTGTGTGGTGTACTTAACCTTCTTTGGGAACTTTAATAAACTATTTTGAAAAACTAGTAATTATCTTTGAAAATAGAAATAGCCGTAAGTTCAGTTTGGAGACACATGTCTACACAGGTCATTTTGTACCTTGGTAGGATCAACAAATACTGAAAGTCATCAGTTAAATTTACAGAGTACTGTGTTAAAAAAATAAAGTGTGATTCTTTAATATTGGACATTAGTTGTAGAGAGGAGCTGTGTAATCCTTTTAAACTCAGCTTGTGTATGATTTCAATGAGGAAAAGAATGTATTCCCAGGTTACAGAAATCGGTGACAAAAAATTAGTATTCTTGTACAAGGTGTTCTTTTTTTTTTAACACTGAAGGTTAAGGTGCTTAATTGCTTAGTATTTTCAGATGCATGCTCTTCAGAAGACAAACCGATACATTTATTGGGAAACTTTTACCTAAAGTTATATTTGAAAAATGTAAATATGCCATAAAGCTAATGACGCGTTTCCCTTTGGATCATAAAGTCAATTAGTGTTATTTATACTGATAGGTTTACAAACAAGAACAAGAAGAAGAACTAAAGAAAAAATTGGCAAACGATCCTAGATGGAAGAGATACAGGAGGTGGATGAAGAATGAAGGGCCGGGACGGTTAACGTTTGTGGATGACTGAAGATTGCCGGAATGCTATTATGCCAAACCTTAATTGTGACATTATTTTCATAACTGAATTATTTCAGAAATGTATCATCTGCTCCTCAGCAGTAACTAAAATTCCTCAAATACTTGATTAAACAATAATATAGAAATTTAAACTTTTCCCTTAAAACTTTATACATAAGACATTTATGATTGTTCAATTTTTATAATCTATTTGTGGATTTTGTTAAAAGATTTGACATGAAAATTTATTAGTTGCCATTTAAGAATTTTATATGTTTAGTTAAAAGATTTGACGTGAAAATTTATTAGATACCATTTAAAATTTTTACGTGTTACGTGTTTATTCTTCCAAAGTGTTTCCTTACTCTTTGTTATAGTGCTGCATTTTTCTGCTTTCATGGCCTCTAATATTTTCACCAAACATAAAAAATTATAACAGCATTTAAGTACATGATTGTGAGTGTCTTTCTAGACACAGACTTCAGTAAAATGGTTTCAGCTATCATGCCATCTTCATTACAGTCATTCTAGGATTGCAGTATGTTCAGAATCTCTCTCTAGGAGAGTCTTCTGCTGGAATATCCTTATACTGTTTCCTCCCGTCATAATGTTCTTATCAGAGCAGAAACTCTCCAGGAGAGTGAGCCTACCTTCACGTCCTTGTGGGATGGTCTTGATTACAGTCATTATAGGACTATAAGTGTATTCTCAAACGCGTTTCCCAGAGAGACCTTGTAAGAAGGTCTTTTGTACCACAGTAATGCTTCTCCCCCACCCTTCAAGTAAAAAAAATACTGGAGCAGAAATAGTGTACTGAAAAGTTGTTCATATACCTGTATTATGAAGTCCTCGCGTGGTGAAAAATCCATTGTACATGGGTGCATTTACATGCATTTAAACCAGAAAGAAGAGGTGCATGGCTGTGTGCTGTTCTATCAATGAAATATAAATGTTTATACATGTGGAAGTGAAAGTAATTCACACGTAATTTGACTGAAGCAAGTGTGATACTGCACCAGAGTGTCGAGACACATTCATGGTAGTGAATCAATACTCCTGTGAAAGGATTTATCCGATTGCTTCATATTAATAAAATGGTTGCAAGATATCACAGTTCTGTTGGTATGACATTTTAAGTCAAAGATTAACATATTGCTTTTGTATTACATAATTTTAAAAGATTAGTGTAAATAGTAGATATTGAGTCTCTTTCTAGCTAAAGTAAACTAGTCCTTTCGGGAGCTCAGCCCAAATATGTGACATAGACCAAGAGGCAGGAGGGAAGAATTCTGCCCTTGCTAATGTGGACAAAGACCCGAGGCAAGTCCCTCAGTCGGGTGAGGGCCTCATTTGCTTCGTTAGAAAATGGGGGGAGGAGTTTGACCAGATTATCACTAGGGCCCTTTTGCAGCTCTAAAATTTAGAAGTGACGTGATTATATTTTTGTAAACTTAAAATGAAAGCGTCACATGCCTCCGTTCTTTTTAGGCGGGTGCAGAAACTACAGAGCCAAACTCCGGGAAGCTATGTTCCAAACCTGCAGGGCCCAACTCTTAACCAGAGACAAATGCCTTTCAAAGGTGCTGTGGTCTTAGAGCCAGCAACCCGCCTTAGAATTCATTATCATATATTTAACACAGAATAGTATTTGTCATCTAAGAACAGAAGTATGTGCCATGTGTGGTAAGGACCAAGAAGAAATGTAGGCACTTGGCCCTCTGTTAAAATTTCAAAGAAATTTCTGGTATTCTAGTAGTTTTTCCCCAGTGATAAGGAAAAATAAGAGGACTGGATATGTTAGTATTCGTAAAGCTTGGCTGATAAAAACCAGCTATCTTTGGATATTATTTTGCATATCTGCTGGATTGCTGTATTTCTGACTTTCCAGAGATCTCATTTCAGGAATTGTCCCCAGCAGCCTGCTCACCTGGTAAAAGTGTGGTCTCTTTTTGGAATCATGGTCATTGCATAGGTCAAGATGAATGGATTCTCCTTAACGGAAGCACTATGATTCTTCTCTCCCCTTCCCTCGACAGAATAACTGCTGCAAAATCCTAGAGTGAAGGAAGGGCCATTAGTTGTCACAAGTGTCATTCAAGTACTCTGGGTATTGTCCATCCTCTACCCATCCCCCACCAAAAAACCAAAAGCTTCTCCGGCGTTAGGACCATCTGGAGGAGGATCCTGGGTAGAGGACCTCACAACCCCACTCGTTAGGAAATTCTTCTTGTGCTTCACTTTAGGGCTGTTGCCATCCCCCTTTTGCTTGACATCCACGGGTTTATACTGCATTGCTGTTCATTGCTGTGTGTTATCACTTCATGTAATTGAGGTCTGTGCTAACATTACTAAGTCTTAGGGTTCTATTCCTGTCAAATATCTTCATAACAGATTCCAGTACTAACCTTTTCTCACTGGTCTTATTTCTTTATGAGTTCTTCAAGTTCTATCAATCATAGGTTGCTGTTTCATAACCCACCTGTTAGGTAGTTACCATGCCTAGAATCAGTTTAGAGAATTAGCAATTATTTTCATACTATTGAATTTATGTCTAGAAAATCATAGTAGTTCATTTCTTTTGAGATTTTTTTCGGACTGAAAGCGTACTAAACTTTTATCACCCAAACTTGGAGATATTTCCTTGAGTGGAAGCCATTGCTAAGCCAACATTCAGCCAGTATTATGAACCAGTCTGCTGGCCCCAAATGGAGAGGTCTGTGGAAATTAAAGAGAAATGTCTTTTTTTTTTTTTTTAAAGATTTAATTTTTTTCCTTTTTCTCCCCAAAGCCCCCCAGTACATAGTTGTATATTCTTCGTTGTGGGTTCTTCTGGTTGTGGCATGTGGGACGCTGCCTCAGCGTGGTCTGATGAGCAGTGCCATGTCCGCGCCCAGGATTCGAACCAACGAAACACTGGGCCGCCTGCAGCGGAGCGCGCAAACTTAACCACTCGGCCACGGGGCCAGCCCCAAGAAATGTCTTTTATTAGACATTAGTATAAATATATCTAGCTATTTTAAAACATTAAATCAGACATGGTCTCTGTTGAGTTATAACTGTGCATTTAAGGCAGATAAATGTTGGTCTTGATGAAACTACACGTATGGATGAAGTAGAATTAATTTTATTTACAAGATGTGATACTCTTCACATTTAAATATAGGCTAAGGCTAAACCTGGAACCTAATAACTAAATAAAATTTGCTAAACAAATTATTTAACCTTTCTGGTTTCCTCAACTATGAAATGAGGGGATCTTTGTAGATAATTAGGATTTAAAATTCTGTAGGCCTGCAAATACACATAGGTTTAGGATCTGCAGTAGATTAGATTGCCCGCTATTGAGAAATGTTATGGGCATTTAATTTAAAAGCCTACATGGCGGGGTGGGCCCGTGGCCTGTGGTGGTTTGGCACTGTGCTTCAGCGACCCGGGTTCGCAGGTTTGGATCCCAGGTGTGGACCTCCACCACTGTCTGTCAGCCATGCTGTGGCAGCGACCCATTTACAAAATAGAGGGAGCCGGGCACAGACGTTGGCTCAGGGCCGATCTTCCCCAACAACAACAACAAAAGCCTACAGAATTATTTGTAAACTTTAATCAGCTTCTTAGTACCTAGAGGATTCAGAGCGTCCTTGACAACTGTGCATGGAATGGATCACATTGTCTCAAGACAGTGCCCTGTGGGGCTTCTTACAGACTCCTCCCCGGTTTCATTAGGGGATGGAAAAACTTCCTCCCATTCAGCACCCTCTCCTTTTAGAACCTCAAGAAGAGCGAGTAAGATGCAGCGGAATGGCTCTGGCGGCTCTGGCTTTGTAGCCTGGCACACCAAGGCTCGGGTTCTGGCGCTGCAACTGTCTGGACTTTGGGCAGATTAACCTCTCAGCCATGTCTTCTCATTTTTAATAGTAAAATGAGATACTAGATCCTAAAAGTAGGATCCTAGCTCCTTCACAGGATTATGACGAGAATTCAACAAGATGGGAGTAAGTGCTGGCATATACTAAGAGCTCAGTAAATGTTTCCTTGCCTTCAGAGGGAACATGAAAGAGTCATTCTCATTCGTTAAAATCCACGGTAATCAGAGTGTTTAGTGATGACTCCAAATCCACTGTTTAAAGTCTTTAGTCTTTCACTGGGTACTTCAATTCCTTGCCTGGCGCAGAGTTCTGTGCTGGAGTGAAAACAGTGATGCTCCTTAGGCTTGGAATTGTGTGTTAAAAGCAGCTGCCTGCCCCTTGTTGCCTTTGGGGTACAAGCTGAAGCAGCAGAGATAAGCGCGGAGAGAACGAACTTTCAGAGACAACAGAACAATCAGCCACTTGCTAGTTTAAGGCCTGTGTTTCTCCTGAGCCACAGTTTGAATGAGGTAGAAGAGGCATCTCGGAATGGCTGCTCAAGAGGGCATTACCGTTAGCTCCCAAAGTCTAAAAGTGCCTGGGAAAGTCTCCCCAGAGAAGCTGAAGCTACAAACCTGCTGAACCTTTAGCTCTCGATTCCTTATTCTCTATTCTAAAAATAATGCAATGGGTACAGGGAAGTGGAGTAATTTGGTTCCGGTGCATTAGACTGTGTCACATTAAATATAGTTGTTAATGTGTTTCCCTGTTTCTTTTTAATCATTTTAGAAAACCAAAGGTATATATTACTGTCATTTGATATAACATTGGCAGAAAGAAACACCTTCCCATTATATCATTATTTTTATGGAAAAGAGTAATTTAAGCTCCTTTTCTGGAAAAATAACCCACGGTTAGTAAAAAGGTGACAAAATACATGTCAGAGGAGTAAAGAATTATAGATCGTAACAGGGAAACAAATGAAACATTTGTCTTCATAAGGACACTGACATTTCGAAAAATTACTGAGATTCTTAGAAACAGTGGAAATTTACAAGTTTTTATTTTAACCAAGAGAAAAGTGTGTAACAAATTCTTTAAAATAATATACCGGCGATGTGTGATTTGAGCTGGGGTGGGGAGGAAAGGATAGACTGTCCCCATGCCTCCCCTCCTTTCCGAGCTCCAGAAATAACTGCATCTGTGGGAAGAGACTCTCGTCCTCCAGGTGAGCAGGCGCTCTTGAAAGCTAAAATGAAAGTTCTTTTCCCACTGGGCCTGATAGTAGGCAAGTCACTTTCCTTAGTGGGTCTTAGTTTCCTCATCTGTAAAGCTAGGAGTGGACTCCATTATCTGAAGTTCTACAGATAAGGGACTACGTTATTTCCACTCTGAAGTTCCATGATGTAAAGATAAAGGATGAGAAGACATTCTGGTAAAGTAGAAAGCAAGACACAGATGGTTGGCCCTCCTCAGCTACAAGTGGGCCCAGCCTGCTCACCCAGGCGTCGCTGCAGGAGGCTGTGTGCTAACACCTGGCTGTCTCTGTCTTTTTCTTTTTTTTTTTTTTTTAAGATTGGCTCCTGAGCTAACAACTGTTGCCAATCTTTTTTTTTTTTTCTGCTTTGTCTCCCCAAATCCCCCTGGTACCTAGCTGTATATCTTAGTTGTGGGTCCTTCTAGTATGGCATGTGGGATGCCACCTCAATGTGGCCTGACGAGTGGTGCCATGTCCGCGCCCAGGATCCGAACCAGCGAAACCCTAGGCCACCACAGCCCAGCCCGAGAACTTAACCACTCGGCCCCAGGGCCAGCCCCTGGCTGTCTCTTTCAAAGCCAGCCCACTTGTCTCCAAGACTAGCACAAGCGATCATACAGAGGTGGGCATGAAGGAGGGAGGTGGGCACCCCCCTGGACTTTTTCTGCTACTACATGGCTGACACACAAGTATTACCTTATGTGTCCCCTCACTGTGGGCCACCCTAAAGCCGACTTTTCTAATTAGAGAGAATCTCATTTCTTCAGCTGTCATTGCACTCTGCTGATGTCTCCCACATCAACATCTTGCCTCTAAACATTTGCAACAGCCTTGAGGCACGTAGCAGTACAACTGAACAGTCAGTCCTAAACCAAACTCATCCCTGTTCGTTATTCCTGCCTCCACACCTCATCCTGTTTCCTGATGTCTGCTACGGCCATCGGTCTAGCCCACTCTGCCTCCGAAGCCTTTGCCCTCTTTCCCCTGCATTTCATAACCACCATGAAGCACTATTGTTAGTCTTTTGAACTTTCTCCATCCTACCTTCAGAGTTCTCTCTAGGGCCTCATTCCAGCCACTCTCTCCACCAAAAAGACAAAACAAAACTATTAATGAAAGTCATCTTGTCTCCCCAACTTTAGTTCATTTTATATCCTCATCCCAGATTAATAACCCTACAATGTTTTACCATGTGGCTACCCCAGTGTTTGCCACAAACTTTTCTGTTTCTCTTGAGGTTTTCTGTGACTTCTAGTCTTAACTGCTTTATCTTCTATTACTCACTAGAGCCTTCTCTATTCATTAATTCATTTATCCCATGTGTACATGGCCTCCTGGTCTCCCCCTTGTTGGAATGCTTTCCTCCTTCTTCTCTGCTATCTGCAGGACATATATTTTCAAGGTCCAGGTCTCACCATCTATGAGGATATTTTCCTAATCCTTCCAGTCTATATCTTTACTCCGAGTTCTCCACCACATTTTTCTTTTGGTGAGGAAGATTGGCCCCGAGCTAACATCTGTTGCCAATCTTCTTCTTATTGCTTGAGGAAGATTGTCACTGAGCTCACATCTGTGCCAATCCTCCTCTACTTTTTGTATGTGGGACGCTGCCACAGCATAGCTTGATGAGCAGTGTATAGGTCTGCACTTGGGATCTGAACCTGTGAACCCTGGACCTCCAAAGCAGAGCGCACAAACTTAACCACTATGCCACAGGGCCAGCCCCTGCCACATCTGTTTGACACGCAACCATTCTATCCTGTCTTACCAATCTAGGGATGTTTCCAACGTGTACTTTCCTCTTTTGACTAGAATATATGTTGTTTGTGGTGAGGGAACTTGCCACTAGAGAGGGCTTTAAAATTCGCAAATGTGCTCTTGTCTCAAGAAAAACTCTTAACACCCCAAAGACTGAACCTATTGCTCACTAAATGAATAGAAGAAATAATCAGCCTCAACAGTTAAGACATTTAAAAGACTTGAGATACGACTATCATCTATTAGGCTGGTAGTAGAGATAATCACAGTACGGAATTGTGAGGCTGCAGAGAAACAGGCAGCCTTCTGGTGGGAATAACAAATGCTACCACCTTCTGGAGGGTAAAGTAGGGGAAAGTTTTAAAAACTGTTTGTATTCCTTGACCCATCAATTCCACTTCTAGGCATCTTAAGGAAACAACACAGACATGCACAAAGCTGTCTGTTAACGTGGCCACCATAATGTTAAATAATAGGGCCGTAGTAAATAACTCATGATCCAGTGGTACAATGGAATACCATGCAGTCATTAAAAATAACAGAATAGGGCATATTTTTTTGACTGCCCCTGGCCCTCTTCTGGTTCCAGCATCCTGGTTTTCCTTTGGGGAACAACTCCCCCGTCCCCCAAATCTATGTGGTTTGGGTGGGTGTCTTAGTTTGGGTTCCCCAGAGAAATGGACTTTGAGATGGTGATTTTTATGCAAAAAATTTATTGGGGATTGTCAAAATCAACACATGTGGGGGTGTCCAGGAAGTGGGGCCTGGGCAGAGGGAGGAGTTGAACTGTGAAGGCCGTTGCCATAAGGGCCTCAGTTGGCCCCAGGGAGGCGCTCTGGAGCTGGCACCATCCCTTAACGTTGTCCCAACTTGAGACAAGGGCCTTGGAGTTCCGATCTTATATGTCCCACATCAGTCAACGGTTGAGAGCTGACCCTGGGAGGGCTGGCTCTCTGGCTAACGGTAGTTCCCAGAGAGGAACTTAGCTGAGAGCCATCAGCTGCTGCTACTCCCAGCAGCCGGGGAAATGAGCGCCCCAGTCCTAAATGGGGAAGTTGGGTGCTGCACCCAGCACCCGCTAGAGGTGGGGCTGACCCCACCCCCATCCCACTCTCGGCCAGGTGCAGCCAATCTGAGCGTTCCAACTCCACATAACCCCTGCCTTCAAATAGTGACTGCTTCAGGGGTGGGCCCATGACTCAGGCCGCTCAGGGAGATCCATGACGGGGATTTTTGCTGGAACAATTAGAAAGGAAAGAGGCGCTCTTGCTCGTGGGTCCGCTAGGCTGGGTCAGTGAAAGCACGGAACCTTCCTTGATAGCCCTGCACAGGGTCTATTCACCACTGAAGAAAAAGAGGCCCACACTCGGAAAAAGCAGGGCCAACAGACGGAGAAGGGGAGCCCAGAAGCTATTCTTTGAGCAATTAAATCCACTACTTTAAAATCTCTGGGCTTTTCAGTTACACAAGCCAATATATTACCTTTTTGCATTAGCTAGATTAAGTGGGTTCTGACAAATCAATGGTGTACGAGAATAACAAGGAAATACTCATGATACCTTAAGGGGAAAAATCCACGTTATATATACATATAGTACATATAGTAATGATGCCAGTTTTGTAAAACAAACGAATGTACACAGTAAAAACAAGAAAATGCAGCACGTAGAAACCATGGTTATAGTCCAACGGTGAGGTGGGAGTGCGGGGCTGCATTTAATTCTTTTCTCTAGGTTCGGCAAAGATGTCAGGGTCTGGGATTTCACCCCGCTTCCCTTACTTACCCCACCAAATCAACTGGCAGGATCCCCTGACACAGCGACAGGCCGGTTGATAGACCTGCTCCTGTCTCACGGAAGTCCCACCACTTGTCCTTCCTCTCCCTCGGGATAATTGGTCCTCACGGCAGAGAAGCCGTCACCCCCGGCCCCTTAGGCCTCCAGCTCCTTTCCCACTTTGGCTCCAGCCACAAAGGATCACGGTTCTGATTGGCCAGGCCTGCGTCTTTGCCGTCTCCATCCCCACACCAACTCCGCTCATCCCAGAAGCTTCCCCGTGGAGAGGCGCGCTCGTGCGGGGCCCCCGACGCGGCTCGGGTTGCCAGTGTAGACGCGGGTATCATCTAGGCGCGGAAGGCAGCGAGGCGGGGTTCGGGCAGCTCGGGAGCCCCGGCGGCGGCGGCGGCCCAGGGCGCGGGGCGGGCGCGGCGGCTTCCCCGCCCCGAGCCGGCGCCGCCCCCGAGGGAGCGGAGCGAGCGCAGCGCCGCCGCCGCCATGGCTTCCGGGGCCAGCGTGCTCGCCCTGCAGCGCCTGGTGGAGCAGCTCAAGCTGGAGGCCGGCGTGGAGCGCATCAAGGTGCGCGCCGAGCGCGGCTGCGGCCCGGGCGCCAGAGGGGTGGCCGCGCGGACTGGCGCTCGGCCTCGGCGGGGCACCCGCGCAGGGCCGCGCCCGGGGGAGGCGGGGCCGCGGGCCCGAGGGGCAGGAGGCCGCCGGCGGGCCCCGGGGAGACGCCCCTGTCCCCGCGAGGGTGGCCCGGGCCCGCGCGGCCGCGGGGCGTCTGCGTTCAGTGGCGTGGACGGGGAGGGGACGCACGCGAGGAGAGCAGTAAGGCAGGCGGCGCTGGGGGCCTGCGCTCGGCCGCTGCGGGAGGATGGAGGCCGGAGACGCGGAGGCGACTGCAGGGGCGGGCCCTGGTGCGGATCGATGGGACGAGAGCGCGAGCAGGAGAAGGACGAGGCTCGGGGTCCGGCGTGCTGACGGGATGCGGGGCGCTGCCACCCGCGGCGGCAGAGAGGACGGGGAGAGCGGGCGCAGGGGGATGCTGGGTGCCGCTGTGGACGGGGGGACTGCGAGGGGACAGCCAGGAGGCTTTGGCTCCACGGGCTGAAGCTCGGAGACCCGGCTGAAAGAGGGAATCCGAGTGGATGGGGGTGAACACCCGAGGAGCAGCCAACAGAGATGGCTGCGAGAAGAGGAGAACCAAGAGAAAGCAAGGAAAGGGTTTTCAGGAATTTGGGGCTTAGTCAACGGGTCCAATGTTTAGTGAGTTGATTAAAAAGCATCTGTTGTACGATTGTGTTTATCAACTAGTAGGGCATTATTTGTGGAATGTGTGTGTGTATGAATGAACACTGCCGTGATGTGCCTCACTGATGCCTTTTCTGTGCCCCTGGCACTATCCTAGGTACCGAGAATACTGTACCTCTAGTAGGGAAGGTAAGTAATAAGCACATTAACCAATAAATAAAATAATTTCAGATAAGTGATGTGAAGATTATAAAACAAAGTAAAGAGAGAGGTTTGCAGAGGAGGTTTCAGTGACGTATGTAGTGGTAGAAGCAGGCTCTAGATTGTAACAGGGTAGGCAGACTTTAAGAAATTTGGTTTTAAAGAGGAACAACTTTTGTTTTAAATTTAGGAAATGAAAAGCCATATTTTGAAGGTAAAGGGAAGGAGCAAACGGTATTTTTCCGCCGAAGGGGAGAAACAAATGGAGGAGAGTTGTTGGTCCCCGAGTCAGGGGACCTGTCTATGGGGCGGGGGATTGGAGGGGCCCCTTCCGAGACAGAAAGGAAGGAGGTAAGGATATGGGTAAAGAGAGCTTTCCAGACATGGGCTTAAGGACTTGGATGATGCTAATTTTCTTTGTGAAACAGGAGACAGGTTTTCTTCCCCGGGGCAGAGGAAAGGGAGCTAATGGGGTCACAAGAGGGAGGGGGAGGGAGAGAGTGCTGCTGGGAAGGGGAGTGGACCTCCTAGCAGGCACATCCGTAGACACCTTGTGGTTCTGAAGACCCGACTGCTGTGAGATTGGAGACGGACTGTCCTGCTTGTGATTTTCCCCTCCTCCAGCAGTACATGGCCACCCAGGAATCTGAGTGCCCAAGGTGAATGGTAGTTAACCCAAGTAGTGGGTTAGCAGGGGAGGTAAGCCAGAAACGTGTAAGTAGGGGTGGAGGGCAAGGAGTTTGAGGGTCTGCCCAGAAAGAGGCTGAACCTAGGCTGCATGGAGAAGGCACAGAGCCGGCCTCCTGGTGATGGGTCAGAGCAAAGGGCAGGAGGTGTTCTCCCTGAGACCACAGAGCAGGTGCAGTGAGACTGCAGGAGGCGGCGCCCTGGATGGTAGGAGATTGTGATTGGAAAGTAGAGTGCTGGCGTGTAAGATGTCAGACGTAGAGCAGTTATGGCTGTTGGCTGTCACTACTGGCAGTGAGGAGAAGGTTGTTTGAGAGGGGGTCAGGGAACTGAAACTGAAAACGTTCAGGCTGATGTTGGACCTGAGGTGGAAAGGAAACTGTGAGCCCGATGGCTGCCTACCCTGTGAAGTAGCTAGGGAAGATACTCTTATCCACATTTAAAAAATAATGATGGGTGATGAAACTGAGATCGTTACCGCACAAAGGGCACGATCTGCTCACCCCAAGACAAAAGGCAGTCGCCAAGAGGCAAGATGGTGGCAGAGGAAGGGCATTTTATTACAGCTTGCTAGCAGGGGGGAAGATGGCTGACTAATGTCCAAAAGAACCATCTTCAGGGGGCACAGAAACTTGAAGCAGTTTTATAGGCCAGTGGGTTACAGGGGAGGGGTTAGGAATGTTGACCCTCTGGTGTTACAGACTGGGAGTGGCCACCCCAGACAGACTCTCTTTCTGGGGGTCATCGCATTCGTAAGGAACTCAAACGAGCAAAGTTAATCATCTTATCGCAGCTGGGAGGTAGCTGCGCAAGCAGGGGTCATAAAATCCACAGAGCAGGTAGATCTCCTGGAGGACGTGTATCCAGCTGGGTTAGTCAGTCAGAGATGAAAGTACAATGTGGTTTCTTTTCTACAATATGGCTTCCCTTATGTCAGCCTTGTGTTGAGCCGGTATCAAGACCCAGGGAATTTGAGTGAATTGCTCAAGGTCACACAGATAATAAGCTTATTTGAGAGTGTCCTCGTGGTGGTATGGTCTCGGGTGCCTGCCAGGGCTTCTCTTAGGCAGCACCTAGGGAGTCAGGACAATCCAGGGTCTGGTCTGCCTCATTTCAGGGCTCAATAATGGATGTTCTCAGCACACCCAGAGATGTCTTCTCTTTAACAGACTTGCTAACTGGTAAATAAACCCGGACACCAATTTTCAAGCATATCATGGTGGGCATCCCTTCCCAGTGACTGGAATGCTCAATATCCTTCCAAGGACCCTGTCTTTGCTTTGGAGAAGCCGCCCAGAAGTTGCTGGGTGAACATGGGCTCAAACCAAGGAAAGTCATATAATTTGGGTGAAAATCATCCTGCCTCCAGTGGCAGGTGACAGCTTCCAAGTGTTTGGGCCTGTACTCTCCCAGTCTAGAGTCTCTCTCCCTTGCAAGTGCTAGAGAAATGCTGATCACTTCTGCTCTTTTTTTCTTTGCATGTCCTCTCACCATATCTTTTTGAGTATGTTTTTTGGGCTAGGGTCCCGTTAGTCCCATTTTTCCGGGGTCCTGGGATATAGTCTCCTTTCACTCAGGTGTGGAGTTTACCTGTTCTCTCTGATGCAGAGATAGTGAGCATGAGTATAATTGGTTCCAAATTTCTTTTGAATTAATAACTTATATTTAACCATTAATGCCAATTACGATTAATGTGAAAATGTCAGAACTTCCGTCGGGGGAAAAGTAAGGTTGAACATTAGTCTGATAATATTTTGTGTTTATATTTATATAACATGAAGTAAACTTATTATATTAACAAAACCAAAATTCCTAAAGCATTCTAGAAACTAGAAAGTAACTGTAACATAAGGAGTTAATTTTCCAGTTATTTGGAAGCTTAGAAAATTAACACAAACTAGTGGTAATACTTGAACAGCAACTGCCATCATTTTTCTGCAATATGAGTGAGATTTTATACAAAATGCTTTTTCAAGGCAAGAAAAATGGAAAGTGAGGAAAGCTTCCAAGTAAAACTGTGGATCAAATGGAGGATAAGAGGAAAGGCAGGATAATACCTTGTAAGTGCTGCCTAATAAACTTGTCTAAAACTTGGTGGTTAAAAACAACGTTTATTAAGTCAATTCTTGGGTCAACAATTTAAGCTGGATTCAACTGTCCAGTTCTGCTGATCTTTGCTGGGCTCTCCCGTGCATCTGCCATCAAATGGAGGGTTGGCTGGTGGCTGCATGCTCTCAGATGGCCTCACACACATGTCTGGAGGTTGGTAGGCAGGTGGCTGGGGGCTGGCTGACTGGTTGTCTTCTGCAAGACCCCCGGTTGGCTAGCTTGGGCTCATTAGATGGTGGTTTTAGGGTTTCACCGCATCAAGAGAGGGCACTGCAAAGCCTCTTGAGGACTAGGCTTGGCACTTCTCCGTTATTTCTCCCGCATCCTCCTGGTCAAAGCAAGTCCCAATGCCAGCCCAGATTCAAGGGGTGGATAAATAGATTCCACCTCTTGGTAGAGGAGCTGCAAAATATTGTGATCATTTTTTTTGCAGTCTGCCACAAATACGTTGCTAATTGTGTGTCAGCACTGTCCTAAGTGCTTTATATGCATTAACTCGCTTAACTGCCACATCAACCTAATGAGGTAGGAACTCTTCCGAAATCCATTTCACAGCGAGATCGCACGTACTGAGAAGCTGCCCGAGGTCACACAGACAGTGACGAGGCTGAGTCTGAGTCCAGACAGTCTGGTTCCAGAGGCTGTGCCCTTAACCAGTAAGCTATCCTGCCTCAGAAGCTTGGTGGAGGACCTTTGTCACTTGTGTTGAGCAGACTGGATAAGGCGCCAGCCTTAACATTCAAACAGTTTGCTCACATGGCAAACTTGGATATATCAATGCATGCTTCCTAAGTGAACATTTGTAAAGGGAACATTAGAATGAGCTATTTCTTTACTAATTCAGTCTCAAAACTAGGATTCTAAATGGATCAAAGATACAGCTTTATCTTTCCTTTATTGAACAAGCAACTAAACCAAATCCAAGTTGATAGAAATTGTAAGCTTTCCTCTTTGGAGTTCAGTTATTAGAACTTTCCTCACAAAAGAGACTTTTGGAGGTTGCGCAAAGTGTGGTCGGATTGTAAGATCCTTTTTCAGAGTATCGAATGGCCGCCCGCTGGGTCTGGCTGTGAGCAGCTGTGTCAGCTGTGGTGCCTGTTTCAGGTTTCTCAGGCAGCTGCAGAGCTTCAGCGGTACTGCATGCAGAATGCCTGCAAGGATGCCCTGCTGGTTGGTGTACCAGCCGGAAGCAACCCCTTCCGGGAGCCCAGATCCTGCGCTTTACTCTGAAGACTGGTGAGTCATGATACACTGTGCCGTCCTGGGGCCATGGCATTGTCACAGGGCTTCCCAAAGGATTTGGGCAACTGGGTTCTGAATGTCTGCTATTCTGGGGAGAATTAAAATAAAAAACAGCGAAATGCACACCTTTCCCTGAAGGGTGACTCTAGTCTACAGTTGCCCGGTCTGGGGAACACATCTACTTAGGAGAGACTCAGTCCCCTTTGGCACCAACTCATGAGTGTGAATATCCTTGTGTCCTTTAGCTCTTAAACTGAGTTGGCCCATGGTAATTTCTTGACCTTAATCCCGCCCTCTCTGTCCTTACACCATCCCAGAGTTGTGATCTGGTGCTTAGTGCTGTCACCTGACTCGCTGCTCTTGGGCCTAAGGACTCCCCAGAGGAGGAGACTTGTTCCTGCCACTGGCTGTGATTCTCTCCCAAAGGCTTTCAGAATAATCGCTGTTTTAGTGGAGGAGGAAATGTAGCTACTGGGGAAAGTGTGAGTAGGGTTAAAAGAGCTTTAAAGATGGGTTTTTGAAATGAAAACCCCTCTCTGGTGGTGTATTAGAAATTTCATGGGTTCTAGTGCTGTGTATTGGGGTCTCATTCACATTTTCACTCTGTTTTTTTGGAAGAGGTCAGAGAATAGATTCTTGGAGTCTTTTGGGGCAATACTTCAAATTGTGTCTTCTAAGGGGTGTTCAGATAGTACGTAGTTATCTTTGGTCCTTTTTCACATGCTTGTAAGAGGAAATTGTTCACATTAAAAAGAAGAAAGTAATCATACTATCAGGTTCTGTTGTACCTTTGAATGGAAAATGTCCACATTTATGGTATTAAAAGAATAGTCTTATTGCTGGCACAGCACTTTCCTTTTTACAAAGCACTTTCATGGGTGCTACTCATTCAGTGGTGTGAATGTTTTTTGTGTTAACTTGTTACTTTCTACTTTGAAAATGCTCATGTGACCTATGAAATGATGAGTAGTTAATTTTATGTATAAATCTTACTAAAGTGAAAACCTACCAAATTCTCTTTTCAGTCGAGAAGAAGTTCGCTGAGGAATGCTTTCAAGTGCAAAGTGATGAATAACTGCCTCCAATTTCAAGAAAACAATTTTCTCCAGCCAAATGACTTTGAGATATTTCAGCCCTTTCCTGTGGCCTGGTCCTATAGCCAAAATTCTACAAAAATTGATGAGTTTCTGCTCAGATAAGGAAACTGGGTGAAGTAGGAGACTTTAAATAACAATGGCCTGTTTCTTTTGTTGAAGTGCTTTATACTTAAGACAACCTGAAACGTTCCCACCAAATATACCGACACACACCTCTTTCATAAGGGAATTCCTAGTGTTTCTATACCTGGAATATTATGTATGTTTATTTACAGGGTGTTTACATTTTGGAAAAGAAAACATTTTTGTTTGTTAAAAAAGTTGAATATTTGCAATTTGTCGTTCCTAAGATTTTTATACCATAACAAAATTTGTTCTTTTCTCATGAATTTACAATTTCTAAATGAAGACAAGCAAGTATAAAATTGGGGGAAGAATAGGCTTTACTAATCAAATGATGTCCTGATTTTTCTAAATGAGAAGATAGTTTTACTTGTAACACTAAACATGGGAGCTGTTTCTTAGCAAACTTGTTCGGGAAGATTAATGTTGAGTTATGTGTTAGGGATGTGATGACCCTAGCTTGTGTATGAAGCACATTTGGTCTTTGTCTTCTTACGTTCCTCTACTTTATAGTTGTGGTTGTACTTTTAAGAAAAATACTACATTATTTCATGTCTTTAAAAAAAATGCTTAAAATATGACCTATAGAACATTGTAAAGGATTAAAAACAAAGTAATGTGAAAATATTACAACCTAAATGAGTTCTTAATATCACAAGTGTTTTACTTTGATAATGTGCCTTTGGTTTAATTGGGGACACTTTTAAAAGGCAACTTTATTTGTGTTTGTAATAATCTTTGAAGAGCTTGGAAATAAAATTTCTGCTTAATTCATCATTTTCTATGACAGCAACACTTTGGTCTGATTTTGTTTTAAGGTTTCATGGATTTCTGTTTGCTTGTGAGATGGAGTATTGGAGGTGGGAAGTGAAATTTTTGTTTATAAGTTCTTGTAGAATTTTGTAAAAAATAGATATATGTGCAACATGTGGAAATATCTCAATTACTGGCAACGTTTGCTCTTTGAAATAGCTATGTATAAACCCATAAAGAAAGAAATGAAAATATCTTTGAGCATAAGTAGTGTTACAAGAGAGAAAGTAGAAACATTAGATGAACCCCCTTAACTTGTGGTCACTAACTGTCCAAATCTAGGTGATCTGAGTCCCTCCCATTGGAGCATAAGTCAGGTATCCTTTTTCTAAGCCCTCCATTTTTCTCTGGATCTGTTTCGTCTTCCCTGAAGTGTCACACTATCAATTATCCTTTCTCTCCTTTATTTTCAACCTCTCTATTGGAGCCTTTCTATCAGCATTTAAACATGTTCCATTGTTCATCTTAACAACAATAAGTATTTTTGAAAATCTCCATTAAAAAAAACAAAGTTTTGGTTATATGAGTAAGTCCTAGAGACCTACTGTACAGCACAGTGCCTATAGTTAACAATACTGTATTGTATACTTAAAAATTTGCTGAGAGAGTAGATTTAATGTTGTGTTCTTGTCACAACAAAGAATACTAAGAGGGCAGGAGGAAACTTTTGGAGGTGGTGGATGCGTTTATGGCACAGATCGTGGTGATGGTTTAACAGGTGTGTACTTATCTCCAGACTCATCAAGTTGTATGCATTAATTACGTACAGCTTTTTGTTATGTCACAAAAAAGTCTTCTCTTGAGTCCACGTTCCCCTTCAGCAAAAACTTTATAAAATAGTACAAGAAAACTATAGAGATCTCATTTATGAACATAGATGTAAATGTCCTAAATATCACAAATCATTCAGTAGCGTATCGAGAGAAGATAGAATCTGACAAAGCTAGTTCAATATAAGGAAAAGTCCCAATGTAATTCATTACATGAATGGTTTAAAGAACAAAATCTATGCCAACAAGTCATTTGATAAAATTCAATAGCCATTCTAAATAAAAACTAAGTGGATTGGTGAAACAGTAATAGAAGTTAAAGATGATAAAGGCAGTTTATCAAAACCAATAGCAAATTTCATACTACATGATGAAATATGGAAGCATTTAGCATACTAAGAACAAAACAAGGATACCTTTTATCATCACTATTCAGCATTGCTTTGGAAGTCCCAGCTAATTCAGGAAGATAGAAAATGAAGTGGTGTAAACATTTGAGAAGAAAGAATATCTGTATTTATGGATTATATAATTTTACTCCTTTAAAACTCATGAGAATCTAGTAAGAGAAATACTTGAATTTGTAATAGAATTTGGGAGGCTGGCTGGATACAAAGTATATATAGAAAATAAAAGGCATTTTCTACACTGGCAAACGCTAGTTAAAAATGGAAATGGAAACTATATCTCATTTCCACTTTAAGGACAAAACTGTAAAAAATACTTGAGAATAAATTTAACAACAGTGCAAGAGTCATAAAGGTTTTATTGATATTTATAGAACAGGGTCTAAATAAATTTCAGGATATTAAGACAATTTTATTAAAATGCACTCAGTAGAATTCATATATAAATTTAATGGAATTCCTATTTTACTTTTTTCTTTTAGGGAAACTGGTTAAAATATCTAAGAAGTTCATATGGAAACTCAAGTGTCCACGAACAGCTTTTAACTGTGTGTGTGTGTGTGTATAAAGCAAGGGAGGGTGTAACTTGCCTTACCAGACAATAAAACTTACTTTGAAGCTGCTGAATCGAAACAATATTATTTTAAAAAACAAAATTAAAAACAAAAAGAAAACCCCAAATAAACAATTTTGTGGTATAGGAATAGGCAAGTAGATGATTGGATCATAAAGTTCAGGAGTAGACGACTATTTTTTTCTATTCAGTGGTAAGTATGGTTTACTTAATAAATGGTGCTGGCATTATGGGCTCGCCATTTGGAAGAAAACAAAGTTGGGCCTGTATTACACTATATAAGAAAAATCCACATGGGTTAAAGAAAGATAATACAAAAGCATTAGAAGAGAAAGTGGGAGAATGGTTATATAACTTTAGGATAAAAGAGGTCTTCCTGAGCAAGGCAGGAAACCCAGAAATCAAAAAAGAAAAGATGTGCATATTAAATTAAATAAATAAGCAATTTAATTTAAATAGACAATTGAAATATTGAATTAAAAACTCTTGTATGGTAAAAATAACAAACCAAATGAAAAAGCAAAAGACAGAAAACATGTATTTTTTTCATCCTTCTGTAGGGGAAGAAGACATATCCTCTACCCTCTGGGTCCTTCTGGCTGAGCTATGAATTAAATTCACATGCGACAGAATAACAGGAGAAAATCAAACAAAGCTTTATAGCGTATACATGGGAGACACTCAGGAAAACTGAGCAACTTGCCAAAATGGCAGAGGCTCTCATCTTCAGCTAAAGACAAAGGAGGATGTTGGGGATAGTGGTTTGGATTTCAGAGGGGAGGAAGACAATTTACATGGAGACAGAAATGTAAATGGGCCAACTATACACAATGTGACCTGAGAGATACGTTTTACAGTACATTACAGTTATCTTATGGTATTAGCTCCTTCCTGGAACAGGCCCTTCTATTTTAAATTTTTTTAGGCAGTTGTGGTGGGGGGAGATCAAAGTTTCTTTCAGAGTCTTTTGTTCCTAAAATTAATCAAGCCAAAGAGACACATTTTGAGGTGGCCAATCTGATCCCCCACACCTCATTTTGGATTGTTACAGCAACCAAAGGCCTTCCAACCCAGGCTACTCCATCTATTAAAATTGTTGGAGTCCTTGTTTTTTTGGGGGGGGGGGGCTTATTATCTGGGGAGAATAACAAGGCTCTGACTGTGAGAAGCAAGGGGTGGGACACCCTGGTGTTTGTCCCCAGTTGTACACTGAGTCTCAGCGGCAAGGGAAGGAGGGTCTCAGGTCCACTCACAATTGGAAGGGTCAGCTGATGTTCTGGAGAGGCCTGCAGTTTGGGGTGGGCCTAGGAGCTTGGGGTACGGCCACTCAAAAGCCCTCAAAGGTGAGCATCTCTGTCACCAGCAATGGATCTAAGGGCAAGTTAATTCCCCCTAGAACATGAAAAACCTCACAGGGAAATGCTTTCACAGAAAGAATGGAAGTTTCTATTGCAAGAGCTAATCTTGGACGTTGGCTGTTCCAAACAATTCCACGTGACACATGTTTGGGAGAGGATCTTGGAGGCTGGACTGACATTTTTGGCTCCCTAATAAGAGCCTATCCAGACCCTTTAGGCTTTTCCTATGGACCAGTCCAACCTGTCATGTGGTAATCACTCCCTGGAAATGCTCTGCTGGAGCGCAGCTCACCTACTTTATCCACTTTTCCCGGGCTCCCAACACAAGACTTACCTCCCAATAATACCTCTGAAAGGCTGCTCCAGGCCCAGGCAAAATGTGTCTTTTTTTAAACAGCAAGCATCATTGAGAAATGCAGGCAGAAGGACTCAGACGCTTTCACTCCATTTGGTGAGGGAGCAGAGAGGGGTGTTGATAGCTTGGCCTGAAGGCTCTATGGCCTGTGAAGAAACTCCTCTCCCCTGGAAGCTGATTAAAGATGGGATAAAGCAGATCTGCAAGCTGGGGGACCTTAGCCTTACCTTAGTTTAGGAGCAATCCTGCCAAAACTTTAAGAAAGTAGAACAGAAATTCTAATTAGATTTCCGGAAATGGTTTCTCTTTAAAGTCTCCACCCCCTATATACCCAAGCAAAAGCAAACATCCTAGAAATAAAAGCATAGAAAGAGAAGAGTAGAAAGAGGAAAGTAGGAGAGGCCGTGTAAAGTCAAGTTAAGCCTGTTTGAAAAAAGGAGAAAGTGATCAACAGTATCTAGAGCTGAAGAGAGGTCAAGTAAGACGACGTCTGAATGTCCTTTGGCTCTAAGAAGGTAGAGGCCAATTTCAGTAGTAACGGTGAAAATTTCAGAAGCCAGGAAGAGGAGAGAGTATGTCTGTAGGCTTCAAAAATTTCTGCTTGTGTACCACCTAAAATAAAGTAAAAAACCTGTTTATCTCCATTTTAGAGTTGACATACAAAAGTTTCATCACAACTTTGAATAGTAGCAAAGAATATAATTTTATTAGAAATTCTGACATATTAAAATAAAATGATTACATCTTTCTTTTAAATGAATTAAATGGAATACAAATACCATAATAATTAGAAACCTACCATCATCCATTTAAAAATACACAAACTATCCTCCAAAAATGTTGTACCAACAATATAGGAAAGTGTTCTTTTTCTCTGATATTCTGACACTGGATATTATGAATTTTCAAAAATTTTGTCCATCCAATAGGTGAAAAAACAGTAACTTTTTGTTTTAATTTACATTTGCCTAATAAATAATGAAGCTGCCTATTACTTCAAATGTTTATTGCCTATTTTTGTTTCTTCTGTGAAATATCTATTCATATATCTTGACCTTCCAAAGAAAACTAAATAACCCTTTTATATACAAACACTAAAGTTTTCTATTTCTTAAAAAAAAAAAAAAACGGCTTGGGATGTTTAGGTGAATGTAGGAGATATTTAGATCTTATTGCAATTATTATGCTAATTGGAACATTTTGCTTACAAAGATGCAAACTATAGAATATATATTATGAAAATTTAATATAGAAACACTGAGAACATTTAAGAACAATTACATTTTCTTTAATGTATGGGCAAATCTAAATCATTTTGTTATGGAGTTATCACCAAAAACAGTGGAGTATGGCGTGTAGCACCACTCTCTCTCTTAAAAAAACCTCAGCCGAGTCTGTCCATCAGCCCTCCCAGGGATTTTCTCGTACACTAGACGCCGTTTTTTGAACTGTGGTAGTTGTGAGCACATGAAATCTGTTAAAAGGAGACAAAGGAAAACCATTTTATTGCTGATAAGAATAAAGTCTAGCTATTTTTTTCCAGCTATTCAAGTGGAGCCTTTCACTTCATCATCTATCTACAAAGTGTTAAATTTTCCAAAGTGGGATAAAATAATGACTATTAAAAAATTACATTTTTTAGCATATGTGCACCTGTACCTAATGGCCCAGTACTAAAAATTAGTGTTAAATACACGTTATTTGTATGTTCATGCCTTATACAAAAAATTAAATCTCCCTGGATTCTTGAGTTTCCCTCATTAAGCCATTTCCTTAACCCACACCTGTACTGTTGTGGAATGTATCCTGAGTTCTTGTATATGATAGGTGGTGCTCATGTATGGACTTACCTCATATGACTGTGTTTTATATGACACATTAGCCTGAAATATTCTAGATTTGGATACTTACAGAGGTCGATTGATTGAATCAGTAAAAAAAGGGAGGCTAAAATATTTAAAAGTTTTCTTAATTTTCCTGATATATTTTCATGATTGGAGCAGTTGGATGCCATTATAAGCAAATTTAAAAAGCAATGTACTAGGCAATTTTATCAGAGAGATCACAAATATACACCTACAAGACAAATGGAAAATTATCTTGAGGTTATGCCAGTGGCTCTGGATAAATTTTCTTTCTTTCTTTCTTTTTTATTCTTGAGGAAGATTGTCCCTGAGCTAACATCTGTGCCAATCTTTCCTCTATTTTGTATGTGGGGTGCCATCACCACATGGCTTGATGAGTGGTGTAGGTCTGCACTAGGGATCCAACCCAGGAACCTGGGGTCGCTGCAGCGGAGTGTGCCAGACTTAACCACTATACCACCAGGCTGGCCCCGGATAAATTTTCTAGGGCTGCATCAATAAGAATTCAAAAAGGGTTATATCTTAAATAACATATTTGGAGGTAATGATGTGCTATGGAAAACCACAGCAAAAAAGTCAAAAGTTGCCATAGTGATAATGAAGATACTAACATCAAAGATTTATGTGAAATGTTTGAATGAAATTGTTTCATGGAAATAATTGGAAAGTAGAAAACAGCAATACTTCTAAATCAACATTATTTATATAATATATGATTTAAAAAATATATTTATAGCTAAATTAATGAATTAAAATGTAGGTAGATATTTGACTATTCCATCCATATTCCTAAATGCTTAACTACTAACATTATAAAAAAATAATTTATGAGATCTTATCATTGAGAAAATGATAAAGGGGATTATCTTATATATTGGGGCACCCTATGTTCAAAAATACATATCAATTCACATGCTTAATTTGTTTCAGAGTGGAAAAAAGATGGAATTTCATTCAGTTCATTTATGAAGCTGGAATAACCTTCATGTCAAAATACGACAGAGTACAAATACAGAACACAATCGATTAACTTCATTATGAATGTAGATATGAAAATCATAAATAAACATTAGCAACCATATTCAACAGCATATTAGAAGAATCACTCCTCAAAAGCCAGTTAGGTTTATCACAGAAATGGCAAAAATGATTTAATATTAGTAAACTCATAAATATAATCCTTGGCATTAATAGATCAGTGGAGAAAACCTGTTTGATTTTCCCCAATAGGTGCCAAAGAGTTTGGATAAAATTCAACATCTGTTTCTCACAAAAGTTTTTACAGAACTAGAGATAGAAGGCTTCCCATTGAAAGGAACAGAACAAATTATGACTATTATATGGGACCAAATCCAAGTTCTGTGAGTCCTGGGGCTTATACAATTTGGGAGGACTTCGTTTAATAAAACAATACAAGATTTTCTGGGCTCTTCTCAGGCCTTACAAGAGGGCCTGTGCAAAAGAAGAGCTTTGAAGCTCCTCCCTTCTCCTTTTCTTCCTTTTTTTCCCCATCATAGTCAGGCCACCTTGTATTGCATTAGAACTTAATATTTTGTTCTAGAGGCTCAGGCCAATGCAATAAGAAATGACACAGAAAGAAAAGGTATAATTATGAAAAATGAGAAAACAAATTTATCCATTAAAAAATTGATATAATTCAATGTTCAGAAATATCAACTGTAAAATAGAGCCAATAGTAGTATCTATTTAATAGGAATTGTCAGAATTAAATAATCCACATAAAGGGCTTAGAAAGGCAACTGGCATATAATAAACTCTTAATAAGTAAGTCCATTAAATATTCCTGCCTGACAGAGGCTAATTTCCTAATTCACTGATTTCTCTGTTTAATCTTTGCTAATTTTAGTCTTCCGCTTTACTTAGATTTGTTCTGTGTTTTTATTTTTAACTTCTTAAAGTGAGGCTTAGTTCTTCTAGAGCGACAAGAATTTGAGATATTTTCTTTGCATTTATTTTCTCAGAAGTCTATAATTAGAATTTTGATTTTTCTCCTCCACCCAAAAGTCACTGAAGATCCCTTAAGTGCAGTAATTAAAACGATTTCTTTTTTTGTGATTTGGTGGTGGTTCTATCTTTGTAAATTACATTTGCGAGTAGTACTATCAACTATTGGATAGTGTTACCTGTTAGTGATTTCTTGTCTCCTGAGCCAGATGAAGATTCCAAGTGCCTCTTCTGTCCTAAACATTTTCCAGCTCTTTGGTAGAAATAAAGACTGTTGAATTCTTTTGGATTTACATTAGAATCAGAAGCACAAAATGAATCCAAACTGGGGACAGATGGTAATTCTCTCCAGAACGTGTTTTTAGTCCCAGTATGTGAACTTTCACGTATAAAGCTGTCTAACTCATCCGACAGACATCTTTGCTGATTAGTGAATAAATTATCTTTCTGAGAGCACCATTTGCCACATGTGGTCCGCTCTGCACCATATTGTAAGTTGAACGAGTGATTCTGTTGTTCCCAGACATTTTCCTTAAAGTTCCAATGAAGAGGAGATTGAGAGCCCTCTAGTGAAAAGAGAGGGGCAGACACTTCTTTATTTATACGTCCTTTTGCTTCATGTGTTCCCTTCTTTGGATAATTTATAAAATTAGAGGTAAGTCTCCTCTGAGTGTCAATTGGTGATATTATGGTTTCACCATTCATTTGTGTTAGACCCAAAGAAAAGACATCTGACTCTGAGCCATTCTGGTTTAGAAAGGAGTTTCCAGCCACGTTCCTTGATTCTCTATTAATCAGGAAAGGATTGTTCTGCACCATGTTAGGGTTACAACTGGAGTCTTTCCAGTAGCTGGTTTGATTGTAAGAAGCCACAGGTGGTGAAATACATGGCATGTCTCTCAGTGCCATAAGGGAAGAGTTGTCATTTGAAGCGGTGTTTGTGTCGTCGTGCGCTGTCTCTCCTAAGTCTGAGTATTGGTCATATTTGTTATGTTCTTGAATGACAGAGCCTGAAGAGCCCGAAGCTGAAGTCTGAGAAGTAAAGGTACTAGTCTGATTCCCATTTTCCTGAAGTGACGAAATTTGAGGTGATTTTCTTACAGAAGAAGAATTAATCTTGAATAAGGAAGTGATGCCACAAAAATGCTAAAATATTAAAAATATTAATTAATATAATACAAATACAATATAAACATTAGTAAAGTAAATATAAATAGCGATGCTTATCTATATGGAAAGAAGGCAAATTATAACTAAGCAGTCCATTCATAGGTATTATTCTGATCCATGTAATAAGAACATAATTAGGATCCATTAAAAGAAAAACTTACTGAATTTGCATCTATTTTCTAATCACTTGTAATAGAATTTTTAGGTACATAAGTTATACATGAATACTATTTCCTTGATAAAAATTTAAAAACTTTACCAATAGGGCTAAAGTTCTTTCTAACTACTACTATGATAAGGGCATCAGGATTGTTTGAAAGAGATAATGTAAACACATATAGAGTGTGTAATTGAATATTTGTGGGGACAATAACATTTCAAAATGATTTAAAGTGTGATAAACTGACTGTACCAAATTATCTATATAAGATAGCTTTAAAATGTATAATGTGATTGACAGCCAATGAGAATTTCATATGAAATTTAGTTCAAGGAAATTATTTTTTTGCTACGTGAAGACCAAAACAATTAAACTTGGATACCTTCATTTTGAAAACCTTTATGTAAAAACAGATACTCAAATGGAAAGGAAATAAACTCATATAAGAATATAGATGTCAAACTGACCTTTAACACTTTTTCTGGAACTTCAGGTAGGAGTTCCTGAAGTTGACCAAGAGTTGCTAATAATATCCAGTCCAGTGAAGGTCCTTTATTTAACATGAGCTGAGCCACCAATGGGTTAATACATGGAAAATCAAGTAAGTACATTTCTTCCTACAAAAGAGTTTAAGGAATAATCAGCCAGTGGTCTTTTGGAAGTGACTCATTTTACTCTACTCACTCTAGCAGATTAAAATTTTTGTCATTGCACCTACACTCAATTTGAGACGTCTAGGAAAAAGGTATGGCCAGGAGGGAAAGAAACTTCCTTAGCAGTGAAAATTCATACACTCTCAGAATTGGGAAGCATCTTAAAGTTCATTCGATCCAATCGCTCATCCAAAAAGTTTTGGTACAGTTCATCTCCTTCAAAGGACAATCGCTTTATCTGATGATAGATGTTCTAAAGAGAAATCTTTTAAGGGTGTTAGTTACATGCTTCGAGATTTCTTTAGCTCTCTGTTTGTAGACCACATAGTATCAATATTTGATTAAAATGAACCATGTTTATGATATCTAACAGATGTTATAATTTCAAGAAGGCCTTGTTGTGATGAGTATAGGAAGACTTCAATCAACCAGAATTGACCTTGACAGTCTAAAAATATGTTTTCAGAGAGATGTCACAAAAGTCTAGAAATATAGCAGCTATCTTTACTATTGCAATACTTCCTTTTTTTCTTGGTTACACTGGCTTTTTGCACTCTCTCTGATTTTGTCAAATGACAGACATGAATAGATTGGACACGACTTGACAGGAAAGAAACTGCACACATATACACACGTCATAGTTAATTATACCCATACTTTCAGATACTCCTATGTTCTATTTAGGCAGATAAAATTGCTGTGATTTAATGTATATGAGTATTTTATTTATTTGTCTTATAATTTTATTTTTTGAATAGGTAAAATAGTCATGTGGTTCAAGATTAAAAAGGTACTAAAAAGTATACAAAAAAAAGTGAAAAGTCTCATTCCCATCCTGTTATCTCAGTTCTTCTCTTTGAAGATAATTAATGTTATCATTTCTTGGTATCTTTCCAGAAATATTTTATTCATTCACAAACAAATACATGTTATTCTTCCTTTGTTTTACACAAATGATAGTATCCTGCATGCTCTATGTTGCAACTTTCTTTTTTTTTTCTGCTTTTTCTCCCCAAATCTCAAGGAAATTAGTTCAAGGAAATTATTTTTTTGCTACGTGAAGACCAAAACAATTAAACTTGGATACCTTCATTTTGAAAACCTTTATGTAAAAACAGATACTCAAATGGAAAGGAAATAAACTCATATAAGAATATAGATGTCAAACTGACCTTTAACACTTTTTCTGGAACTTCAGGTAGGAGTTCCTGAAGTTGACCAAGAGTTGCTAATAATATCCAGTCCAGTGAAGGTCCTTTATTTAACATGAGCGGAGCCACCAATGGGTTACATAGTTGTAACATACATACATACATACATACAGTACATAGTTGTATATATTTTAGTTGTGGGTCCTTCTACTAGTTGTGGCATGTGGGATGCCGGCTCAGCATGGCCTAATGAGCGGTGCCACGTCCGCACCCTGGATTTGAACCGGCGAAACCCCAGGCCACCAAAGCTGAGCGCCCAAACTTTGCCAGTTGGCCACAGGGTCGGGCCCTATGCTGCAACTTTCACTTTTCACTTAACAATATATCTTGAAGGTCATTCCATGTGAGTACATCAAGAGCTTTGTTATTCTTTTATGGCTTCATGATTTGAATATATTTTAAAGTAAAGGTAACAGAAACAGTGGGTTGGTATGAGAACTTGGAAATATTTATGCTTAAACAAAAGGAATTTCCAAAAATTAACTAATCTTATAAGTATTTCACAATTCTACTTTCAGTTTAATTATATAATTGAATTACTGACAAATCATGGAATGATAGAATTTTGGTATACTCTTAATATATTTACTATTCTTAAACATCTAAATTTAGGAATTAAAAGGGCCACTGGCATAGTGGTTAAGTTTGTGCACTCCACTTTGGCGGCCCAGGGTTCGCAGGTTTGGATCATGGGCACAGACCTATACACCACTCATCAAGCCATGCTGTGGCAGCATCCCACATACAAAACAGAGGAAGATTGACACAGATTTAGCTGAGGGACAATCTTCCTCAAGCAAAAAGAGAAAGACTGGCAACAGATGTTAGCTCAGGGACAATCTTCCTCACCAAAAAAAAAAAAAAAAGAAAGAAAGAAAGAAAAGAAAAATAAACTTAGGAATTAGAAAAATAGTTATGTTTTTAAAAATATTAGGCATTAAAGCTATTAGATCACCCTCTAATAAGTTAGATTTGAAAGTTCATTACAAAATATCCCATTAAAATTTTGTGACATTGAAAAATACAAGTGATTCTGGAAAATGATCCAAGTAAATGTTATTGTGCAATACAGTTATTGTTATATATGCTCATGCAAGCATTAAAAGGACAAAAATATGCTACCAGAAAGAGAATTCAAATACATATATTTATACTTGCTTTGCAAATATCTAATTTATTTATTTAGGAAATAAACCTTAGATGGTGAAACTTCAAGCCAGGATTTATCCAACCATTCATAAGGATCTCTCTTCGAGGTCATTAAATTGTGGTCAGCAATTTGTCGAATTATCAATGCAGTTTCTTCCACTCCTGGGGCAATTATAAGCTAAAATATATATTTCTTATGTTAGATTATATGAAATATTAGGCAGCAAAATATATCATTCAAAAATAGTTTTTAATTAGAAGAAAAATAAAAAACAGCAGATTCTAATCTTTGAACACTGTTTTAGACATAATTTATCAAGCTATCTATGTGAAATCCAGGACATTTTATTTGTGAGGATAAGCAACTTTCTTTCCTTTCTTAAAAATGATATCCTTGTAGTTTCAAATTCCTGGAACTAAATTGTTTTTCTTCACTTCCATTTGGCATTTATTAACAAACTCTTTTTAATATATTTGGTGCTGTATTTCTTCTGTATTAGAAGAAAAAGCAATTTGGATATCACTAGTAATATTTAATATTTTGCCTTTTCTAGGTAAACCTAACAGTTCTCAACTAAAAATAAGAATTTTAAAAATATAATACAAGATTTTTCAAAAGAAAAGTAAAAATAAAGGCTATTTACAGATGAATTTGATGCTATATCAAAAAGAGAAAAATAAGCTTTGATTTAAAGTAGCCATCCCCACTGGAATTGTTCATCCAATCCTGGCTAATTTATACTAAGATACTCCTGCCAAAAATGTGTGTGTGTGTGTGTGTGTGTATTAAACTTAACTCTAAAATAGAATTTCTTAATATCCCCTACTTCCTGCCTGTCACTTGTGTTTCCCTCCATGCCCTTCTCTCTTCTGAAATGCCAGTCTTTTTCTTTCCCTTTCATTTCTATCCTTATCTCCTTCTTTTAGTTTCAATTGAAGGAAAGATAGCTCATGGGTTAGCAGTTTAATGTGGACAGAGAAATACTACCCCACACAAACCTATCTTATAAATATAAATATCCTGTCCTGCAGTGGAAATTTAAGAAACAAGGACTGTATAAACCTCGCACAATAATTACGACAATTTTTTCTTTCACAAAACTACAAATACAAAACTGTTAGTACATACATGGGGAGTATATGTATTCTAAAGAAGGACTTCCTTTAAATTACATTAAATATATATAGAGTGCACAGAAATATACTGTTTGATTCCAAATTTATTTTATTGCCAAGTTTTGGGTGTTTTAAGAAGACTTGATACTTTTATTTAAATATAAATTTTAGTTTAAAAGGCATAATTTTATGATGGTGGTAATGAATATTACCTTAATTTATTAGAGCAAGGATTCTGGAGCTCATTGCTAGACTTTGGGAGATTCAGGAACCCCCCTGACATTGTTTTTAAAATTTTGCATATATGTGTATTTATGCATTTTTCTGCAGAGACTTTATAAGAAATTTATAGACATCTTTTTTGGAATTAGAATGAAATATAGCATAATACTATGAGCAGTATTTTCTTTTAGTTTAAGAAAATGTACTTAAAATTCATAATACTTCGTTTATGGTTAGGCTCTTCAGAGGCCTGAAAATAAAAAAAATAATCCATACCAATGCACTCTAAAAGGCCAAAATCCATATTACTAAATAACATAAGATAAAGCAACAATATATTCTAAAATAATATGAGTCTAGGGAACCCCCTTCTAATGTGATAATGTCATCAAGTCAGGAGACTGGGAGGCTTGATGACTAGTGACATATTGATAACAGAGTAAATTGATCATAGTTGTTTCTCAAATTCCATGGAAAAACTGACCTACTTTGTAAATTATTGTGTAAAACTTGCAAAGCTTTTGGAATAGTTTGATCCAGGAGGGAGAGACTTTTGTCTGGAATGGATCGTGTGCTCAGACAGTACTTCCTACTTCATCCCCAAATGCCTTCCTTGGCACATGGCCTCTACGAGCCATGTCGCTGTACACGAATACAGAATCGCTCACTGGTATCACATACCCCTTGCATAGAGGAATAAAATGATTCTCTAAAGTGTATTTTGCATATAACCGCTCCCGTGAGCTGGGAAGAAAGAGGCTGATTAAGTGGTGAAACCTCACTTGAATGGATAAACGAGACAAATTTACAGTGCCATTCGTTTATTTAGATAACTTTTCCAAGAATTTTATTTCTATGTTTAATAGGCATCACAGGATCAAAATTATCTGGATTCTATTTCAAACTGATCATTTGTTGATTTTTAAACTGGTTGTGCTTTGGTTTAAAATTCTATTTAGGAGATGTTTGTTGAACATTTTTACCATGTACGAAGCACTGTGCCAGCTGCTGTATGTTTGACAAAGAAAAAAGGCCTAGTTTTTACCTTCCAGAGTGGAGGATATATGAATAAATAACCTCATTCTATAATAAAGGTATAAAGTGTCATTGGGAGAAAGGGAGAAGGAGAGATTTATCCCGAGGGTATAATTGGGGCAAATTTCTTTTTTTTTTTCAATTATTTTATTGATGTCATAATGGTTTATAACACTGTGTAATTTCAGGTGTACATTCTTATTTATCAGTTTCTGTATAGACTGCCTCATGCTCACTAACAATAGACTAATTTTTATCTGCCACCATACATATGTGCCCCTTTACCCCTTTCACCCACTCCCAACCCCTTTCGCCTCTGGTAACCACTAATCTGTTCTCTTTATCCATGTGTTTGTTTATCTTTAATTGAGGCAAATTTCTTAAAAGAGGTAGTGTTCGAGGTGGGTAGAAAAAGACAGAACTATGAAGTCTGGCAGTAAGGGGATGGGGAATAATATTCCTGGGGGAAGACAGGCCAGAATGACATGTTTGCACAATGGCTGAGAGGTGACAGTGTGGGGGCATATTCAGGAAATGGTGAGTAGAATGATGTTAAAGGAAGGATTACTAGGGTCCAAATGGTGCAGGAGTGTGAATCTAGCTGAGTTGAACTCTATTTTGAATGAAGTAGAAAGCCATGGAAGGTCTTTCAGGCAAGAAAATTCAACTCAACAACATATATTTATCAAGAGCCTACTATGTATTTGGTACTGTGCTTAGTGCCAGGAACACCAAGATGAACAAACACGCTCCCCTTCTTTCAGGAGCTTACAGTCCAGGGAGTGAAATATTCACAGCTGTAGTTCAGAAATGCAACAGGTGTCAATATATAGGATGCACTGGACTGCAAAAAGAGTAAAAATGAGGAGATTCGTTAGGAAGCTACTTTAAAACTCCAAGTGAGAGGTGAAGGCCTGAATTTAGGGAAATAGTGGGAGTACAAAGGAGAGACATAGTCTAGACACTGCAGAGTTAAAACAAGGATTTAGCTACTGATTTGGTGACAATAATAATGTCATAAACTCAGTTTGGGGGAAGATGAGAATGTTTTGGGCATGCAGAGTTTCACATACAGAGTTTGAGATAGCTGTGGAATATTCATATGGCTATTTCTAGTAGAATGCTAGGATATAGGTGCAGACCTTAAGAAAAGTCAGGGAAATTTTAAGGATTATACTCAGAAACGAAAGCTAAATTTGTGGGACTGTCTGAGTTTATTGAGGAAAGAACATAAAGTGATAACAGAAGAGGAATGAGCCCTGACTTTGGGGGAATGTCTAAATTTCAGAGGGGCCCTTGAAAAAAGGAGCCCAGAGAGGAGACTGAGCAGAGACAACCAAGACATTACTCTAGACATATGTCATAAGATTTCCATTTTACAGATGATACAAACTTAGTGTATCTTTTATAAGCGAACATTTTTGATCAAGGAATATTTATTCATATACTTCCATGTTTCAAAAAAATCTAAGCAATAATTAAGAGACAAAATATGAATTTAAATTCATTCAGTTTAAGTGGAAAAAAATTTCTTAATTTGAAAACTGTTCTTTATATGGATTTTAAGCATTTTTAAGTTTAATCAATCAATGTTTCTTCTCACTGGGCCCTTGAGTTTGAATATAATTTTGGTTTATGAAAAACACTTATGAGCAAACACATAGGAAAAGAATACCTTTACATCCAGTTCTTCTGGTTTTAGCCCAAATGAACCCAAAGCTGCATAAATCAGTGCTAGGTGATGAAGTGTCTTTTCTGTAAGATGGTACCTAAAAAGAATTTTATTACTATACTTCTACTCATTTGATGTCTGACTGTACTTAGTAAAAATTCACTTCATTTTGCACATTTCACAATGTTATTAGAACAACCTGGCTAAGGCAATGCTAGTGTGGCAGACTCAGAGTTTCTTGTCCACTCAGCAGTCTTTTGGGGAAAAAATGCCTCCACCTCTATTCTTTAACAACATTGTTAAATCTAGGCGATGCTGAGAGTGGAGGAGGGGGATGGGAGAAGTTCAACTCATCCCCTTACTGGCCCCAGGGATGGCTATATGACTCAAGCCTAGCCAACTAGAATACCCTATCCCCCTGGACAAAGTAACGGGTTCAGATATGAACACATGACCAGAGCCAGGATAGTTAGATTCCTCCCTGGTCTTTTTCCTGAACTGTTAGGAAAAATACTATTTTTTTTTTCCTTCTATGGTTATTAAGCAGGTCAGATGTGAGTCTTGAACTGTGGGTAGATATTTCTACTACCTTTCCCCACCTTAAGTATTCCAAGCAACAAAAAGGGAATTTATTGGCTCATATTACTAAGCAGTATAGGAGACAGCATTGTTGGGTCCAGAGGCTCAGTGTCATTGAGAAAACGGCTATCTTAATTTCTTGGCTCTTATTTCCTCTGTTGGCTTCTTTCTCTGGCAAGCTCTTTCGTAGGAGTGGCTGATAAGAGTGGCTCGCTGTGCCTAAACTGTTGGTACAAACAACGTTGTACATTCTGTTGAACATTTGCTTTCCTTCTTGGAGTCTAGAATTTTGGTACGTGTTGAGCAGAGGGTGCCTACATGAGCAGCCCTAAGCAAAAGCCCTGGGCACTGAGACACTGATGCGTTTTCCCGGTAGACAACATTTTATGGGTGTTGCCACAACTCATTGCTGGGAAAATTAAGCACATTCTGTGTGGTTCTACTAGGAAAGGACTCTTGGAAGCTTCGTCTGGACTTTGCTCCACGTGCTTTACCTTTTGCTGATTTTTCTTTGTAACCTTTTACCGTAAGAAATCATAGCCATGTACAAGTATATGCTGAGTCCTGTGAATCCTCCTGGCAAATCATCGAACCTGGGGTGGGGAGGGCTGGGAGACCCCTGACACATTTTCTCCGACAGAAACTAATGGCATGAACTACTAAAGTAATTCAAACCGTTTATTTGGTATTTTCAATTTTCCTCATTTGGTCAGTTGATTAAGATACTTTCTAAATGTTCCAATCATGTAAAAATATAGAACTGAGATAAGTAGCAGTCTGAAAACAATTACATCTTAAAGTATTATATTACTGTGAATAAACGATAGCTCTTCACATCCTTAACATAAAACTATCTCAGAGTATTACATCATTAATTTTTTTCATGAAAATCTGGGTAAAAATAAGTGTGAATCTTCTCTTATTCTCTCTTGTACTTCAATTGTACTTTAGAACTATAGGTGGATAGCATTATAAAAACAACTTAAAAGATTTCCAAATCACTTATTTATCTAGAACATTTCCAAGTTCTGGATAAAGCTTTATAGCCTTTATTAACCTTAAAATGAAAGTTTTAGACCTCATTTATTATTTTTATTTTTCAGTACTGGTAGAAGGGAAAAACAGGTTAAACGATTTGCTAGAGGTTATCGTTAATAGAAGAATGAGTAAGAACCAGGGTGTTTAGACTCATATTCCAGCTTATTCCCACATGATAATAATTGTATACAGAGAACTTGGTACAGTAGATATACAAAAATGGAGTCAAAAAAGAAATTCAGTAAAGAATAAACATCACACAAGTAACGTCACATAAGGTAAGCTGTCTGTACCTTCTCTAATAACTAAATTAAAGAATATTTTAAAAACTTCTATTATGAATGATATGGTGTGTCGTGGTACTGTAGAGATAAAAAAAATGAACAAGACTAGCTTGCAATTTAGTAGAAAAGATCCATTCATCTATCAAGCAATATTTACCAAGCATCTATCATATGAATGCAATGTGCTCAGTGCTGTAGGGCAAGTCCTCCAAAATGACAATACAAAACAAAATGTGATAAATATTAAAGATAAGGGGAAAACAGACAACTACAGAGCTCAAAGGATGGAAAGGTCACCAGTGAATATCTGTCTGTATGCCTGAGTGGGGAGGTGGGTATCGAGGAAAAGCTGAATAGAAAAAGCGATATTTGAGGATAGGTCCTGAAAAATAGGCACAATTTCAGCAGATGAAATAGTTGGAGGAAGTAGAGAATATTGTAGCAAGAGAGAAATGTATGAGCAAAAGGTAGAAGTGGGAAAGCAAGGAGCATGTTTGCAAGCCAATGAGCAGTCCTTTTGGTTGAAATGGAAAACAATGAAAATTAAGCCTGAAAATATAGGTTGGGATTATATTCTGAAGACTTTGAATTTGAGGATGAATGGTTTGCTGTATTCAGTAGATAATGGGGAAGTCAGTGAAGGCTTTTTGTTTGGTTTTTTTTTGAGGAAGATTAGCCCTGAGCTAACTACTGCCAATCCTTCTCTTTTTTTTGCTGAGGAAGACCAGCCCTGAGCTAACATCCATGCCCATCTTCCTCTCCTTTATACGTGGGATGCCTACCACAGCATGGCTTTTGCCAAGCGGTGCCATGTCCGCACCCGGGATCTGAACCGGTGAACCCTGGGCTGCTGAGAAGCGAAACGTGCGAACTCAACCGCTGTGCCACCGGGCAGGCCCCTGTGAAGGCTTTTTATCAGAGTGAAATACCAGAGCCCGGTTTTAGGAACATTAATTGAGTGTATGAGACATTATGGAGAGTAAAACTGAAAGCCATCTAGGGGTGGGAAAACTGTTGGTGGTCTGTTATAATAGTCCACACAGAACACTGAGAATCTGAACTAAGGATGTTTGTAATATAAATGGAGGGAGGGGATAGATGGAAGAGAAAGTCCAGTGGTTGAATCTATAGGATTTGTTTTCCAGTCTTGGTGACTAAAGGAAAGGCAATAATTATAAATAGCTAAAGGACAGAAAAGAGGAGATACAGTTTTGGAGGGAATAAAGAATATGCTGAATTCATACTTGAACAAGTTTGAGAGTCTCTGGAATATCACAGTGGAAATATTTAATAGGAAATTAGAGACACGTTAGGAATTTCAAAGAGAAACTGGAGCTGCAGAAATAAATATAATAATTATATGCAGAGAGATGATGACTGAAGCTATGGGAGCAGATAAGGTTTCCAATGGATAGACTAGAAGAAAGAAGAAAACTCATACCAGATATATTTGGAGACTGGGACACGGAAGAAGTAAAGACAGAAAAGGAGTAGATAGAGAGGTAAAAAATCAAAAACACTGAAGTGTCACGGCACTGAAGAGTTTCAGGAAAGAAAGCACTGACAACAGTCTTAAATACTTCAGAGCAGTGAAAGATAAAAATATTTTTGGAGCAACACAAGAAAGTCATGTGTGATGAATGACATTTGAGAGACAGAGATCAGCACACAGGTAGGGAGAAAATCCAGATTGCAGAGAATAAAAGGAGAGAGTGGAAGCAGTGGGTTCACAAAATTTAGAAATGAGGAAAAGACAACATAATGATAACTTGAGCCAGTGTCTTAGCATGTATTTTTTCGTAATTAAGCACGTTAATGAAAGAACGTATAGCAAGATGCTATTTATATAATATTTAATATTTAATAAGATTTTAGAGAGAAGTGATTTAAGAATGACGTCTTTTAGCAGACAAGTCCAGAATTAAAAAGTAATAAGAAGTGAAACACTTAAAGCAGCAATTCTTAGTAAGGTAGAGAAGGGGAGGATGATTTGCACACAATGTCCAAAGGAAATACATTATCTCCAAAATTCCAAATTGTTTTCTTATGGGCATGCCTCCACCTTGAGAATCCCTGACTGACAGCAAAACTAGATGAGCAAGTGGAAAATTTGCATGCTACTTCTATTCAAAGAAGAGGATTGAGTAACTTAAGACATATGAATATGACTTTGGATGAAGAAATATTTACTTACTCTGAGTTTAACGTTTCTTTGGTATATAAAATTATCCAACAATAGCTGTACTGGAATGATAATGCCATCAGTCTTGTAATTACATTGTCTGATGCCTTCTCACAATTCAATTCTTCTAGGTCCTACCAAAAATAAACACAATGAAAATATTCACCAGGTTGAACAGTTGTTATGAAATTATTGTCACCATATTTCAAGAATCTATGATATATGAATCATAACTTGAGAAGAAGCAGGGGTATGGGCTTCCGTTTCATGGAAAAATTAAGATTACACTGGAAGTAATAGGGAAAGAGCTACAGCAGAGATAAAACAGCTAATGATAGCTTCAGTAAGGAGGGCTCATGAATCTCCCGAAGTCCTAGATGAGAAAGCAGCCTACAGAGTGCCCCTATTGGGCAAAGTCCTTTGTAGGCAGGGATCTGGCTACCGCTAAGGGCAACAGAAAATACATTTAAAAACGCAAGGGATAATCTGCACTGAATGCTTATTTAAGGAAGATTAGAAAGCAGCAGTTAATGGACTTCTAGGAATCTCTATCAAATGGTCTAGAATCCCCTTTTTCCTTTAACACAAGTAATTTTTGATAGAGTGAATAATTCAGGAAGTGTCTTACTCTAACAGTAAGTCATGTAATTATGGATTAAAACCGTTTTCCCAAACAGTATTTCACCCAAAATAATTGTCCTTTGAGAACCTTAAATATGCAAGACACAGTCTCTCTTAAGAACCCCTCTAGGGCTGGCCCTGTGGCCCAGTGGTTAAGTTCATTAAGTTTGCACGCTCCGCTTCGGTGGCCCAGGGTCTCGCCGCTTTGGATCCTGGGCGTGGATATGGCACCACTCCTCATGTCATGCTGAGGCGGTGTCCCACATTCCAAAACTGAAAGGATCCACAACTAAAAATATACAACTATGTACCAGGGGGCTTCGGGGAGAAAAATGAAAAATAAAATCTTAAAAAAAAAAAAGAACCTCTCTAACAGAACTTTGTGTTTCCATCATGTCATTCTTATACTGTAACATTTGCTCACCAAATCAGACTTCTACCTTAACATAATATTTGCCATTAATTTATACTCCATCCATCATGTCATTCTTATACTGTAACATTTGCTCACCAAATCAGACTTCTACCTTAACATAATATTTGCCATTAATTTATACTCCACACCATCAAACCTGGTTTCTGCTCCTCACTTCCATCCTATTAAATTAATTTCTTTGTAATTTGCAATCCATTCAAGCAAACATATCAGGGAGATTCAGTCAAGAATTTATACATCTTAAATTCCAAACTGTATGGATTTTTGAAGAGAATTTCTCTCTCTTTTTTTTTTCCTGAGGAAGACTAGCCCTGAGATAACATCTGCTGCCAATTCTCCTCTTTCTGCTGAGAAAGATGGGCCCTGAGCTAATATCGGTGCCCATCTTCCTCTATTGTTTTTTAAATATGCAGGACACCTGCCACAGCATGGCTTGATGAGCAGTGCGCAGGTCCGCACTGGGATCCAACCAGGTGAGCCCTAGGCTGCCAAAGCAGAGTGCGCAAAGCCAACCACTACGTCACTGGGCAGGCCCTGAGAATTTCTCTCTTTTTAAAAACTGGCTTACTTACAGGCAATCCCTATCTACCTTAGAGGAAATCATATATTACTATATGGATTAATAGACTACCTCCTTTTAAGAAACATAGTGTTTAGGATTTGATTCTTAAAGCCTTCAACACTATAATTATTCTATAAATGTATTTAAAAATAGGTCAGTATATAATATTAAAGATTCTATATTTTCTTTGTCATCTTAAAGTATGTTAAAAATTATGAGGCATCTGGGGGCTGGCCCTGTGGCCGAGTGGTTAAGTTCGTGTGCTCCGCGGCAGGCGGCCCAGTGTTTCGTTGGTTCGAATCCTGGGCGCGGACATGGCACTGCTCATCAAACCACGCTGAGGCAGCGTCCCACATGCCACAGCTAGAAGGACCCACAATGAAGAATATACAACTATGTACCGGGGGGCTTTGGGGAGAAAAAGGAAAAAAATTAAAAAAATCTTTAAAAAAAAAAAGAAGCCATAAAAAAAAAAAATTATGAGGCATCAAAGAAGCTTGGTAATAGTCATTTTTCACAGTGATGGCCCATTTGCAAAGTTTGGAAGAAATCACTAACAGATTATATTATAGTTAAGCTCTCTATAGTAGAGCTGATAATAAATTTCATGGTTATGCATATATTTTAATATGTTTGATTTATATTTTTTACTGTCTAGTTTTACCTGCAAAATTACAGCAGTGTGTTCATCAATTGTCACCACTACATAGCGCTCTGTGCCCCCGAAGAGTTTCAATGCCTCACTGCAGCATCTCTCCACTAGTGTGATATTATAGCTGTAAAATACAATATTTTGGGTGCCATAAGGAAATGGATAAGAAAAATTCTTTAAGAAAAGCTGCATTGTTCTCCTGCATATTAAATTATTTGAACTACTGTGCTTTTTCTTTCATACATCGATTTACTCTATAAATTTGAGGAATGAAATTATGATTTATTCAACACATATGACAAATTAACTGAGATGTGTGTTGCCTTTGGTATTCTGGTATTTAATATTACTGCACAAAATACTATTACAAATGTCTTGACCAACTTATTCTAGCTCTTTAAATAATCATTCATGAAATTAAAACATTGTGTTAAGAGACTAAAACATTCTGCATTTATCAGAATTTTCTTTTCTTTCTCCTTAAAACTGGCCTAGATTTTACCTACCTTTTATAAGCTCATAGTCTTCTGTGAATGCCCCATAGTCTTAAGATACAAAAACAAAACATGGAAAATAGATCTGCATTTTAACTAAGGTCTCAGCATAATCATCCTTCCTTGATCTACAGCCTAACGTCTAACATTCCTGTGACAACTTGTGTGCTATCATAAAGCGTTTTATATGATTTAAAAATGCTCAGTGTTGGTATGATCTTAGAAGGAAAGGTCTAAAAACTTGAGAATTCATTTAGAACATCAAAATCCTGTTTCCCAGGCAGTATTTAAAGTCCTCTAAATATGAATACTCATTCTCAATATTAACAATGACACAAAGATACGACCATAATTCACAGAAAAAAAAAAAACCCACACGAAGTGTTCATATTTACTGGTAATAAAAGAAATGCAACTAACGTATAAATTTAACAATAATGAAAATTTTCCACAAAATCGATAAATATTACAAAACAGATAATATGCAATAATTATGACGATATATGATAGGGAGAGAAGTGTAAATTGACATAAACTGTCTGGAAAACTATTCTTATGTGATATAATTCCAGGTTTGAGTCATATGGAAGTAGTGCCACATATATAGCATAATATTTAGCCAATTAGGATATATATATCTTTGCTGAAGTTATGAAATCAATAACTTACTTGGATTCTAGCACCTGAAGAATCTCTGGAGCATTAAGAAGTCCTTCAGATGCAAAAAACACATATGGAATCTGAATTTCCAAAAGAAAACCACCAAATCTATCCAGCAAGGTGCTACCTAAATAAGAGAATATTTACAAATATTTCTCTTTTTTCTCATCTCCCAGCTTTTTCTCTTTGTTACTAAACATGAGACTAATAGGTGTACATTCACAGGGTAGTATAAAATAACAGATATTTATTGTAAAAAATCAGAAATCAGGGGGCTGTCCCGGTGGCGCAGCGGTTAAGTTCGCATGTTCCACATCTTGGCGGCCTGGGGTTCACCGGTTCGGATCCCGGGTGCGGACATGGCACTGCTTGGCAAAAGCCATGCTGTGGTAGGCGTCCCACGTATAAAGTAGAGGAAGATGGGCATGAATGTTAGCTCAGGGCCAGTCTTCCTCAGCAAAAAAAAAGAGAAGGATTGGCAGTAGTTAGCTCAGGGCTAATCTTCCTCAAAAAAAAAAAAAAAATCAGAAATCAGAATAAAGAAAGGTCTGAAGAATAAAATGAAAGCCCTGTTATCCTCCTCTCTAGAAATAAAACAGAATTAACAGAATTTACTAAAACTACTATATGGTCAAAAAAAAGTTTAGTACTTAGAGACTTTTTTCTATATATTTGCTTGCCTATACTCACACATGTACACTCAAAAAAATATGAAAAAAATAGGATCATACTTTACCTGAATGTTACAGTCTGCTTTATTTGCTTAAGTATATATTTGACATTTGCTGTGCAAATATATAATGATTATCATCAAAATTTAAAGTCATGCACAATAACCCATAGAGAATGACACAGATCAATAGGAAAAGAATAAATACCTCAATAGATAACTGGACAAAAGACATAAACAGGCAATTCACAAAAGAATGACTATACAAGATCAATTCACATATGAGAAGATATGGATAATCAAAGGTACACAAATTAGCATAACTATAAAATATTTTCTGCTTATAATTCTATCACAGATTTAAAAGATTAATAATACCTCTTTATAATAAAGATATGTGGGAAAGGATCCTCTCACACTTTCTGCAAAATATAAATCGGGATAGTGTTTCTGGGAGGATATTTGAAATATATAAATGTGTGCATACTTTGACCCAGCAATTCATTTTACTACTTGGAATTTTTACTTGTTAGAACAAATATATACAGATACATAAAATATATAAACTACTATAAATCTTGCAGTATAATAGTGGAAAACTGAAACATTGCAAATGCCCCCCAATAAGAAATTGATTGAATAAATTAAGTTCATCTTTGAGAGAATGGAAGAAGCCTCTAAATATAAACTAGACTGCTTATCTTTTAATCCTTTCTTGCGCCCATGTTTCAATTATTTAATCAATTGAATATTTCACTCTACATATACAGGACTCCAAAGTAATAATTATAGTGATTGTATTTTTAGAATTGGGTTGGAACGTCTCAGAGCTCAGCCTTCCCACTCATACTTGAGGTGGGTAGAAAGTATTGAAAGAGATGCACTGGGACTAAAATTATGTGGGCTTTTAAATTTAATGGGTCTGAGAATTCACAACCTTAGTCTTGTGAAGTGTTACTGAGAAATACAAAGAAACCAAATGATAGGCAAAGTGGTTTTAGACTTTTTCTAAGTATTTGTGGATAATTGGTTGCTGCATATTAAAAGTTTTCTGAACCATGGGGGCCAGCCCTGTGGCTCAGTGGTTAGGTTAGCACACTCCACATGGGTGGCCCAGGGTTTCACCAGTTCGGATCCTGGGCGCGAACATAGCACCGCTTACCAGGTCATGTTGAGGCAGCATCCCACATAGCCCAACCAAAAGGACCTACAACAACTAGAATATACAACTATGTACTGGGGGGCTTTGTGGAGAGGAAGAAGGAAGAAGAAAAGATTGGCAACAGATGTTAGCTCAGCTGCCAATCTTAAAAAAATAGCTTTCTGAATCAGTCAACATACTATTACATATTTTTCCCTAAAATTCAATAACAAATACCATTACATAAAGGTATCAGATTAAGATTAGATATAACTGTAATAAAACTGTGCTTTTATAAGAAAAAATTAGAAGTTAAAGTGCTGAAGATAATATCATCTAATCAGTAAAGCTTACTTCACAAATGAGAACTATGAGGTAAGAAGATAGTTAAAGGACTTGCTCAAGGTCACACAGCGAGTGGTGAGGTTAGAGCTTGAACTCAAGTCTTCTAATTGCATAGCTTATTATCTTTCCACAAATCAGAAACAGAAAACAGAACATTTTCATTTTAATGGAGCAAAAAGAAGATTTTAGTTTATATCCTTACTCTTTACAACTGTGTCTGGAAGAATCGCTTTAAAGGCCATGTAAGGAATATTCAATTTTTCACAGTGTTTGGTCCAGCAAGAGTTTTCTACGTAATTATATTCCACCACAAATGAGAAACGACTCCAGGGGAAATCGGCTCCAATATACTGATTATGTACAACTACACAGGAACTCAAACTGAAGACAAAAGAAAGCCAGAAAAATGGAATTACACTTGTGTCATTATTTACTTGGAACACTAAGAAATGACTCTTTGGGGCTATGTTATTCTTCTCTAGTCTATACCTACTTATCTTGGAAAGGCACTGGTGTGTTTTCTGTTGATTTCTTCTCCAATTGTGCTAAACTCTTTTTATCTTTCCTTTTGATGGTCATCCTTTTTTTTTTTAAATGAAGATATAGAAAGCTACGGACTATTTCACATCCTCAAATGCAAGGGACTCTAATTTTATTACCTGAGTCCTATCAATAACGGACAAATCACAATGAGAAATCACTGTCATCTTCTTACAAATGTGAAGTTTTAATCTTTAGGAATCTATACATCTATATATCTATATAATCTATATATCTATATATCTATATAATCTATATATCTATATAATCTATATAACAGAATCTGACAACTTGGAATTTTTTTTCCTCAATGGGCGTAACAAACAAAAAAAGATGGATACTTAAATATCATAAGTTTATCTTTCCCATCTTCAAATTTCATGTAATAAGCACTCACTGTAATTAAAATTCCCTATTGCTGCTTTCTAGCTGGAGCAATCTAGGTAGAAGTTAAAAAGTATTCATGTCTAGCTTTTATGGGCTTCTATTTGATTTACTTCTTCTCTTTTTATTATTTGGATCCCAATATTAGAAATAAATAATTTCTACATAAAATAAGGCAAATAAAAACTTTTTAGACAACTCAACACTAAATTTATTATTAGTAGGTTCTCACTGAAAGGATCTCTAAAGGATATACTTCAGGAAGGAGAACCCAAAAGAAAGGAAGGAGATATAAGAAAGAACGCTGAGCAAAAAAACTGGTAAAAACAAGGATAAGTCTAAATAGACACTTCTTGTACTAATGATAATAATAATGACACTTTGGGGATATTAAAACGATTGAACTAAAATTCTGGACAACAATAATATACAATACACAAGGCAATGAACTGAGTTAAAGTGTTCTACGTAAAGCATTTTTCAGGAAGAGGGTAGAGACATTGATTAGTTTCAGATTTTATTAGACCTTTTTTAAAAGTTAAATTCTAGGGGAGATTTTGCTTTTCCTGTGGAACTGGTATGTTTTCTCCCCACAGATGAAGAAATACATTTTTACCCATTTAAAACAGCTTCGGATTCCAGAAAATCTTTTCTTCTGTTTGAATGTAAGGTAGTCAATGTTAAACCTGTTGGGGAAAAAAAAGTAACACAAAAAAAGTTTTTTCAGTGTTTTGTTCATATATATATTTTTTAGGTGTACCATCTATTTCACTACCATAAAAATGAATCAAAGATCTGTGAACAAGGAAACTGCTTAAATACAATTTGCTGGATTATTTTCCTAAGTCTAGGATATCAGAAATAGGCAATATATCTGGTTTGTGTATATGTTGTCTGTGTATAAGTATGGAAATTCTGAATCTATTATGTAAAATAAAATGGATCAGAAACTTAATTGTGAAGTAACAGCATAGATTCTATGCTGTTAATTTTATTTTGCTAAAAAATCATCAAAGATTACACCTTGTTCTCTAGCCAAAAATTTAAGTACATAACTAAACAGCAAGAAATTGCACTTCAACGTGGTAGGAATGCTTTTCTTCCCTTTCTACTGGCTATTTAAGAAGCAGAAGACTTACTGGATACCACTCATTCCTTAGATTCACTCCTGCTTCTCAATTATAATTTAAATTTCTTATGTTACTAATTTCTTAACAAAATATACTAAATTTTAAAAAATTGTGTACCCACAATACAGTTTATTTTTGGTAGACATAACTGATATAAGAAAACTTATTCTAGTTAAAATAAATTCTACACTCTATTAGTGTACTTTTGTCACTGTGAAGTTCACAAACGCATGCAGGATGTAATAATGACAGAGTAATGCTTAACAGTAATTTTATGTTTACTTGGCTTGATATGACAATAGATTTGGCAGCAATAAGAAAGGAGTGAGTACTGTTTCTCTTTCACAATTTATGAGGTCGTTCAGATGATTTAAAACCTAATCTCCTTAAATGATTTGTATTAGCTATGATCCCAAGGCAGATTACTTGCTGAGTGCATTACTCTGGGGGTAGGACAGTTTTGCATTACCACAAGGTGGATGGCATAGCCAAGGAGTGAATTGAAGACGCATATCATTTTTGTTATGGAGGCCAAAGAATCTATCAGGTCAGAGTGTTTAATGAATCATTCACACTAAAGACACCTGGGATAAGGGCAGGACGAGGAGTGAAGAGAATACCATGAGCCAGGTGCACAACTGTCCGTGGATGATGGGGAATGTCCTGGTAGTTACTAGATGATGGCAATAAGGAGTGGTAGAGAATGGTATGGCACAGCCTGAAAAGATGGAGGAATAATGGTTTGGAAAGGATAATGGAAAGCAAGAAATGGCCTTCTCATCTCTATGAGGTATATATAGAGAGAAAATTATCAGCTTCTATATGAGAGGAACACAGGGGAAGCAGTATCATGTGGGGAAAGCTGGGTTTCAGTTAAGACAAGCAGGTGAAGGAAAGAGTTTACACATAAGCAATGTGTTCCACAGCACAAGGTGGAACGGGTCGGCAGAGGGGGCAGTAGTGGGTAGAAGAGTCGAATGACATGGAAACAAGAGATACCTAGATTCAAATCCTGATTCCCTCACTTACAACCGAGAGATTTGGCATGTGGCATCAACTTTATGAACTTTAGTTTCTTTATTTGTAAAGCTGAGCTAATAAAATCTATTCATAGAGTTGTTGTAAGTAGCCAGTATTATTTAGCAACTAGTAGGTAATCAACAAAAGGGGTCAACTAATAATATAAAAAGTATTATTATTAACTATAATAATAATGTACATAGAAGTATATTATAGTATGTTTATATTACAGACTTATAGTACAGATTGACTTAAAAATTCGTTAGAGGGGTCAGCCAGGTGGTGCAGTGGTTAAGTTTGCACGTTCTGCTTCGGCAGCCCAGGGTTTGCCAGTTTGGATCCCGGGTGCAGACATGGCACCGCTTGGCAAGCCATGCTGTGGTAGACGTCCCACATATAAAGTAGAGGAGGATGGGCACGGATGTTAGCTCAGGGCCAGTCTTCCTCAGCAAAAAGAGGAGGATTGCCAGCAGTTAGCTCAGGACCAATCTTCCTAAAAAAAAAAAAGCTCTTTTCTGGGGCCGGCCCATGGCCGAGTGGTTAAGTTTGCGAGCTCCGCTTCGGCGGCCCAGGGTTTCACCGGTTTGGATCCTGGGCATGGACACGGCAATGCTCATCAGGCCATGTTGAGGCGGTGTCCCACATGCCACAACTAGAAGGACCCACAATTAAAAACATACAACTCTCTACTGAGGGATTTGGGGAGAAAAAGCAAAAAAAAAAAAAAGGATTGGCAAGTTGTTCGCTCAGGTACCAACCTTCAAAAAAAAAAAAACCAAACAACTGGTTAGATCCCAATGAGTTGTTACTTTTAAAGGGTGAATTTTATGGTTTTTAAATTATATCTTAATTTTAAAACTTGGTTAGATCAATACATTTTTATATGTTCAAGTAATTATTATCAAGTGAAGCATAATTTAAAAATCCCTACCTTCCATTTTGTCAAGGATTTTAATGAGTGAATGTTTTTCACCATCTGAGTCCATTCTTATTATAATCAGCACCTGACCAAACATAAGAATTTCATATATATGTATATCTGAATAATTATTCTTTTCCATAGTTTTGCTACAGTGACAATAAACTTAATTGCTTACATGAAATTAATGACAATAAGACTGCAACGTAAATATTTGTGCTGTAAAAAGATGCCAATGCTTAAATTCAAAGGAATAAATTCTGGTAAGATTGAATATCAATTAGGAAAATATTTGGGGTAGGGCATTCTTAGCATTCCTCAAGCATTCCCGCCTGGTGACTCTCTCCATACATACATTGTCTCCGCTTGTATTATAGTGTTAAATTCAACCCATACAAGTTAGAATTTGTTGGAGAAAACGAATGATTTGCTGCTATACTTTCCTACTTAACATTAAAGAGTTTTTTTGGGGGGTGATGGGAACAGCAAATCAGTTTCAATTTTAAATTTCTTACTGATTGATTTAATTTATTTTAATGACTTAAGTAAGTTACCCAAGTAACCATAAAGTTGGGAATAAAGACATAGTGGAGACAGAGAGGAAAAAGAAAAAAAAGGTCAAATTTGTATCTAGATTTAATGTAGACCATTTGAAATTCTTTTCTGCTTGACAATATTTCTAAAAGTATTTTCTCTTAAATCTTTATTATTGCAACCTTCATATGCTTGAGGTCAGGCAAAAATTTTCAATGTAATCCAAGGCATAAACTAAGTGATTCTTTTGTAGAATCATATAAGATAAAATTCTAGTTCACTATCTAAAAATAAATTATTATAGTTCTTTTATTGGGCATATGTTCATGCACTTACAAGTACCAGATAAAATTTTTGAGAATTGGAGGACTAATCCCTAAAAAAACTGTGTATAAAAAAAAAATTAAAGTATTTTAAAATTCAAGATATATGAATAACAATACAAATCCTTTCTTTGGGTCTGATTCTGTTCTGTTAATTTACTTAAGGAGAAAACTGTCAACGGGCAAAATAGCATAGACTATTTCATAATTTCAAAGTAAAATGCAAAAATTTATCTTACATCCAATTCTTATTTAAACTGATTACTTTTATCTGCTTTATTCCAATACTTAACCTGAATTTGCTGTTCACTTTGCATCCAATTTAGTATCTGACATTGCAATTCTTGTATCTTGTAGTTTGTTTCAGGATTTTTTTCCCTAATAAACTGTACAATTGCCAGCTGTCTCCAAATGTCATCCAAGTAAGAGCCTAAAATGCTTTTGTAGATATCTTTTGCATTTGACAAATATCCTGTTAAAAACAAAAGTAGGGAAAAAAAAGAGCCTATCTTTTTGTGCTTTGAGTAACTCCATGGTAAAAATCTGAAAGGAAATAAGAGTCATAACAGAGACAGCCAAAATTTCATTTAATCCTTTTCTGATTTTGATCAAAGATATTGACTAATAAAACCTTAAAATTGAGTGAAGCTGAAAAATATGTACCAAATGTCTCTTTTTGAGCTACATTACACCAATATACCTGGAGATACTCTATATATTCTCCGCATATATCCCATCCTTTCCTGCCTTCTGGCTTGTTGAATACTATTGCCTTCTTCCTACACTTACACGCAAGTTCTGCAGAAATCTCACTTCACTGGAATTTTCTTGGTATTTTATCTATACAACTTTTGTCCCTGATTTATGGTTATTTATGTATATGACTTAACCTCATTAATCTATAAGCTTGGGATATAATCTGTGATATTTATTCATAATTAATTTGTATAGCTGTTAAAATGGCAGTCCCTAAATTCAGGCTCACTAATGAAAGTTCTCACTAAAAATCCTGAGACCCATCCTTTAGAGTTCATATTCGGTAAATCTAAATAGTGTCCCAGGGATTTCTCTGTCTAAAAAGCTCTCCAGGTGATTCTGCTGCACAGTGAGTTTTGTGAATTACTGCAGTGGAGCACCTAGCATAGTATCTTAGGTAGATCAGGTGTTCAATGAGTATTTGGACAATAAATGAAATAATAAATTGTAAAAATTTAACGTTTATGTTCATTTTTAATATTGATGGGCATATTAATCCTAATTTTATATTAGTACAGCTAGACTGTTGGGCAATTTAGAAATTGACTCATGTTCTTTCTGCCTCCTAATCTCCAAACCTCCCACTGATTCTCCACACTGCCATTAGACTTAACCTTCTGGAAGACAAACCTAATCCAGTCGCATCCCTGTTTCAATGACTCCCTATCATCTACAGAATAAGGTCTAAACTCCTTTGTGTAGCTTAAAAGGCTCTTCATTGTCTGGCTCTTTCTTGCTTCTTAAGGCTTAGCTCTTACTGCTTTCCACCTTGTACTCTTCAATGTAGCCATAAGGAACTGTTTGCAGCACACCGTCATTCTTCTGGGCTCTTAATTCTGCCTTTGATACTCCTTCATACTTCGTTTGCTTGACAAATGCCTACTTATTTGTTAAAAATATTCAGCTTAGGGTAACAGTCTCCATCCTTTGCGCCATTACTACTTATCTCTGCTATAGTACCCATTACACAAGCCTGCATTTATTTCTGGGTTGAAGCCCAGAAGTGAAACTGTTATACCTTTAACCTTGAAACTCGTTACCTTGCTAGCTTGGGAGAGGTAGCAAACAGGAAGTCGGGAAAAAATACAGAATTCTGGCAGGGAGCAGGGCAGGCAGCCAGACTCCCATGGACCTTTCTTCCTCCGCCACTATACAGAGAAAAGAAAGGAGGACAACCTAACTTGCTCTTTGATTTTGAGAGGTTTAGAGGAGTGAGAAAGCCCTCCACTAAAAATGTACAAGGCAGCTAGGTTATTCATTACAGCTTGGTACCTAGGGCTAAAGAAGTTAGTTTTCCTACAAGGATTTTACTGTAATAGTATTTCTCAAGGCAGCCAAATAGTAATGCCAACATATGATTTAACAAATGCATTTTTTGAGGAACAAAGCAATCTACTCCAAATATATAGCTCTTAATGGTCTCACTTAATCCCAGGGAAAAGTGTAGAGTCCTTAGAGGTGAATATCCTTCAGGCAATCCTCTATAAATATTATTTCTCTAATTCAAGGTTTTGATGAGTATTGAGCAGTAGTGAGTTATAATTGTATTCTCTCTGCAGCACTAGGAGCTCAGATATTCTCGATTCTGCTATTCTGCCTTACTATAATGCTTTAATAGGCAGTCTAGCTGTTGGTAGGACTGAATCTTTTATGGAAATCAAAAAGTATAGTGAAGACATGTGACTATCTAGAAGGGCCTGTGACACTGTACCCTTATACTAGCTCTAGATACTGTAAACTGGGACTACAGCCCCCAATCCTCACTTGTCTGGGATAGAGAGAAGACCACCTGATCCAGCATCAACACCCAAGTAGTTTAATTGGAGAACAAAGGCAAAGTATCATGTGGGGCTTTCTAAAGGTAGCTATAACTTAGTTATAAGACATGGTCAGATAATACTAATACAATACTTGTCTGAGTATGAGAACTCCCAGTGCTGTACAGTGAGTTCGATTGTGACTCACAGCTGCTCGATACTTATCAAAACCTTGGATTAGAGAAATAATATTTGTCTGGGTCAAAGATAAGAGAAAACGTCTGGGTAATAGATCAGAGAAAAATTATTTTCACTTTATATTTTAAATAGGTTCTAGAAAATTTAAATTACAAAATATAATCCTATAAGCATACCACTACTAAATAAGTCTAAACAATCCTGCAATAAGGGATCTAAAGCAGTAATGTAGAAAGACAGATATTTAATGATTTTGATAGTTTAGAAAAAATTTCCAAAATCTTAAAAATTTCCAATACATTCTAATACTTTTACTTTTATCACTTAAGTGATCCATATCCTATTTACATGCAAAATTAAAAAAGAAATTGCAAAAATCCTACTACTGATAATAATTTAGTTATATTTCATCTAGCATGGATTCAAAGCCACAAACATTCAATGAGGACCTAAAATGTATAGGGTAAAATGTCAAGTCTTACACTGAAAAGTAGTACATGATAATGACTATACAATCAATTCTGCTTAAGGCCACTAGGGCTATGTAATTGAGGCCTAGATTAGAGAATCCTAAACCTATTTTTCTAGGTGACAATTGTTGTTAAAGATAATTTTTTTAATGAATATAAGCAGAATAAAATATATATTCCATTATAATTATGTCAAATGTACATAATGTTTAACGTGGAAGTAAAGGAAGCTGCATAATTTCTTATAAAGCACATCCTTTTCAAAAAAGTAAACATTATTTCACATGAAATTTTTCAATAGGAAGAAAAGGGGAAATAAAAAATTTTCCCACTAACCCAATGCGGTGTCCAAGCTGCATGTTAAAAGGAGATCTCTAATTGTTACCAGAAGGTGTAAGAGAGCAGCATGCTTGAATGTCATTTCTCTTTCATCATTTGTACCTAAGTAAGCAAAGACATATTTAAAAACATAGGATATACATTCAAATTTTAGAATCTATATCATAATGCTTAACAATAATAGCTAATATTTGTCATTGAGTGCTTACTATGTGCCAGGCTGTAGATAAGTTGGTTATTCATTGAATCTATAACAACCCTATCAGGGAAGTTTATGATGATCCTTATTTTATGGATGAGAAAATAGTCTTAATGAGGTTAAGTAACTGTCTGATGTGAATTTGTGAATGAATGGGGGAGTTGGCATTCAAACCTAGACAGCTAACCTTAGACCTCAGAATCTTGTTGTGTCCAAAGAATATTCAATTATTTCCAGTCTTCCTGGGGGAAAGCTCAATGATTCCCAGTTATGAAGCAAGAAGAAAATTAAACTCATAACTTGCCTACTGGTTAAGACAAAGGTAGAGGATCATAACATTAAAGTAATACCTAGAAATTGAGATGGACACCTGGGAATATTTGTCCAAAGATATGACCCAAACAAGAGATGTATTCACAGGGACAGGCCAATTGTCTAATTAATGTGTCTATGTAGTTCCAGAGCTTTTTAAAGATGATGCACTGGATTTTACTGCATGTAAAAGTGAGACCAAGAAGACAGAAGTCTAAGCCCACTGCCTCAATTTAATCAGAAAAGCTCTACTTTTCAGTGTTTCATATATTAGGATCCCATGAAACATTTATTTGAACAAAGAGTTCTGCCAAAAACTTTAAAATTGCTGATCTAATCAATGAAGATCAAGGCAGATATGTAGTGGTCATTGGGAATCAAGAGGCAACAGGAGACCCAATTACGGGTAGTATATCCAGTCCCTGGAAGGACTTGTGGGAACAAGTCAATCATGACCTGGAAGGGATAAGAATAGGGCAGAGAAACCAGATTTGGGATCATTTTTTTTCTGCCTTTAGGAGGTACTTTAACAGTTCTTGGAGTGCAGGTCTGTAGCTGATGAATTCTTTTAGCTTTTGTATGTCTGAAAATGTCTTTATCTCATCTTTATTTTTGTAATGTATGTTTTCCTAGTATAGAAAACTAAGTTGATGGTTTTTTTCTTTCAGTAATTTAAAGATATTACTCCATTGTCTTCTCACTTGTATTATTTCTGACAAGAAATCTGACGTAATCCTTATCTTTGTTTCCCATATGTAGCATTATTATTTCCCCCTGGCTGCTCCTACAATTTTCTTTTTCTTACTGGTTTTGAGCAATTCCATTGTGATATGCCTTGGTATAGCTTTCTCATGATTCTTGTCCTTAGGGTTCATTGAATTTCTTGGATCTGTGGGCTTGTAGTTTTTACTAAGTTTGGAAAGTTTTCAGTCATTATTTCTTCAAATATTTTTTCTCTTTACCTCATTTTTGCCTCTCCTTTGAGAACTCTAATTACTAGTATGTTAGGCTTTTTGATGTTGTTTCTCAGCCCACTGATGCTCTTTTCTTTCTTTTTTTTTAATCCTTTTATCTACCTGTGTTTTACTTTGGATAGTTTCTATTGCTATGCCTTTAAGTTAACTAATCATTTTTCTGCAATATTTAATCTGTCATTAATTCCATCCAGTTCATTTTTCATTTCATATATCATAGCTTAATTTCTAGAAGTTTGATTTGGGTCGTTTTTACATCTCTAATTTATTGAGCATATGGAATACAGTTATAATAAGTTTCAGTGTCCTTCTCTGATAACGCTAACATCTTTGTCAGTTCTGATTATTGATTGATTATTCCCATTATGGGTTGTGTTTCCCTGCCTCTTTTCATGCCTGATAATCTTCGATTGGATGCCAGACATTGTGAATTTTACCCTGTTGGGTGCTAGATAATTTTCTATTCATATAAGTCCTCTTGAGCTTTGTTCTGGGATGCAGTTAAGTTCCTTAGAAACAGTTTGATCCTTTGGGTCTTGCTTTTTTTCTTTTTTTTAAAGATTTTATTTTTCCTTTTTCCCCAGAAAGCCCCCCAGTAACTAGTTGTATACTTTTAGATGTGGGTCCTTCTAGTTGTGGCATGTGGGATGCTGCCTCAGCAGGGCTTGATGAGCGGTGCCATGTCCATGCCCAGGATCTGAACCAGCAAAACCCTGGGCCGCTGAAGCAGAGCGCGAACTTAACCACTCGGCCATGGGGCCGGCCCCTGGGTCTTGCTTTTATGATTTGTCAGGCAGGTCCAGAGCAGTGCTAAGTCTAGGGATAATTATTCCCCACTACTGAGGCAAGACATTCCTAAGCACTTTACTCAATGCCCGATGAATGAGTTTTCTAGGCTAGCTGGAAGGAACAGACACTATCCCCTGTCTGCCCCTGTGAATGCAGAGAACTCTTCCCTCTAATCCTTTCAGATGGTTTGTTTCTCCAACCTCAGGGAGTTTCTTTGCATATACTCTTCAATTAGTACTCTGCTGAATACTTGAGGGGGACAGACTCTTTGCAGATCCACATCTCCATGTGAAGCTCTCAGCTCTCTAATATTCTATCCTTTGAACTCTGGCTGCCTTGGTCTCCCTGGACTCTCAATTCTGTTTCCTGAACTCAGATTGTCCACTGGGCTCTGCTTCAGGTACCTCTCCCCGTGCCATGGCCTGGCATCTCTTTCAAGGCAGTAAGCTTGATGATAGGGCTCACCTCACTTGTTTCTCATCTTTCAGGAGTCACTGTCCTTTATTGATTGATGTCTAGGGTCTTAAAAACTGGTTTTATGTATTTTGTCTTTGTCTTTTTTGGCTATTTCTGGCAGGAGGGTAAATCCAATTCCTATTACGCCATCTTGGCCAGAAGCAAAAATCCAGGATTGACGTTAATCTATTTTTTGACCTCCCTCCTTTTTTGGGAAGGAACTAAGTGGTTCAGATGCTAACAATAATAATAGGGTTAATTTGGTTTCTGCAATAGGAATCTGTCAAGTAATATACGTCAATGAGAAGCTTCACAGCAATGCCAGATAATACTTCTTACCTGTTTCTCCTTTCTTAGCTGACGCTGCAGTATTGGTTTGTGGGTGCCATATGCTGAATTACAGTTATGTTTTCATCCATGACTAATTTCTGCATCTTCCATGTTTAATTTTTAATAATTTGATGCAGTAATCCATAAATTTATATTCTTTTACATAATCTTTTATTTCCACTCACCTTGGTGAATAGCATCACTTATTACTTTTTGTTGTTCCTTTAAGAGGAACCTTGTTTGGTCAAAAACAACAGTGGCAAATTCCCAATTAGCAACAGGGAGCGTACAGAGGCATGCAAGTTTTTTAAAGATAGGAGTAGCTGCTGCTTCTAGGAGACAGTACGCTTGGCACTGGCTATCTGCAAAAACAAAAGTATTAAAGGCAGTGTTTTTATAAGGATGGTATGCTCTTTTTGACAAACCAATTAAACATGTTACCTCATGGAAACCTGAACTCTATCCAAATTCTTTTCTGAGTTAAAAGTCATAAGGTTATATAGAGGCTTATTTTAGGATATCTATTCTAAATAAATTAGTAAAAACAACCTCCCCACCCCCATAGCATTAGTATAATTTCATGGCTATCTTGTTTATTAGAAAGGATTTATTCAGTAACTAATTCGACATGGCAACTATGAAGAGCCATATGAAGAGAATCACATAATTTTTTCTTTTCCCTTGATTATTAGCTTACAACTTTAAGCCAAACAAATTTATAACAATGACAAATTGTTTTCAGTTTTCACTAAAATATCAGTATTTAAAGATTTTCATAATCATCTAAAGGTCATAAATAAAATTGAACCAAAAGAATGAAAAGATATTCAAGAACCAGTGTCATATTTCCTTATTGATTTTAATAGTGAGCATGATGTTCTTAAGCAGGCTGCTCTTTAGGAGTTTAGGAGAAGAATATTCTTCTTTACAGCAGGACAAAAAATGTAATCAGTACAGGAATCAATAATAACTTATTTACATCATGCTGATAGTGGGTAAGAGAAGAGAGAGAGCAACCATTAGCAGTTCATTTTCCGGACTGGGCACAAGAGTATGAGTAGTTTGCTCTTCTCTGATGAATGTGGGGAAGCAGCAGTTTAAACGAAGGAAGAAATAACACTTAGTGGACTGGAGTAGGGGAAAAGGGACAGGCAGAGGCAGTGAATTGGGCATTCCAGGTTTGGAAATAACTTGAAAGTAGAAGTGGAATGAAGAAATATCTGAAATAAGTGAAGAAAATTACGTGGAAAATGAGGTATGTCCTAGATACCCAGGAAAGGGCTTTCAAATTTACTTAATTTAATGCATTTTAAAAGCATATAGCATACCTGATGCTTGAATTTCAATGACATTATCTGCTCTCCTTTCCTGATTTATTTTCTCTAGGGTTTTATTAGTACAAACAACAGGACTTTCTTCTTGAAGAGTCAAAGAATGTTCTTCATCTCGAAATTCTAATAAAAATATTAATTTGCATCACTCAGGGAAACAATGTTGCTTTACTTAAAATGTTTTCTTATAATATCACAGTTGTTAAAGTTCTTTGAAACACATCAGTATTAAGTTGAACGCCTATTCAGGTCAATGGACTTAACACTATGTTGAGTAGCAAGCTGAATGGTAACAGAAGAAAGAACTTTGGCATCAGATCGGTGTTTCAATCTCAGTTTGACGCTAGCCTGTTTCCTCATATGTAAAATATGGATAAATGTAGCTACTTTGAATACCGTTATAAGGATTAAACAAGTATGGTTCTCAACACCTAAAAGGCACATACTGTTTTACTTCATTTCTCTGCAAATTTTCTTACACCCTTCCTTCTGCTACTAATCCTCTCCTATGCCCCAAGCCCTCCCTGTCTCCATCCTTTCTTAATTAGGTCAATTCTTACTACTCACCCTTCAGCTCTCGGCATTTTCTGTAAGAAGCCTTATATAACTGCCCACCCTACTTCCAGGCCAGCAAAATGCCCCTCCTTTTTGTTTCCTTGGCACTCTGTGCATACCTCTGTCCTGGTGCTTACTACATTGTATTGAAGTTATCTATCTGCTTGTCTGGACTACTCTATTACACTATAAGCTTCTCAAGGTCAGCAACAGCACCATATTTATCTCTAATGTGTAATTTAATGTCTGGCACATGATGTTCAATAAATCCTAGTTTTCTTCCTTCTTCCCTAAATATTATTACAGAGGACTAAAAAATATATATATATATTTACAAAGCTAATTTATTAATTTATAATTAGAGTTATATTAAGTAAATATCAATGTTACCCATTAATAATATGATTACAAGATAATTTTAGAAACACAATACCATCTTGAAACATCTTAAATTGTGAGCTTTAAATACATGGTGAAAAATAATGTAGTAAAACATCCTAAACTAGATTATGTTATTATTTTCAAGTATACTTTTAATTAACTATAAATAATTGGAATAGCTATGATTAAATACTATTAATTATTGGAATTTTTGAGGGGCCCTAATAAGTTGTAATATTTTTTCTTGCCCCTGAATCAACTATAAGATAAGACAAGAAGTAAAATATATATCAAAATATTACCTCTATTACTAGTAAAGACTAAGTTGGAAAAAGGAGCTTAGTTTGAGAGTTAAATGGGCACTAATTAAACACCAGACCCGGGCAGTTCCCTACCTGTTCCCAGACTACGCTGGACTGGGACGGATTCCCCATGGGAGGGGTCTGCTTGGGAAAGATCGATGACATAGAGAAGCAGAGGAGAATGCCTGTTGCTTGTGGGCAGCTCATTCTCTCAAGCTTAAGCCCGACTTGTTCTTTCCAATTGACAACTCAGATAATTCATTCCAACTCCCCTGGGGAGATGTCTGGCCTATTCTATTTAAGGGCAAAGATGCCAGGAACATAACACTAAATGAGGAAACATCAGGAGTACAGAAGCATTCCCACCTAACATCAATAGTCCTTTAACTGTTTAGTAAACTAATGGCTAATTTTTTTTTTTACAAGAAAACATTCTTTTTATCTTTTCCTCCTTTCTTGCTGCTTTCTCTCATTTTCTGTTGTCAATATACCTTACTAGAAGCCATTATCACAAGTACGACAACCAGAAAAGGATGTCAGTATTAATTTTGGAGCGGTTTCCTATTTTTTTAACCCAAATATGAATAGATTATGAAAACATTCACAAATATGAAAATAAATTTTTATTTATCACATTCATAAGGTAATTCTCTATATTTTGCTCATTCTAATATGCAGAAGTTATGCTCCGAATTATGGTACAAATATTGGTTAGAAAGATCTCAGTTACATACAGAATTGTCACCTAGCAAGGTAAGTTATAAGGCGGTAAAACTATTGCATAAAAAGAAAATTTTATGGTGAATATATATAAACATAAAGGATTGCAAAATTCTGAGATCTTTAAATACTATTCTGCACTTTTGCTGAATTTTTCATTGTGAAAAATGCACTGATTGACAAAGGAATATAACTTCAAATAGACCTGTAAAGGCTGTCATAGCATGTTTCCCACAAGCAACAGGCATTCTCCTCTGCTTCTCTATGTCATGAATCTTTCCCAAGCAAGCCCCCACCATGGGGAATCCTGTCCCAGTCCAGCGTAGTCTGGGACTGGGGAGGTAACTCTGCCCAATTCTGATGTTTAGTTAGTAAGCCCATTTGACTCTCAAATCCAGCTCCTTTCTCCAACTTAGCCTTTATTAGTAATACAGTAAACTGCAAAATATATCCTTGTCTTATTTTACACTTGATCCAGGGGCCAGACACTGTGTACATTAATAGAATATAGGACGGTAAGACCTAAGTATGCTCTACTTTCACACATAAATATTTCTACACTTACTTCATCTGGGCAATCTATGTCAAACATATTCTAGAATACCTATTTTTTACCAGAAGTGAAATGATATGACACTTTACACTACCTTTTATATGGTTATAAGCTGTGAATGTGAACAGTCACAACTCAAATAGAAATTCTTTGGTAAAGTTAAAAAGAGTAATAAGCAATGAGATGGGCAAAGTGTTCTGCAGTACCACACTAAAATATAAGTTAAAATACGAAGATAGAACTGTCAGCTAAGGGGCCAGCCCAGTGGCGGAGTGGTTAAGTGCGCATGTTCCACTTCGGCAGCCCGGGGTTTGCTGGTTCAGATCGTGGGTATGGACATGGCACGGCTTGGCAAGCCATGCTGTGGTAGGCGTCCCACACATAAAGTGGAGGAAGATGGGCATGGATGTTAGCTCAGGGCCAGTCTTCCTCAGCAAAAAGAGGAGGATTGGCAGCAGCAGTTTGCTCAGGGCTAATCTTCCTCAAAACAAAAAAAACAAAACAAAAAAAACCACTGTCAGCTAAAAGAGAAAAAAGAATGGAAGAACGATCAGGAAAAGTAAGGAATACATACTATGAATCTGTATGGCCAAGTTGTAGAAAGCAAGTTTTACAAATAGTGATTTTTCTTACAAGTTCAAATGCACTTTTTAATTTTTTGGAAAATACATATCTACACTTATACCTATATCTATATATCCATATCTATCTCCATACACAGTAAGTATCATGAATCAATAACATTTTCTTTGGCTTTGAAGAATAATATATTCTATCTAGAAGAGCTTTATTTCTTTACCTTCTATAATAAACTATACATTTAGTCCTTAAAGTTGTCATATCTACACCAAAATATTACTAAATTACCCACCATTTTTTTCATCACTGTCTGTGACTTCAGTACTTGAGGTGCAAGTCCTATATTTATTTCTCAGCATAATAAAGTCACTCAGAAGGTCCAAATCATTCTCCTGTTTTTCACCATTTTTAAAAGATGCTTTTTCCATTTTTGAAGGGGAAGATGATTCAATAGATGGTACTGTGCAGCCAAGTTCCAAGCAATCATTATTTTCTTCATTTTGGATTATTCTATGAACTAGTTCTAGATCATTCTTTGGTATTTCTTCTCTCATTAGGTTTTTAACAGAGATATCTTCATCAGAAAAACACAGGTCTGCCACAGATGCACTCTTTCGTGGAAGTGATAAATGATCATTTGCAGATTTCTCTTTAATAAGTACAATAGGTGAGGAACAACTTGCATATTCTAGCTGTGCTGAAAACAGAAAATAAAAGATCCAAATGACTTCCATGCCCATATGAGTGTTCTACTATGGTATTAGGATAAATTTTAGTTGTGGCTTCTTGTTCATATAATTTGATCCTTAGGAATACTTTGTTTACTGCTTTGAAAATCAAGTTTTTGACCAAACAAAACAAAATTTTAAGAAGGACAAAAATCCAGCACCTCTTTTTCTTACTACCGGAGCTAGATTATCAGGCAAAGAAAGAATTCCAGAAAAACTCTATTGCCAATAGGCTTACAATAAGTCATAGCCTTGGAGGTAACAGTTACTATAAGGGTCAAAAACATATACCAAGTAAGCCACAGACCAGAAGAAAATACTTGCACTACATACACTTGAAAAATGACTGTATCCAAAATATATAAAGAACTCATAACTTAAAGTTTAAAAAGAAAGTCAATTAAAAATTTGGTAAAATATTTGAACAATTCTTCATATAAGATAGGCACATGCTGCAACATGGATGAATCTTGAAAACATGCTAACTGAAAGAAGCCATTCACAAAAGACCACATATTGTGTGATTCCATTTATATGAAACACCCAGAATAGACAAATCTATAGAGACAGAGAATAGATTAGTGGTTCTACAGCTGGGGAAAATGGGCAGTGACTGCTAATGGGTACAAGATTTCTTTTTGGGTATAATAAAATTGATTGATGTTCTAAAATTGATTGTGGTGATGCTTACACAACTCTGAATACACTAAAATACATTGAATGGTATACTTTAAACGGGTGATTTGTACAGCATGTGAATTATATTTCAACAAAGCTGTTACATATTTTTTTAAAAAGAAAATATACAAATGGCCAATGAGCATATAAAAAGATGTTCATCATCATTACTTATCAGGAAAATACAAATTAAAACTACAGTGAGATACCACAACACACTCATTAGAATGGCTAAAATTTAAGAATGTCAATACCGAGTCTTGACAAGGATATAGAGTAATTGGAACTCTCACATATTGCTGGTGTGAATGTACAATGGTGCAACCACTCTGGAAAACAATTTAATAGTTTTTTATAAAGTTAAACATACACCTAGCATAAGACCCAGAAATCCTAGATATTCACTCAAGAGAAATGATAACACACGTCCACAGAAAGACTTCTATAAGACTATTCCTAGCACTTTTATTCCTGAGTAAAAAATTGGGGAAAAAAAATCCAAGTAGAGTTGATAAACAAACCTTGGTACATCCAAATAATGAAAAATCCCTCAGCAATAAAAAGATATGAACTAGTGATACACACAACGTCAGAAATGTTATGCTGAGTGGAAGAAGCCAGATACAAAAGAGTTCACATTGTATGATTCCATAAACGAAATTCTAGAACAAGGGAAACTAATACAAAGTGACAGAAGGTAGACCAGTGGTTCCCTGATGTCAAGGGTTAAAGTTGGTAGGGAAGAGGGATGGGATGGGGGGAGAATGATTGCAGAATGCAAAGGGGCACAAGGGAACTTTTTAGTGACAGAAATATTCTATATCTTAATTGTGGTGGTAGTTTGATGAGTACATACATTTGTCAAAATGCATCAAGTTATACAGTTAGAATGGGTGCATTTTATTATATGTAAATTGTACCTCATAAAGTTTATTTGAAAAAAACTTAAGTGCCTATAGGGCCAGCTAAATAACGTAAATGAGTGAAGTAAATGGCCAATGCTTAAATCATAATCTTTGAGAAGAAAATTTTGTATTTTTTTCTTCCAAAATGTAGTCTATAAATTGTTTTTGCTTTTGTTTTTGCTTTTATTAGAGATATTGGCATAGGAAACATTTTACTTTCCTCTTAACTATACTAAATGTAAGACAAAAGTGCAAGAGTAATGCTAAATGCCAACTAACACCTGGCCTCAATTTGTGAGTGCTTGGAACTGTGGTGAACCGGAAGGTGCGTGGTCTGTCTAAAATGCTGATGTACTATTGGCCCCGGCCAATTGTTGCCATATAAGAATTTGAGTCTGGTTTTTTGAATTTTAAAGACAACCTCAAAATATAGATCACTTATGTACAACCCTCCAAATTTTAAATGTTGGTAAATAATTAAAGCACCACATGGGTTAATATTACGTGGGTCGAATAGGACGTAAGTGCTACCAATTTGCAACCTCTGAGATATTTTCTAGAGATATCCTGGTATTTTTGGCAGGTTAAATAGGAACTGTTTATTATTTCACTTTTCTGATTATTTTCCTCTAATATTTTTTCTTTAACCACTGCTATCCTGACAACTTGCCCATGGCCTCCTGAGACAGTTATTGCATTTTAAGCTTCAGAATGAAACTATTATCACAATTCTATTGGACATCAAGGTGAATTATATGCTTTATTTTAACCTCAAAATAGTTACATATCATAATAAAGACTTTACATAGTTTTATAGATTTACATAGTTTTATAGATTTAATACATAATTCTGGATATTTGAAGACCTCATAAAATCTTCCTCTCTGTTTTCTTTGTCTAGCAATGTGACCTTTTAAAATCTGACGTGACCTCTTTTAAAATTCTTCTTCTACCAAGGGTAACCATCTAGGCCTTAGAATAGACTGGTCTGCATTTGCTTGAGACAGTCTGTTTATCTATTCTTCCTACCATGTCCAAAGCCCTCTGTCTTCTGTCTTTGAAACATCCCTTGCTGTTAACAATTCTCAACCCAATTCTTACCTCCTTAGAGCAGTCTCCCACCATATACAATAATTTCTAAAATTCACTTTTAAATATGTTTATTTACTCTATGATAAACTAAACGTAAAGTTTCCCAACTCCTTTAAGATCTAAATTTAATTATTGCACAAACTGATTTTAAAACAATATATATATACCTCAAAAAAGTATAATTCGCGCTAAGTATGTTCCATTTACTATAATGGCATACATAGCAACCAAAATAACTCAAAAGATAGATACTCAAAAGACATTTTTGCCTTCTTAAACTGTATAAGTAAAGAATGCTAAAGAAGTAAGCTTTTTGGTAATAAAGGAAGATTTTCCACTGTTGAAGAGAAATTAGTAGATATGATCAAACACTCAAAGTTCAGCTATGAGGTCGAAAAATAACAGTGCAGGTTTGTGCCTAGGCTGTTGTAAATGGAAACTGGACTAGCAACTAATAATTTACAAAAGGAAACAGTCACTTTAACTGAAAATGCCTAGAAGTCTAAAAACCGAGACTACGGAATTTTAGGACAGAAAAGGATTTTAGGATTAGCTTGTCAAACTTCTTCATTTTTTCAAGAAAGAAAATGAGGCTTAGTGAAGCTCAAAGTTATAAATTCTGGCAGAGCTAGAGCCAATATTGAATGCTGGAATTTGGTTCTTTTTTCCTAACATTTTCTCATTCTGAAAATGTTCACACTATTTACTATTTACTATTTATGTACTTACATTCTAAATGAAGCAATTTTGTAGGCAAAAATATCTCCATTTTAGTATCATCAGAAGATAGATCATCATGAGACAAGTGTGTATTCAGATGTTCCAAAGTTTCTGTCACTATCAGATTTAGTCCTGCTTGTTTCCACCACTCTGCACTGACAGGATTAACCACAAGGCTTTCTTCTTCAATAGAAAGTATCTTTTTCAAATCTGTAGCTGAATATTGACTGTTGGGCTCTTCAGTTCTTGGCACTTAAAAAACAATAACAAACCAAAAAACAAATAGTTGGAAACAGTCCACAGGGCAAAAGAGATGAAAAATACAATAAACAGAACTACACTGGAAATTTCTTATGAAATAGATTTTCACACATAAGGAAAAAAAGTGAAACTTGAAGTTATATCCAGTATTTTATCTTCAAGATGCTAATATTTATAAAAGTCCAAAATATTAAAGCAATAGAAGTCACACAAAGGATTTATTTCAATCTGTGTAAATATCACGAAGTTAAAATTATTCTGGGGCTAGCCCAGTGGCATAGTGGTTAAGTTCATGTGCTCCACTTTGGTGGCCTGGGGTTCACAGGTTCAGATCCCAGGCGTGGACCTACACACAGCTCATCAAGCCACATTGTGGCAGCGTCCCATATACAAAGCAGAGGAAGACCGGCATGGATGTCAGCTCAGGGCCAGTCTTCCTCACACACACACACACACACACACACACACACAAATTATTCTAATGTCTAGTAGGAGATGGAACCATTATTTTGTTTGACCAATTTAGTAATTACTAAATTAACTCATTTGATAACATTTTGATGAATTAATATAAGATTTATTAAATCAGAAATTCTAATTCATTATAATGAGCCTAAACAAGAGATATATTTAATCAGATCTTATGATGAATATCACCTTAGATATTGTGGCACAGAGCTTTCCATTTCATTACTTTTTTAGCCTATGCAGAGATGAATCATAAAGTATGGAGGAACTGAAGTAGCACAACTACTTAATATTATCATCTGCATTATAAGCATCAATCCAAAATTAGGATTATAAATTTTAAAATCCTAATTTTGGAACTGTGCTTTTTATAATGACAAAGATAATAATAATAACAAAACTGACAATACATTTCTACTGATTGTATCTTTTCATCTGTACTTTCTATTTAGTATTCAAAATCAATTAATCTTTACCTGAAAGCAAAAATGGATTCAAAGAGCTTCTGTAGCTTTCTAATTGCCGCACCATACAGTATTTGTTAGCTGATTCTTCAGCAGTAAGCAAACTACTGAAAAGGAAGATTTAAAGTTTAATACATTAATAATATTGAGTCTTTTTGTATAATAAAATTTTTTTAAGAAAAGTATTTCTTACACTCAAAAGCAAATGAAAAACTATTTCATGAATGCATAAACTGAAGTAGAGAGTTCCATAGACCAAATTTCAAATACTTACTTCCTCCTCCTTTGGGAGGGTTTGGCAATTAGTCAGCATCTTAACTGCTCCTGCTTGCCTATAACTTACTCCTACCCCTATCTCCTCAGTGCAACCTGGAGCCAGAGGCTGACTTGGGAGGGTTTTAGCACTTCCTTCCAAAATCTGTGCCAGCACCAACCCTATAAGCCACCCAAAATAAAAATAGAATTTAGGTAAAATCACTGTGCTTACCATACAAAATAGAAGCTTTAACACAAATTTTTACAAAATTGCTGTCCCCAAGTCCATTCTAAACAGAAATTCTGGAGCCTCTACTGGCTAGGGATTAGAACTATGAAAAAGTTATGTCTGCTCTACCTTCTCAGGAAATGACAGGTCCTAAAGTTTAGTTCAAATCCTTCAATTTTGGTGGGGTGTGAGTGATGTGTGTCTGTTTATGTGTTTTGGGGTGCTGGGGGAGAAGAGAGGAAATATGAATGACAATCAGTGTAAATCACAGCTCATCAGTAGCTATGAAGTTACTAGCCTTGGTAGGAAAGCGACCATTAATTCACAAATCCTTTAATCTATGCTCCAAACCTCCCACTCCGTTCTGAGTGAAAACTGATTGTATTCTGTTTCTCTATTCATATGGAATATACATGAGCATGCTAATTGTAAGTACTGCTAGTTAAATTGACAGCCCCGGGCAGTAGAAAGCTAGGTTTTATGTCTAAGCCATCCAATGTACACATGTGATCCAAAAATCTGGCATGTGGGAGCAAAATTTGAGAATCTAGACAATTCTCAAACCTTAAAAAGGTCTCTTTGACAACTAAACACCTCAGATTGTAGGCAATTATTTCAAAGTGAAAGGGGAAATATTTATGCAAGACCATAATATAGACAAATATTCTCAGTCTTAACACAGCTTCCTAAAGACATGTCCGAATTTGATATATTCTTTGGTCATATTTAAAAATATGTTCACAATTCAGTAATCAGTTAGTATGGAAATGAAGTCTTATGCCATATAGACTTTTATTCTTAGCCCCATAAAATCTAGCATAGAGTTTTAAATGTGGTAGGCACTAAAAATATCTGTTAACTGGGTACATTTCCAACCAAAATGCTGTGTTCTGAAATAAAAGTAATTGGGACCACAAAAACAAGTTAAGGGTACAATAACATTACATCTTATTTTTCCCTTTTTCTCTTCTGTTGTTTTTTAATTTTAACATGCCTTTGTTTTTAGTTCACAGTTGAGGTGTAAATCCATTTTTAAAATAGGGATTTTTAAGTTTTCATATTCTCAAACCAAACAGAAGTGATTTACCTCTTGCTAGAATAGGTAGCTAATGACGAGACAACTGCTTTAAGTTGTTTCAAATGACCCTAGAACCTTTGGCTAACTTAAAAGACTTTTTTTCTCTAACTTTGGCAAATCATAATACATAGATAAGACTTACATTTCATAAATTCTCAATAGATGATTGAGTTCTAACAATAAGTAGATATATAAATTGTGGGATTAAAAAGAGTTTATTGTAGTTTAAGAAAACACTTTTAATACCAGATTGAAATTCTGAGATTATTCTAATTTCTGCTAGATTCTGCTTCTAATTACCAATCTGCCTTAACAGATGGAGTAGGGTATGTGGAGTAAATAAAAGAGTAAAAGAGGACTTAACAAGACAGTATAGTCCTGCAAATAAACATCTTGCACCTTAGCAAAGGGATGAAAAGTATTTAGACCAATTATAGGTAGTTTCTGTACTCATCCCATGCTATTTTTAGAGCTCATATCTGATAATGGGCAGTTCTAGTTAACGGTAAAGCTCTGTGTAGCACAGATTTACCCCTCAAATGAAATAATTCTTTGCCAGAAGATGAAGATAATCGGGGCCCTGAAGGCCAGGCTCCTCCATCTCGTGCTGTGACGCCTTCCTGAGACTATTAACAGAAGCGGAACAGCTAGTGATGAGTTGCTCTGGTTGCTCCCAGTGACCCAACAGCATTCTCCTCTGCCAGCTCAGTCAATCACAGCTAAGAACTCAAAACCCAGCACACGGTTCTCACAGTGTCCTCTGTGGGAATAATTCATTAGAGACTTGTAGACTTTCCTGTAATTTTCCTGAAAATGTGTTATTTTAGGGCACATTAAGTTCCAGAATTACAGTGGGAAAGGAGGCTGTACTGGTTATGTTCCTAGTTTTGTAACTGGTGTAAGAAGTAGAGGAACAGGTGACTTTATTCCAGATAGCAGACTAATCTAACATAGAAAACATAAGTTTCATGTATGCCATATGGTATAAGACAGCAACCAAAGCTGTCTCAGGCTCTGTCAGAGGACAAAGATGCTGGGCTATTAAGCTATGCAATTTTGGCTCAAACTAGAATACAATGATCCAACCCTGCAATATCAATTCTGAGAAGATTACAGACTATTCTGCACAGCAACAATGGGTATGGAACAGATTTGTGGATCAAGCCTTGGTTCTACACGTCTGGTTCCCCCAATACCAATACCACATTGACAGAGGTAAACAAGGTCATCCTCTACTAGAGATGGGATGTGATCCCTGGTACTCCTTGGGTGTACCAAATCTGTTGATCAACCACTGAACACACTGCTCTGTGATCCTTGGCTATTCCTGGTCAGAGAGCTATGACAAATCTTTTAGAAGACCTCATAACAACCTTGTGAGGTTATCCCAATACTACAGAAAAGGAAACTGAGGCATGGGCAACTAAGGTCACAGAACTAATAAGTGATAGAACCAGGTAACCTGGCTCTAGTTCAGGGGCTCTTAACCAGTTCTTATGGGCTGAATTGTGTCCCCCAAAATTCATATGTTGAAGCCCTAACACTCAGTACCCCAGAATGTGACTGTATTTGGAGCTAGGGCCTTTAAAAAGGTAATTAAGTTAAAATGGGGTGATCAGGGTGGGCCAGTGGGTGTCCTTATAAGAGGTGATTAGGCCACAGACATGGATGGAGGAAAGACCATATGAAGACAAAGGAAGAAGACAGCTATCTACCAGCCAAGGAGAGAGGCCTCAGAATGAATCCAGCCCTGCTGATATCTCATTCTCACACTTCCAGCCTCCAGACTGTGAAGAAATAACTTTCTTCTGTTTAAGCCACCCTGTCTATGGCATTTGTTATGGCAGCCCTAGCAAACTAAGACACCACTACACCATCTTTCATGGCAGTGAGTGCCAAAAGAGGCAGTGCCATTGGCAAGGGTCCAGTGGCAAAGTTCTAAGCAGATGGTTCCAGGGAGAATCTTTTAAATTTTTCAAACTGTCTATTTTTAATGGTAATATATTCACATTCAAAATACTGAAAGTATAAAGGAGCCTGGCACTATCACTTACTAGCTCCCATATTGCCAGGCTACCCAGTTCCCTTCTGAACACAATCGGTGTTACCTGATTCTTCTATGTCCTTCTACAGATATTTTACACGTATAAAAACAAATATGTATATACATATTCACATATTCCCTCCAGTTGCTTACTATAGACACTGTTCTATCTTTTACATTTTTTCACAGAGATGTCTTGGAAATTGCCTTTATATGGAGAGATTTAATTAAAGACTGCTTGTTCTGAATTGTAATTTGAGTTCCAAATATAATCTTCACTTACTTTTTACAAACAGGAGAAAATGGAAATGTCTGAAGTCCTGTACATAACGAACTCACTGAAGAACATTGGTTTGTTAGGAGCAGAGGACTTAATGGCATTTCTAACTCCACTAGAATACAAAAAAATTTTAAAAATCATAATATTACATAAACATTGAATAAAATTGAGTACAATTTAGAATTTTCTATAAGGAACTATCATCTTTGATGATTATGTTGCAACAAAATTGTTCAATAAAATGAAATTTGGGTTATTTGAAATACAAAATAAGTTTTAAATTTCCACCTATATAAGGAATTACACATTTATCACATGGTGTCTCAACTGAGATAGTGGTGACTTTTAAAAAATAGATTGACAACTAAACTTTATTGAGTTTATCATATGAGATAAATTTTAAGAGCTTTATGTAAAATAATGCTTTTAATTCTGACAACTTATGTTAGTACTTAGCAGATAGTACTATTTTTATCTCCATATATAAATACTGGTGATGTTAAGCAAGTAATACTAATGGAGAGTAATTCTTCACCTTAATAAGTCTGGAGTCTAGGCAGCCTAGCACAGAGTTATATACTTACAGGGTGGGCTTGAAAAACAAATCCTCATTTATTCATAAGTAGTCAGTGTGCTTCTATCACTTTCAAAAATAAAGCAGTAAACTTCTAAACAGATGATTAGTGTGATCCAATTATAAATATAACTAAATAACAGTATCATCCACATGGTTCAGAAGCAATAGAATTAGGCATTACAACGACACAAATCTCTGCCTCTGAGATTCTAAATTTGGTAGGACAATAATATTAATAATGATGGGATTGCTTTGGGGGATTAAAAAGTTAAATTTATATAAGTGTACCAAGGGTCAGCAAGATAGCTAGTACTGAGATAAAATAATAGTATTTTATTACTGAGCTATAATAGTACAAGATTTCTATTTTTAATATTAATGCTATTTCCTCCATTACTCTTCCTCAATCTTTGTAACTCTCCTCTATATACTATTCAGTTTTGATGCTAGAAGAATAATGAGTTGATAGTAATAAATGTAAAGAAACAGATAGAAAAAATGACAACTTGGATTGCAATAATCAAATTTTAAACATGAAAACTGTCTCATAGTAGACTTTATATGTGAAAGTATTGTACTTTTACATCATATATAGGTAACCACTGATAAACAATAATTTATTCAATATTTCTACCAGGTTCACTGTGCTCTGGTTCGGACTGGCTTTGAATGGCCAAAATCTCTGTGGAGCTGCACTTTCTATCTTCAATGTCAATTCCATGCTTGGTAATAAGCTCTGAAAAGGAAAGGAAGAAAGTCTACCACCAGCAAAAGTGTTATCCTGTTAGTATTTTTGTAATCTGGTTCGTTCCTCTGTGGCAATGACTCTGTTTACCCAGTACACCATCGGAGACAAGTAAAGGCTGGGAGTGTAACACCACAGTCATTCAGTAAAGTCACCTGTCCTTTCCATCAGCATTCATAGATTTGTGTCCTGCTAACAAGCCCATGGGCCACGCTGCAGTTTTGAGCTCTGCTATATTTTCAAGTTCTGGTATGATATTGATCCACTTACTCAGGTTGCCTTTTCATTCCCTTGCTTTGACTTGTAGGCTGATCACTAACTCCCTTGATTTAGTCTCGTCTGCAAGAATTCTTTCAAGTCTGTGGTCTGTTGATGGCAAGCAACCCTGTTCTCAATGGATATCCCAAAGCCCTCTTCATTCCTCCCTAATATTATATATCTTTGATCTTTTCAACTGGAATTTATGAGAGAGTAGTTAAACGTTCGGGCTCAAATGGTCATTAAAAAGAATTCAACAATATTTACTAAGTCTAACTGGGATGAAACATCTAAATTCTAGGTTATGACTCTCCTAGTCACCTGATTCCATGAAGTGTGGCCTTACTCTGAGCTTTCCATACCTAACTAAAGTCAGCATAGAAGTTGTTAGTGCTTTGTTGTTGTATATAAGATAACAAATAAAAAAAATAATATATTCATAGGTGTTTTAATTTTACTTGTATATTATCTTGAAATGGTTAGATTAATTTCAGAGACATTTTAAGCTTGCAAGCATATAAAGAGAGAGACAATAAGAAAAGTCTCATCAAAAATAATTCTGAGATTTCACCATGTAACCTGCAGAACACTTTTTAAAATCTGGAGGTTCAGAAAAAGTTTAATGAATAAGAATTTTTTGTAATAAATATTATTAAGCAGTTTTTACAAGTAATAGATTTCTAAATTAATTCTTACCTCTTTCGAAAAGGTTTCCACTTTCGTCTACATAATTTATTACTTCTGGCATTAAGTTTAATGACTCCTTCAGTTCTGAGAGTGATGGAATACCAACTTCTTGCTTGAGGCTTGTAGATACTAAGAATTCACAATCAGCCAAAATTGATGGCTGAAATAATATATAGGTAAAAAAAATTTTTAGTGAGGTTTTCCAAATAAATATTTCTGAATTTATAAATAGATACATTTGCTTAATTGGTATACCAAATTTTAAACTAAACCTACAGTCAAAATTTTTAATGCTGTGCATATATTCAAAAAACAGAAGTATAGTAGTCAAAAATATATTAGATTACAAGCAATGTTCTCTCTGTGTAATGTCCTTTATGGCCTCTGATTATACTAGCAATGTACAATATCCCTAGATGCGGAAATATCTTCTCTGGGGATAACAACAAATTTTAAAAATTCTAAATTATAAACAATCCCTGCAGCAGCTGAGAGATGGTAAATGGAGAGAAGTGAAAAGGGTAGATGGAATGGAATGGATCTTTACTGCATTTCCTGGAACATGTTTCTCCTTCATTTCTACGGAACTAGATTCCTCAACAACCGAGACTGTATGCGTGAAACTCTCAGAGTTAACAGGGGAGGGAGGGGAGGACTGGAGAAAAGGGTGAGTTAATATTTTTAGGTGAATTAATATTTTTACCATTTGTGCTAAAATTTTTTTTTTAAAGATTTAAAAAATTTTTTTTTCCTTTTTCTTCCCAAAGCCCCCTGGTACATAGTTGTATATTCTCAGTTGTGGGTCCTTCTGGTTGTGGCATGTGGGACGCCGCCTCAGCGTGGCTCGATGAGTGGAGCCATGTACACACCCAGGATTCCAACCGATGAAACACTGGGCCGCCTGCAGTGGAGCGCGTGAACTTAACCACTCCACCACGGGGCTGGCCCCTAAAATTTTTAATTGTAAGGAAAACCTTTAAATGCTTTAAGACCATCATATATGTAATATATATATCCTTTTACTGTTTTAAGAAAAGCCCCAAATATAAAACACTTTATATTGTCTTCAAAAAAAAATTTTAAGATACTTTGTGAATGCATCTAACCTATATGGGTTTAGATTTTGAGCATGTTAAACTGCAGAAAGTTATTCACAATGTCAACTGCTAGAATTCTTTACAAACTAATATCATAATAACAATTCTGTGTGCTATTGGAACTCTATGCTAGAAAAAAAGAAAGGCTGCCATTTTCTTTTTCTTTTTTTTTTTGGTGGCGAGGAAAATTGGCACTAAGCTAACATCTGTTGACAATCTTCTTTTTGCTTGAGGAAGACTGTCACTCAGCTAACATCTGTGGCAGTCTCCCTCTATTTTGCATGTGGGATAATGCCACAGTATGGCTTTACAAGTGGTGCATCCCACACTTGGGATCTAAACCTGCAAAGTCGCCAAAGCAGAGAGCTGAACTTAACTACTACACCACCAGGCCAGCCCTGAGGGACTGCTTTTAAGAAGTTTGACCTTTATTATGCAAAGACGTTATCTTCCTTGTTAACCACTGGTAGCACCTAAAATGCAGTCTCAGACCACATTTATTCTTACTCCTTCAATGAGATCACTTCTCTTATAGTTCAAGTAATATCTGTTTTGTGCATAACTCACAAATCAACATCTCTAGCTCGAGTCTCCAATTTTTAAACTAGAATATGACCACTTATTGTCCTACACTAGGTATATTGATTAAAACCATTGGGAGAGCTTTTAAAATTCCCTATACCTGGGCTGTACACCAGACCAAGTCAAAATATATCTCGGTAGAACCCAGGCATCAGTATTTTATGAAAACTCCCCAAGTAATTCCAGGGTGTAGCCAAGGTTGGAACCACTATCTTAGAAGTAAATTTGACTCCTTAATCAATACACATTCAACCCATTATCAAGTCTTTTTAACTTGACAATAGTAGATGGTCAATGTATGTTACTAAAATTTATAAAAGTGTGCTTTGCTACTTTTATAAAAATACTACTGAAAAGCAAGCATTACAGTTTCATTTAAACTTACTGTATCTTCTAGCTTCTCCTGACAAAAGTTCTCTTTATCCATGTAAAAATCTTCTTTCATAAAATCTTTCAAATCTCTTTGAAAAGAGAAACATTCCCTTAACAAAAAATAAAACATTAAATTAGTGTTTACTAATAGCCAGGTACATACTAAATGTATCCCACCAAAATATATAATGGTCAAAATTAGAGTTGAGTAAAGCAATAATAAAATATTATTATTGATAACCTCTGGACTTGTGAGCATACAAAGAATATGTTCTCCTCTTAAAAATATTTATGACATTGGGCAATTAAGTACCTGAAAAAATTAGCTTCTGTGAAGATCTGGCCTTGGAAATCTAAAAGGGGATCCTTTACCAAAAATAGTTTCAGCCTACTCAACAGAGTATGCAAAGTTGGTAGGTGACTTTTATAGGCCATCAAATTATTTACAAAAATTATTTCTTCATCATCAATGGACAAATCTGAAAAGAAATAAGAAATATAAAGGAATGAGAAAAATTCTAAAAGTTATACAAGAGGATCTAGATAGTTACTGTAGTCAGCCGTTAGATGAGTTGGGATTTTCAAACACATTTTTAATTCTTTAGTTCTTCACTGCACTGTGCATATAAAGCATGTAGCAGAGTACTAGCACACAAGTTAAAACTCAGTGCATTTTAATATTATTCAGTACATTGAGTAGTAACCAAATATCCTGAAAGAGTTGTAATGGCTCATATTCTTTCAACAAAAAATAGTTTAATCAATGGAGGAAAACTTCTTGTGGCCACATGCTTCATAATAGCCAGGGGTAGCCTAAGCAAAGCTGTAAAGAAACAAAAGCATTTGAATTTTGCTGACCCCTAGTCTTTTCTTCTCCACATCGTTTTACTTCTTAACGTCTCTAATTCATGCCCAGAGACTCTGATGTGGAGAATGGAGATGGTCTACAAAGCCGACAAATGGGACCAACTCTGATTCTAGCACTCTAAAGCTACTCAAACATGTTTGCCATAAAATTAATTACAGTGAAAGTTAGAGAGCAAAGTACCTACTTGAGAAGTGTGATAATTCTTACACATTAGGAAACACTACTGCTAACAGTGAATTGCTAGAATAAATTTCTCCTCTTTATCCCCACCCTACCATGTGTGGGTTACTTTAGAATCTTAGCTAACTGTGTCAGTGCTTTAACAGTTTCTGAGCCAAGGGAGGGAACATAACACTTGCCCCCATTCTTCAATAAGCTCTTGAGTGGAAAGAGAAAAAGGAAAAGATAAGCTCAGATGAGGAACTACTCAGAAAGCTAAACTCCCCAGAGCAAAAGCCGCCTTAAAGGGGAAGCAACAGTCTCTTGTTCTGGACGGTGGTCTTTCGGTTAAGTCATTTTAGAAATGGCATGGAGAGGGATAGCAGGGAGTGATGTCTCCCATGACCAACTACATCCTTGGTATGCACGTGCTTAATAAATACGTGGTGCAAAGCAGTCAGCCAGGGACCATCCCTTTGTCTGGTGTTAACTTGAAATGCCAAAAGAGAACTTACTATATAAAATAGCCTCCTAAGAGATTGTTTATCCAAACCTAAGTTCCTGACAATCTTATGACCAAGAGCTTCCCGTAACACACCAAAGAAAGCTGGCCAATCAGTTCCACGTCTAAGCAAGTCTCATCTGAGACAGTTTAAAGATGGTTCATCCTTACATCCATTCTGTAAGAATCAATGAATTCATATTAACAGTAAAAACCTAACACCATTCATTTATATCCCAATCTCCACCTTCCACTTCCAAACACAGACCCCCTAGCCATCTTCCCTTCCTACAGGCTCATCCTGGTATTTCTGGAGTCCATGGGACATCTCATACCAGTTATGAACTCTTGTTTCTAACCACCCTTTGCCGATGGAGCCACTTGAGGGCAGTATCACACCACAATCAATGTTCTTCATAACCACACAAAAGTTTTACCAAGGATGCTACTTCCTTATATTCTTATGGCTGTACAATACTCCCTGGAGTTCTTACTTTACTATGGCTATTATATGTACCAACACAGATCTGAGGAGACTATCTTCATCTGTTGAGGAGGAGTGCTAAATTGTCACAAGGAAACAAAATTTTGGCTAGTTAACTATGAGAAGAAGCAGAAAAGAAGTCTACTGATAGGAAAGAAGATAGGTTTATTCTTTGCAGAAGACACTTTTGTCAACTTAGAAAATGCAAGATAACTAACTGAAAACAAATAATGGAATGCACAAAAGTGTCTGATAAAAAATTTAAAAATCAATGGTTTTCAAATATATATAAACACCTAGTAAAAAATTAATGAAAAAATTCATTTATAATGGCCACAAATATACAAATACTGAGGAATAAACATAACAAAAATGTGCAGAAAGTATATGGAGGAAACTATAAAACTTTAATGAGGATCATTTAAAAAAAAACTTGAAGAAAAAGCAAGATAGACCATTTTCCTGGCTAAAAAGACAAATTGGTAAAAATTCTAAAAGATCACAATAACGTTTCAATTTCTCCAGAGGTCTGTTTTGGAACTTGGAAAACTGATTACAAAATAAATATTGAAGAATATAGATATGAGAGTAGGAAAAAAGAGGAAACTATTAATACATGTCATCATTATATATTAAATGGTTAAAACTGTACACTATTAACACAGTAATAGACAAATCAAGAGAACACCACAGAAAATCCAGAAACACACTCTAATGGGGATAAGGATTTGGCATATTATGTAAGTGACATTTCTAATCAGTGGGGAAAGGAAAGATTATTCCATAAATGACATTGGGACAACTGCCAACACATTTGAAAAAGTTTTTTTTTCCTGAGGAAGATTTGCCCTAAGCTAACTTCCACTGCCAACCTTCCTCTTCTTTTTGCTTGAGGAAGATTAGCCCTGAGCTAACATCTGCACCAATCTTCCCCAATTTGTATGTGGATCACTGCCACAGCATAGTTGACAGGTGGTGTAGGTCTGCACCTGGGATCTGAACCTGCAAACTCAGCCTATTGAAGCGAAGTGCATGGAACTTTAACCACTAGGCAACAGGGCCAGCCTCTGGAAAAAGCATTTTGTATCCTTACTTTTAAATATATACCGAAGTCTTAAAGAAAATATGAATAATTATTTATCTAATTTGAGGAAGAATTTTCTAAATATAAAACCAATGAAAGAAATCATACAGAAAAACATTGGCAGGACTGGTTAGATTCAAATTAAATATATTTGGGATTATTGATATTTTTGATATATAAAGATAAATTGTAAGAATAGAAAAATAGACAAAAGAATCATTTCACAAAATAAAAATATGCAAATAGCCACTAAATGCCAGTAATTTTTAAAATGCAAGTAAAAGTATAAATTTTTGCCTATCACATTGGATAAATGTATTACTACAACATCAGTAGTAACATACCCACTGATGATAAGGCTGACATGAACTGTGTATTCTCATACCATGCTAGTGGACATATAGTGAAAAAAATACTTACATCAAATAATTCCAGTCCCAGGAATTCACTCTAAGGAAATAATTGGAAATGGAAACATATATTTATGTACATATTTGAAATTAAAAAAAAGTCTTCTCAAGTTGAGAAATATATGATACATAAATAAGATTAAAACCTGCAGTCATTAAAAGCCATGCTTTTGTGGGGCTGGCCCACTGGCACAGTGGTTAAGTTCATGCACTCTGCTTTGGTGGCCCAGGGTTTGCAGGTTTGGATCCTCGGCGCAGACCTAGCACCACTTGTCAAGCTATGCTATGGCAGCATCCCACATAAAAAATGGAGAAAGATTGGCACAGATGTTAGCTCAGCAACAATCTTCCTCAAGCAAAAAGAGGAAGATTGGCAACAGATGTTAGCTCAGGGCCAATCTTCCTCATGTACAAAAAAATAAATAAGTAATATAATGCATATACAGTATGATCACAATAGTAAAACAATTTATGTTTAGTTTATAGGATTATAAGTTCTTAGTAAAAGGACATTCTATATATTCAACATGTAGATTTCTTAATAGTTATAGAAAAAGGTTAATAAAATTTAATACTTATTCATGATCAAAAGCTCTTAGTAAACAGAACAGAAGAAAGCTTCCTCAACCCAATAAAGTTAATTCTTCTAATATTTCACCATTGAGAATGATGTAAACATTGAAAATGATGTAAACATTGAAATGATATTTACATCACTTTTATAATTTTTAAAATATTTCCTTCACTGTCAGGAACAAGACAAGGATGGCAACTATCACTACTTCTATTGCACAATGTATTAGAGGTCCTAGTCAGCATAGTAAGACAAAAAAAGATATGTGTTGTAAAGGAAGAAACAGATGGCCAACGAAATCACAGTCTCTAAGAGATATCTGTACTCCCATGTTCACTGCAGCATTATTCACAATAGCTAAGGTATGAGAACAACCTAAGTGTCTGTCGACAGATGAATGGATGAAGAAAATGGTGTGTCATTTGCCATTTGCAACATAGATGAACATGGAGGGCATTATGCTAAGAGAAATAAACCAGACAGAGAACAACAAATATTGCATGGTATTACTTATATGTGGAATCTTAAAAAAAAAAAGTCAAACTCATTGAAACAGAGGAGAACGGTGGTTGCCAGGGGCTGAGGCTGGGAAGTGGGAAAAATAGGGAGAGGTTGGTAAAAGGGTACAGACTTCCACTTATAAGAGGAATAAGGTCTAAGGAGCTAACGTATAACACAGTGACTACAGTTGATAATACTGTCATATATAATTGAAATTTGCTAAGAGAGTGGAACTTAATTAAGTGTTCTCACACACACACGAAAAGGGAAATATGGGAGGTGATGGATGTGTTAATTAACTCATAGTGCGAATCCTTGCACAGTGTATACGTATAACAAATCATCACATTGTACACTTTAAATATATTATAATTTTATTTGCCAATTATACTTCAATAAAGCTGAAAAAAATATGTGAGTGATAGATGAAGCCAGGGGACTGCTGTTTTTTTATAATAAACCTTGAATAGCTACTTGACTCTCTAAACTATTTGCATTTGCTTATATATTCCCAGGATGTCTGAAGGATATTCATAAAATGGTGACATTTATTGACAAGTAATATATGAATGTGGTAGAAAAATTAGTACCTGTCAACAAATCAACAAACAATAAAAGAAAATTACCCACTGTTTTTATGTCTCAAAGAAATATATGCTTTGAAATTAACTTACAATTTAGTAACTAACTATATTTCTTAAAAGACAAAGCAAATTTACAGTATCAATTGAATTTCAAAGTATAATACATTCCTCTTGATTTAGTGAGATCAAAGTATCTATAAAACCAGTAGCAATCAATATAGCTGCAAAGAAAATAAGTGAAATTACAAATCTAAATGTATAAAATGATATCTAATGACACAGGACCCCCAAGGAAATATAGGATACAGACAACTCCCATGTATTTGGAAATCTCAAGTATATTTTCATTCAGTGAATTGTAGTTAAAGAAGGTTCTGATTCTAGCTGATGATAGGAAATTTGCCAATAGCTTCTAGTTTGCAACATTAATAATAACAGCCATGTTAGGTACCATGTTATTTTCTACAAACCATCTCTTTACATGTACATACACATTATTTGACCCCTACAAAATTTTTAATAAAAATTTAGAAGAATAAATTAAAAGGGAGAAATTATAGAAGAAAATTGAAAAGCATAAAATTTTTAATAGCTGTCCCCAAATCGTACCACTTTTTAAGAGTAGATTTGGATTATCATTAAATCTTCTGATTACAAATTCAGGGTCTTCCTACGATATCATGCTCTCAAGTCTAGTCTGTAATGCAATCATACAGTCTTCTCAAACTATAAGAGGGATTTAACTCTCTATATATCATGACATACCTCTGCCTACACTAAAAATTTTATATACAATTTATGTATCTACATAAAATCAGCAGTAAAAGAACCAAACTATTTTTCATGCTCAAGCTATAGCATATCCTAAATGACAGTAGCAATTATATAATGGAGCCTTAAGTTTTTTAATTTAAAAAGGGAATAGGCTGTTACACATACAAGAAAGGTAGTTCTCAGAAGTTTCTGTACAGTTGGAAGAATTCAGCACCCTCTAGTAAGATGAGAGATTTGGAATACAGTTTGGATAAAATACACTTTTAATTATCACTTACAGTAAAAGTGTAAAAACTGGGTGAATTTCCTGACCTAATACTGCAACTATTCCATCTCTACTTTGAATTATGGTTTCACATAAATTAGATGAGATTAAAAATCTTTGGCATATTTTGGGAAATAAAATATATCCATCACTTAATAAAATACTGATTTAATGTTACACCAGATTGCTGTGTCATCAGATTTGTACACAGATGCTAATATTATTATAGGAATATGTTGTGAGCACACTACGATCAAATCTCTGAGGCTATTTTGAGGCCCAGCATACTTAAACTCCAAAAGCAACCTAGTCTACAAAAAGGGAATTAATATAAAAGAGAACCAATGTGACCTCAAATAAATAAGAAAAAAATGAAAGAGAAAATATTTTTCTAATGTGGTAAAGCTTAGAATTATAATTTTGCAGGTGAATATCTTTAATAAAATAAAATCACTGAAATGAAAATCTGTATATTAGTAGGAAATGTTTTATAACAATGGAAATAAATGTTTTACCTTGGTTCTGCGCTTGAAGTCCTGGACATTTTTCTAAACAGTTGACACATGTAAAGACTTCACTGTAGTCCTTATGGGTGTATAAGCTGGCTTCCTCTACTTCAATTTGGGAGTTTGGGTTTGAACTTGGAACAATTTCCTCAAATTCACAATTAATCTGGGTCACCATTCCTGTAACTGTTTTTCTATGACATTATAAAATTACTGATTTTATGTATGTCTTATTTTAGAACATCTTTAATAACAGTTTATGTTCATTGTAGAAAAATTACCAAATTCCAGCAGATACAGAGAAAAACTAGCCCACCATAGCCCCACCATTCAAGAGATAAATTCAAAGATTATGCATTTTCTCAATTATTTTTGAATATTTCTAAGCAAAAGTGGATTCATGTACATAGTATTCTGTAACTTGTTCTTTTTTGCTAAACAATGAAGCATGAACACATTTATATGTCAATCAATGTATATTTACTTCATTTTTGAATAGACAAACAGGATTCCATTGTATCAGCAAATCATAACTTATTCAACCAGTTCCCTATTGTCAGAAATTTAAATTTGTTTTAATTGTGTCCACAATACAAGGAATATCTTTGTGCGCTTGTTTAATCATTTTCTCAAAATACGTCTCCTAAAAATGGAAATGATGAGGTTAAAGATATACAGATTTTTCGACTTTGCCATGCACTGCCAAATTGCCCTTGTGCTGGATACTCAATGTCTGCTTTCCATAACATTATCAAACATTTTATATTCTGTTCTGCAACCTGGGAGGCTGATCTCTATGAACCAGCTATGCTCCCTTGCCTTCTGGCTTCTGGTTGGGTTCAGCCAATGGGAAGCACTGGTGGGAGATCAAAGGTGGGAAGAGAGACAGGTTAAGATATTATTCTTCCCAAATCCTGCCTCCAGGATCACAGTTTGGAAGTGGCTGCATTCTCCTACCAATGGTTACATCTCTTATCAGACAGCCCCTCTCCTATACTGGCTATAGGACCTTATGGAGTCTTCTTATTTGGTTGGTTACTGCTCAGTCTCCTTGCTCCTTCAAGCTTAGGGTGGTAACAACTTCCAGCTGTTGCTAGTCCTGGGGACTTTTTGGCTCCCTTGACCTTGCCCATGCCTTGCCTGTTTCCTGATTGATCCAGGTATCTCTGCCATTGTCTATACCATTGGGATCCTTGGAATTACAAGAGATTTTCCAATAGACAATATATTTTTGGTAATTTAGCTAAACATCTCAATATACCTTTTTTCTGAAATATTTTAGCCTTAATAATTCCCTATACAGACTGAAAGAATCAAAATCAATATAACTCCCCAATGTAACTGGAAGAAAAAAATGAGTATGCCATATCTGAAAAGCAGATAGAAAAATCTCTAAAGTTTCTCCTTTATTCTTTAAGAAAATACAAGGTACAAGAAAAAATATTTCAACTCACCTAGGTCCATATTACTCATAAAAACATTGATTCCCACGTGGATCTTTGTAGACTTCTAAATTTAATGCTTACATAGCTGCTATCTTTTTTTAAAATAAATGTTACTGACAGAGTCAGCACTTTGTAATAATCCTTGCTACTATAGTTTGAGAAAACCCCATCAACTCTCTTTCCCAAGATATTAATGATTTATGAAGACTAGTATTTCCTGGATCTCCTCCTACCTCCCTGTCCAATATTACCTATTCTTCGTTCACTGGTGCCTCCTCCTCCGCCTAACCTGTAATACTGATGCTTCCCAGGCTTCCAATCCAGATTGTCTTTGCTTTATTTCCATATCATTCTTTTTGGATAAGTTCCTCTATTCTCATTCATTAATTCTTTAACTTAAAAGAAATATTTAATGAGTGTCTACAATGTGCCAACACTATTCTAGGCACTGGGAATGGAGGGGTAAACAAAGTTCTTGCCCTCAAGAAGCTTACCTGCTAATGGGACAATAGACAAATTAATAAATATATAGCATAATGTTAGGTAGTCATGAATGTTACTAATGAAATAAAATAAGATATTAGGAATCAAGTAACAGCCAGAAGGTTGGTGAGAGGTGTATTTTAGAGCAAGTAGTTAGTGAATGGCCCTCTGAGGAGTGATAATTCTGCAACTACCTGAATAATGGTAGAGAGTAAGCCACACAAGGTCTAAAGTTGGGGAACAAGGTTGGCATATTCCAGGAAAAGCAGAAAGGTCAGCGTGACTGGAACAGGGTAAGGTTAGATAGGTAGGCAGGGCCAGATCTTGTTGGATCTTGTAAGACTTGGTGAGAACTTTGATTTTATTCTATGTGCAATGGGATACTGTTGGTGGGTTATCACGGAGACATTTCATGATCTGATTTGTGTCTTTTAAAAAAAATCACAGGGCTGGCCCCGTGGCCGAGTGGTTAAGTTTGCGCGCTCCGCTGCAGGCGGCCCAGTGTTTCATTGGTTAGAACCCTGGGCGCGGACATGGCACTGCTCATCAAACCATGTTGAGGCGGCGTCCCACATGCCACAACTGGAAGGACCCACATCAAAGAATATACAAGTATGTACCATGGGGCTTTAGCGAGAAAAAGGAAAAAAAAAAATCTTTAAAAAAAAAAAATCACAGCCAAACTCTGAGAAGAAAATACAGGAGTAAATTCTTGTGACCTTGGATTAGGTAAAGCCTTCTTAGATACAACACCAAAAATACAAGTGACAAAAGAAAAAATAGGTAAATTAGATTTTGTCAAAATTAAAGTTTTGTTTGGGGCCAGCCCGGAGGGGTAGTGGGTTAGTTCTCGCCTCCACTTCAGCAGCCTGGGGTTTGCCACTTCAGATCCTGGGTGCAGACCTACACACTGCTTATCAAGCCATGCTGTGGGAGGGCTCCCAGATATAAAATAGAGGAAGATGGTCACGGATGTTAGCTCAGGGCTAATCTTCCTCGGCAAAAAGAGGATTGGGAGTGGATGTTAGTTTAGGGCTAATCTTCCTCAAAAACAGTTTTGTGCTTCAAAGGATATCATCAAGAAAGTAAAAGGATAATTCAAAGGAGAAAATATTTGCAAATCATATATCTGACAAGGGACTTGTATCTAGAATATGTAAGAATTCTTAAACTCAATAATAAAAAGACACATAAACCAATTAAAAAATGCAAATAAACTGTAACCTTTATACACTGCTGGTGGGAATGTAAAATGTTACAGTTGCTTGGAAAACAGTCTGGTAAATTCCTCAAACAGTTAAAAACAGTTAAACATACTCCTAGATAGAGAAATGAAATCATATGTGTACACAAAAACTTGTACATAAATGTTTATAGTGGTATTACTCATTATAGGCAAAAAGTGGAAACAACCCAAATGTCTACCAGCTGATGAGTGGATAAATAAAATGTGGTATGCCCATACCATGGAATATTATTTGGCCATAAAAAATGAAGTACTGATACATGCTACAACATAGCTGAACCTTGAAAACATTATGCTAAGTGAAAGGAGCCAATCACAAAATGTCACATATTGAATGATTCCGTTTATATGAAACGTCCAGAATAGGCAATTATAGAGAGGCAGAAAGTAAATTAGTGATTGCCTTTTGAGGGGAAGTGAGAAAAGAATAAGGAGTGACTGCTAATGGATACAGGATTTGTTTTTATGTTAAGGAAAATGCTCTAAAATTGATTGTGATGGTTGTACATCTCTGTGAATATACTGAAAACTATTGGAATTGGACATTTTAAATGAGTGAATTATATAGAATATTAACTTAGCTCAACAAAGCTGCTATATTATAAAACATATATACAAAACAAAATGTTTTATGTATATAAACAAAACAAAAGAAGATAGGGTTTGACGTCAGACAGACCAGGATTTGAGGGTTTGAATCCCAGCTCCAACTATTGACTGGCTGCACTACAGTGGGCAAGTTACTTAATCTCTCTGAGTCTTAGTTTCTCATGTACAATATTTGGATAGTAATACCCATCTCACATAGCTGTTATGAGGTGTATGGGAAATAAATATACGTGCAATGTCCTGCATTCAATTGCATTCATCTGAATGCAGCACGCTACAGAGGAATAGGAAATACTGTCATATGCTCTTCCTCTTGCTCAGTTTGGCCATGTGCTTTGTCTTGGAAGCTTGGAAGCTTATTGCATGGCTCTCCCTGATCTTTTTGCATTTTGCCCTTGTCTCCATAATTCAAAAGCTTCAACTCCTTTTTTAGCCTGTCCATCAAACTATCTTCATTTGTTTTAAGTCCTATATTTACTCTACTATGTATTTATATGTTAGGAATTTAATATGCCTTTTTATCTATGCTGGTGGTTTTTAAAGTTAGAGTAGTTATTATTTTTATTAATGCTCTGCTGCAAGTTGCATAGCTTTGACTACAAAAGCTAATTTGGCTAGATGCTCTGTTATTTTTAGTGTGCAATTTTGCAGAATATAAGGTTTTTCAGGAATACATGACAGAAAATGCCCATTATGTCAAAACACAGGATACCAACAAATTAGTAAAAGAATTAAGGCCTTAGAATCAATATTAGGAAATAACAAAAATAGGAACAAGAAACAAAGAGAGGTGAGAAAGAGAAGAAAAGCAAGATTTAGGAAATCTAGGTAGCGTTAATGATCAGAATGTTTATTCTAAAGTTCCACTAGGTAACAAAACCGTAGTAGCTCCTGAATTAGTTAAAATTAAATTTTGACATGGGAAATCTCTTTACTTTCTGCTCCATTTTGCTGTTAACCGAAAACCGCTCTAAAAAATAAGGTCTTAAAAATTAAACTTTACTGCACGAGACAAAATTGAAATTAATAACAGCTTAAACAAAAAATCTAGAGGTTAGAAGGGCATGGTTGGTAAGGAAGTTCCACAATTTGTCAGGGACTGCAGCTCCTTTTGTTTCACTCTGCGACTTTTAGATTTAGTTCTTGTCAGCATAGTCCAAGACAGCTGCTGGAGCCAGTCATTACATCTGTATTCCAGTATCAGAAAAGAGAAAGATAAAAAAGAAAAACCTTGGGGCTGGCCCCATAGCCAAGTGGTTAAGTTCGCGTGCTCTGCTTCGGTGGCCCAGAGTCTCGCCAGTTCAGATCCTGGGCATGGACATGGCACTGCTCATCAACCCATGCTGAGGTGGCATCCCACATGGCAGAATCAGAAGGACCTACAACTAGAATATGCAACTATGTACTGGGGGCCTTTGGGGAGAAAGGGAAGAAAAAAAAAGATTGGCAACAGACGTTAGCTCAGGTGCCAATCATTAAAAGAAAAAGAAAAACCTTCCTTTTAAGGATAGTCCTTAGAAATGCATAAGCCTCTTTTGCTTATATCCAGTTGAGAAGAACTTAGTTACATGGCTACATTTGGCTACAGGGAAGTTGAGAAATGTACATTTTATTCTGGTGGTGCCTTCTTTGCCATAGACTCTATCTTTTATTTTTTGGGTTTTTTCTTTCTTTCTTTTTCTTTCTTTCTTTCTTTCTTTCTTTTATTGCTGAGGAAGATTAGCCCTGAGCTAATATCTGTGCCAATCTTCCTCCACTCTATATCTGGGTTGCTGCCATAGCATGACTGGCAAGTGGTGTAGGTCCATGCCCGGGATCCGAACCCATGAATCAAGGCTGCCGAAGCAGAGCATGCCGAACTTAACCACTACACCACGAGGCTGGCCCCATTGACTCTATCTTGATATCACAAAATGAATAGAAGGTCAGATATCATGGGATGTCCATTCCTTCAGGGCCTCCCATTTCTCTCATATACGAATCTTTTGTTTGAGCTAAACTAGCCTGATCATTGCCTTCGTTGCATACTTATGGTATATTCCTGTCTCTGTGCCTTCAGACCCGTCATTTCCTTTGCCTGAAATGTTTTCTCTCAAGTTAGTTTCTCCTTCAGTGCCCAGTTCAAGCTCACTTCCTACTTCTTTGTGAAGCTAAGCTGATCTCTCCTGCTTATAAATGCACAGCCCTACCACTCCAGCTCATGGAGCGAAAAGAGATCTTAGAGATCATCTTCTATCTTGTTACTCAAAGTAGGTTCTTGGACTAGGAGCACATTAGGAACAAAGAAGCGCAGCCCCAACACAGAGCAATTGAATCTTCAGAATGTCCATTTTCAGTAAGATCCTCAGGTGATTCATATGTACATTTAAGTTCGAGAAGCGCTGATACATCATTATAGTGATAAAGAAAGCGAGGGTCAGAGAGATAAAATGACTACTCAAGTAGTTGGTACTTGACTTTTCAAATCAAGACTTGAAATCAACATCTTTTAACTCATAATGCAGAACTCTTTTCACTACACCATTCCGCTTCCTGACTACTCAGGAGTCCGCTCATGTGACAGATACTTTTTACTGGCTTTTTACGCTTTATGGTAGACATTATGTTGGTCATTTTTTATTATCATTTAATTCTTACACTTTAAATTTTCTATATGTTTATATATTATCTTCCTAATCTGACTTTTAAATCTCAGGATGACAGAAATGGTATATTGGACTTGTCTGTATTCAGAGTCTGGACACATTTAAATTGGTTATTTGTTTCTTTCAAGCGTAACTAAGGAAAACTTAAATTAGTAAAACTTGAGAATGTGAATAATAACTAAATCCTTCCTGGGTCTGATCAGCACTCTTTGCTTGAAGTGAAGCAACAGAGTAAATTATTTACTTTTGCACTGAAATCTCTAATTTATGTCTACATTAACAATGTAGAATAGGTTAGATGTTCTTCCTCATATTATGCTCTGTGTTCTTATCTCCATCATTGTACTTCCCACATTGTATTGTAATGATTTATTTATAAATCTTTATTCTCTAATTTCTTGACTTCTTTAAGAGTAGAGACTGCGTCTTATTCACTTTTGTATCCTGGCACATACGACGGTATCCAATAAATACTTGATGAATGATGAATAAATAATGTTTTGACCAAATATGTTAGAAAATAGCATTAAATCTGCATTTATACTACAGGAAAAAAGACTGATTTTCATACAAAGGACTTTCTATAGACACTTTCTACAGAAAATTTACCTATTGATTAAAAGCAAAGTAACATATTTGCTTTATTTCTGTGTGTTTTTTGCAACACAAATGCATAGAGAAACAGTTAATATGTGATAAACAAGGGAAGGATAAAAAGAGAATGTAAATCTCTTCTAACTTCTCCTTTGTGGTTCAGATTAGGGCTTTTTCTTCAGAAAAAGAAGAAAATCTGTGAGGATATAAGGAAGGCATCTTTTCTCTTCAGGTGTCTGGAGGAACTTACTGTTTATCATCTGGGTGTAAGGGGGAAATTTGAGGTTAAGGACACATACTTCTCAAGGAAATCCTCCATAAAGAGACTTGCTTTCCATTGATCCAAGACTGAGATATCTGTCATTCCCCCAAATGGAACAGCTGACACTAGAAAGGAGAATGGTAAATATAAGCTTCTAGAATTTTCTTTCACACTTAATACAAGGAAGCCAAATATTCACCTTTTACATTATGGTGTTATATTTATTTGTTCACAAATGTAATTTTTTTCAAAGTAATACCAGATTCCAAATAATTAATCATTCTCATTATTACAACCCCTACAAAAGAACTTCAACCACAGTCAGAACAATATCATCTGAACATACCATTGTCATTTTTATAGCCTCTCTTTTGCCTATGCAGCACTACCATCCCAGATAGTCCTGTTCAACAGCTCATGTCATTCCTCATAGAGTCTTTATTAACCATTCCAACTCACTCTGCCATATTTCCCTTGAAGGGCCACAATATTGTCAGTAGCACTCACCCTGACACTTAATCATATACAGTCATATTTAAAAATTGTATGTATCTATAGCTTGTCTCCCAAATTAGACCCTTGGTCTCTCAAGGAGAGAGATCGTGTCATGTACTAGTATCAGAAGAAGCAATTGAGCGAAGTAAGAGTCAAATGACCTGTATTCTACCACCAGTGTTACTTCATACTCGTTTTGTTACTTTGAACAAACCACTTAACATCTGAGTCTGCCTCATTAAAAAAATAAGAAATTTAGTTGTTAAGGGTACAGGTTCTGGAATCACCCTGCCTACATTTTAATATTTGTACCGCTACTTATTAACTGTGTGACTTTGGGTAAATCTCTGAATCTCTATCCTTATCTATAAATTACAAATAATGATAGCCCTTTCATAGTGTTGTTATAAAGATTAAGTGTGATGAGACATGAAAATTGCTTAGAACAGTACCTGACATACTGTAAGCACCCAATAAATTTTGGCTGTCACTGTCATTATTATTATAAAAAAGAAGCAAAGGAAAAGAAATAAGAAGTGATAAACTCATTTTTTTCTTCTGTACTTTTAGAGAAGCAGTTTGATGAGAGTTATTCTTTATCTTGTTTCCAACCTGATTGAGACCTTCAATCCATTGATCCTTCCACTTTTACAATATTTCCCATCCTCTCTCATGTCCTCACCTTCTTATTCACGCAGTTCAGGTTCCATGGCCAGTCCCAGAACCACTCCCTTACAAAGACTCTTGATTCCCTTGCCTCTCTTTCCTTTGTGCTAACTTAGGAAAACCCTTACTTCCACTTTGTGTATATATATACTAGAATAGCTGAAAATTATTTTTAAAAAAGGTCACCCAGCCGTGCTGAATGAACTCATTTGAAATTATGACCATAAATTTCAAATGGGCATCCAACATTGACAGATTATAATAGAACACCTTTCTAATAAAATTGGCTTTCTCACTCCTCAAGACAACTATTTAACACCTGCCTCACTCAAGTTTTCATCCCCTTATTCACTTTCAGTCTGTGGCTTTGCCTCCACATGGAAAATTTATACAAATAGAGAAGAACTACCTCATCTTCCCACACCAGTTCTACCAACCAACTGGCATAAATACCTACACACCCTGCCTTCCTATCTATAACCATGGAAGAACTACACAACTGCGCTGGCTCTCATCTAACACGAAGTCCTCCAGTTGTGCTCTTGATACTATCCCCTTTTACTAAGTTATACTTTATTTCCTACATCACCATTTTCTCTCTTTTTACCAAGATCATTTCCATCGGTAAATAAATATTTTACAGCCTTTTTCCTTATCACACTTTTTTAAAAAATCACACATCTTAAAAAAAAAAAGCTAACAAAAACAACTCTCTTTACCCCACTTCTCCTTTCAGCTAGTGCTCCATTTTTCTATTCTCCTTCAGAGCAAAATTCCTCAAAAGAGTTGTCTATATTCACATCTCACATCCCCACTTCCCATTCTTTCCTCAACATACTCCAAACAGGTTTCCGTACCCAATATTCCAGTGAAACCACTCTTAGCAAGGTCATCAATGACCTTTAGTCAACCTAATGGTCAACTCTCTATCCTCATCTTATCTGACCTTTTAACAGGGACCAATTCTTTTGACTACTTCCTCCCTCTTGAAACACTTTCTTTAGAATTCTACAACTCACACTCATCTGGCTTTCCTATCTCGTCTTCTTAGCTGATTCCTCCTTCTACACCAGCCTTTTAACTGTTGGAGTATTCCAGCACTCTGTCCTAGGCTCTCTGCTCTATCTTTACTCATGCTCTCAGTGACTTTATCCATTTCCAAGCGTTTATGCGCAGTCTACATATTGATGACTCCAATTCAAAACTCCAGCTGTGCTCAAGATTAACACAGTAGCCCTTCCTTAGCCTCAGTTTCACTTTCCGTGGTTTCAGTTATCTATGGTCAACTGTGGCCTGAAAATACTAAATGAAAAATTCCAGAAATAAACAATTCTTAAGTTTTAAATTGCCTACTATTCTGAGTAGCTTGATGAAGTCTCTAGCCATCCCACTCCACCCTGCCCAGGACAGGAATCATCCCTTTGTCCCGGGCAGCCACACTGTATATAGTTGCCCCTCAGTCACTTAGTAGCCTTCTGGGTTATCAAATCTACTGCCTCTGCTGGAGAAGCAAATGGGATTCACGTTCATTAGCTGTCTGCTTCGGGCCAGGCATTTACTATATGCATGCTATCTAATTTTTTTTTTTTTTAAAAGCTTGGCAACTGAGCTAACAACCGTTGCCAACTTCTTCTTTTTTTTTTCCTGCTTTTTCTCCCCCAATCCCCCCAGTACATAGTTGTATATTTTAGTTGTGGAACCTTTTGGCTGTGGCATGTGAGACGCCACATCAGCATGGCCTAATGAGCAGTGCCATGTCCACACCCAGAATCCAAACGAGGGGAACCCTGGGCCACCGAAGTGGAGCAGGTGAACTTAACCACTCAGCCATGGGGCCAGTCCCACATACTATCTAATTTTTATAACTATACGCAGTAGTTATTGTCGTACTAATTTACAGATGAGGAAGCTGAGACTCAGACAGGATAAGAAACTTCCCTGGGGTCACACAGTGAGAGATGGAGCCCATATTTAAGGAGAGATCTATTTGACTCTAACTTATGGGTTTTTTCCCATTATTCTTCTTTTTGAGCAATAAGCAGAATAAACTTGGGGTCAAAGGAAGCAGAAAGGAAATGACGGATAAACTCCAGGGGTTCAGAAAATTATTTTCTCCATGTTTTCTAGCTGAATCTGAAGGCCAGTGTAAGGGGTGAAGGCAAAAAGGGTGGGAGGCTTCCTCTCTCTTCTAAGAACTAGGTTTTCTAGGCACAGAGCTTCATAATTTGGGAAGACCAGAGTCTCTTCCTAGGAGAAACACTGACGCATAAAAATGCTTTCTATGCCACCTGATACTCTTAGTCCATTATCCATTATGAGCGTGAATTTCAAATGCCTTCCTTGTAAAGGTCACGATTGCTCATCTTTCAGTTTTCCTCGAAACTCAGGTAGCATATTGATGATTTCCTCCATGTCCCATATTACGTTGTAGCGGATCTTTGTCTTTTTCTAATTAATTCCACAAAGAATGCTGATTTAGTTCAGATGCTATGTTCAGGATTGCACAGATGCAGCTAAATAAATACAGACCCACGTACAAGGTTACTATCATAACTGGGTGGCTCAGAGAACCTCAAGCTGACACCACGCATGCTGATCATAATGCCATTTTACCTTGAGCAGGATTCTTCCCCTTTCTGGGTCTTATTCCTCTTCTGTAAAATAAGAGGGGACTGGACCAGAGCAGTATTTCTCAATTAGAGGAGGAAAGAGTGGCATCCAAGTTATCTAAGGAGCACTGAACCGTTCTCCCATCCCCAATCTCAGTCACAGCTGAAGATTCTGTTAGAGTTACTCCCCGTTCCCCATGATCCTGAGTGAGAACCACTAGCTAGAGGAGCTCTCATTTAACATTCTCTGCAGACAAATTTCCAGGACTGACGTGAATAAAATATTAACTGTATATAAACAAAGAGGCTGGTATGTCAGCCTCAAAGATGTGGCTCAGACTCAGGGATGCTACCAGACTGACTGCACAAAACCCTCAGGGTGGACACATCCCGGGTGTACCCTTTTCCCCTGGGTTCTAGGCGAGCACATTGAAGGCCATGCCCAGGGCATAACTCAGGAAGCACTGCGTCAGAATCTCACCACCCACGTGTCTTTTAGGTGTGACTAACCCAAAGGGAGGGGGCTAAAGGTCTCCTTTTATTCACCATCAGTCTGCTCTCAGCCAGCTCTAGTGTACCTTCCTGGTACCTGGAGACAATGGAAACAGGATAAGCAGGTCAGACAGAAAAACTGCATAATGGTGACTTGGCTCTCCTTCTTGTAGGGTCTTATTGTCACCATGGGACCCACACCACACACATACTAACCAAACATACGCACTTGTCATAACATGTGCGTTAATCTACCACCCACCAACACACTAGGGCTCCTTCCAATACACATATACTCTGTCCTAACACACCTGCATGTGCGCATGTGCCCACTAACACACACACACACACACACCCCTAGTCCAAACAAAAGCATATAACCTGTCCACATACAAATAACTTTTTAAAAAACATATCCTATCCATAAATATGCAAAGATGTCCCAAAGCTACCTCTGGAATAAAATAGAAAACTCTGTTCCATCTTTTCTAACAAACATTCTGTAGGGAATTATTCTTTAATTAACTCATTCAACAAATATTTCTTGAACTCCACTGGGCGCCCACCATGCACTAGAGTAACTACTGGGGAAATAATGGTGAGAAAACCAGCCACAATCTCTGTTGCAAAATCTAGTAACAGTGACTTTTCTAGCGGTGTTTGGAAATGGAATTATAAAAGAGACTTGAGTAAATGGAAAGAAACAGTAATGTGAATTGGGAAAGATACATGATTGTTCAATAACTGAGGAATCATTAGTCATTTCTGCTCTCTTGTTGAAATGGGAACAAGAGAGCAGGCAGAAACAGCAGGAGCACCAAGTTAAGATAGCAACCTTTTGTAGGTGGGTCCATATTTA